ATAAGTTTGATCTTGTTCTGTCTCGAGGATTGTTATTGTTAATAATTATGTAAGAATTTGCTATAATGCAGCTCACTTATTGATCAAATAGATCGTTCACAGTAAAAGTGGTGTTATTATTTTACCAAATCAATCGAATGTCGTTTTTGTTGGGAGTAAAAACCTACTATATATTATGTTGGCCAGGAAAGTTCCTCGGGATTTTCGTCCTGGTTCTGTCAGTGATGCAGGACGGAGGGCCTGGCAAGGGGCAATGTACAGTCGTTCGAATGAGATAGAAAACCAAGGTTCCGTGTACACCACATTGGCGTTCACGTAAAAGAAAATTGACAATTGGAATTTGAAACAAGATTAGGATGTAGTGCCGCTGTAAGGGCATATTTTCCCTCATAGCATAATGAATTTCCGGTGAAAACTGAGAGAACATGTCCACCTAGATCACGGATCACCCGATAATTAAACCAAAAGCACACGGATTAATAATAAGTGCATGCTTGTTTCTGAATGCCAGTTGGAGAGACAGTACATGATAAAACGATATAATTGTTTGAACGTTTAAGATGTTTACACTCCGCAGTCACCATCAATATATCACCATATTGACTCAATAATCATATCAATAAGAAAAATATTATATATTGTTCTAGCCTCCGACTCAATATAATATTATAGACTATCTATTATTTAACATGTTTGTCTTGTTACGCTGACTCCAGCTTTAAACGGTTCGCTAATCAATACGGTGTATTAAGCGACGTTTACACCATACGTCCAATAGTCGGATGCAACGGACGCATTTGACCAATTCATTCTACAAATTGTCGGAAGACTGCTCGTTGTATGAATAGAGTCAGTTCTGTTCTCATCCGATGGACTAATGCAACAACTAATATTCTTCTTCTCGGTGTTTAACGTCCGCTTCCACCGAAGTTGATATCGCAGACAAGTCTTATTTTTATATCTTAGCGCACGCGCAGGGTCTTTCCTGTGGGAGGAAACCGGAGTACCCGAGTAAACCCACGAAGTTAAGAAGGCGCCCTTATCTCCAAGCCACAACCAGGGATCGAAACCACAACCGCAAGCCAGAGGTGACCGGCCAGCTAGAGGTCTAAGCGCGGCACTCTAGACCTCTAAGCCCCCACTCCCCCCTCAACAGCTAATCCGACATATTCCATTTAAATAGTCGGGTGGCCAAGCAAAACTGGATTAGTAATATCGTGTAAACGCCTCTTTACTAATATTGAAACGCTCAACTAAATTTCATAGGTAATTAAAATAATTAAAAACTTATATATGCCCATTGAAAACGATAACCCAGAAAAAAGGAAAAGAACAAAAAAAAAACGCCTATAAAATAACGAAAATTTTGAAAAAAGAAAGAAACGCCTATTAAAACGAAAGCACAAAAACGTTTGAAAATGTATCAGAAAAAAGAATCGCATGTTATAAATGAACTAATGAACTAAAAAACCTCGCCAGTTCGAAATAGAATGTTTTTTTGTCTCTTCAAGACATATTTGGTAATGTCTATTTTTATCGTTTCGTGCGCGAAGCGGGGTAGTATATACTTGACTGTTCTTCAATTTTCAACCGTTAATGGGTCTAAATGTGTACGCCTGTGTAATGACAAGACATGGGAAATTCATCATTATCATTATCATCTTAACATACCATTTATATCGCTGGATTACATGACACTAATGTACCTGCTCTACACATCCGCTGGATGTTCAATATTATTATATAATAACTGTAAATTAATGATATGTGATAACCTAGGTAACATGCAAGGATAAATACTGTTATTTAACAATAGCTTGTCATAGTACACAGCTTTTAGTGATGTAATCATAATATGTGATAGACTCGATTATTACCCAATTACCTTTCTATATAACATCCGTACAGCCTATATTAAGATACCGGATAATCAATATAGGCCTACACGTAGTGATATTACGTCAGAAATACGTTTTATATAATAAATTAATAATGAGGGGCTGAACAGTAGGACGTTAAACCCCACTTCTTTTTCATTATATAATAATGTCCCATGATTAAGGATTAACAGTTTCATTTTATACATACTTAGATTTACCTACTGATGGTACACCACAATGGAACGATAATATCTTATTTATATTATACACTAAATATTTGAATAGCGTTTCTATAGTAGGTCGACTTAAAATCTTTCCGGTGACAGTGTGGCAAATTGATAGACGAATTTGCCTGTTTCTAAATCCCTTTTAGTCTTGCATACACGTTGAGGTACAAGTAAAAGAACCCTTAACTGATGGATTTCGAAAAGTTCCATCATATCACATAAGGCGTATGTCCGTCTTCATCCTATTTCATTCCAGCACGGATCGTAAGTTTAAATGTGCATCCCCCTCCCCTACACACGTCGGGAGAAAATGTTTGAAATATTGGCTATAGAGTATAGCTTGGTGTACAAATTTAGAATGTGGCAATCTAACCAATTCATAAAATTCAAGACTAAAAAGGGCCTTCAAACTACACGAGAATAGGGGACCCCCGAACCTACCATCTTCACAGGCTTCTTCTTAGTCCATCCCTGAAAATGAGATAAACTTATAGCACTCTTCCAGCTACGTTCATTATAGGCCGATGTACCTGACATCTAGGATACAATTTGATGGAAACAAACACGCTCGGAATCACTCCAGACTGGCAGTAGGTTTCCGACAATTAGATATACTTTTAAATGTAAATGCAAAAAAAAAAAGAAAAAAAATTGTTTATGGAATTCGTGTAGAACATTACGTACTTTGAAAATCGATGTCCTTCCGCGCAGTAATCCCCCTCTTGTTAAGTGGTGAATATTTCATAACCTGTATTGTTTGTTTATTCTAGTTGAATTAAAATTGCCATTTAGACTAGAATGGAAGCTTAATACAAGCCTATACATGTAATCAATAACTTATCAGAGCATCTCCTAATTCTAGCCAAATACATCGATAAAAGAGAATATTTAATAGACAGCTGGTGAATTGTTAACATATCTCACGTAATTCAGTTTTTTTTATTAATTAGTGTGTTTTAAACAGTGAGAATATGTCTAGATATATTCATACACAAATTGTTAACTCACGCTGTAGGAATTCCCCAAATTAGAGACTGTTCTAAATGACGAGAACTTATTTATTAAAGATAAAACACCACCAAAATTGTAAACTCATGCTGTATCAATTGCAAGCAATAAACAACAAAAGGGTGTATCTAAGAATTTCTAAAGATTAAGAAATAGAACCTTTTGCATTTCAAAATTTCCACAAATCAAGATACAACATTTGGACACATGATACCCAGAACAATTCTAATTGGCGTAGAGATACACAGCTTAGACAGAAATGTGCATATTAATTGGGAGAGTTTAAAAATGCAAAAAAGTTTATTTGACTAATTTCCCGAGACAAACCCTTTTGACACTTCACCGACGAAACGCATCGTAAGCGGCCATTGTGAATTGTGCCTGGACACTAGCATTTCCGAATTCCAACCGTTATGGGCTGGTTTATGCACCATTCACCATATCTAACTTCTGTTTCTTTAAACTATCATCAGTAATTGGGATGGGTTCTGTTCAGAAGGTAATCATCCGTCTATGTGTGTGGAATCAAGCTAATAAATTAATGACTAATTTACCGAGATCCGTGAAATGACGAGAATATATTATTTAACAGTTTGATTGTTGATCGTTCCATGTTTACACAAATCAAACGCATGCAACAATGAATTAGATTAAAACCTGTTTTTTTATTGCAATTTGTTTATTTTTACTTACAGAATAGTCAAGATTTAGTGCTACAATGTCCGACGGGTGAGTCTTTAAAACCATATTAAAATAAAGTTCATATTTTACGTAAAAGAACCATTTCATATTTCTTTTCCAACCTCGTGGGTTTTCTCCGGGTCCTCCTGTTTCCTCCCACTGCTAAAGACCCCTACGCGCACGCGAATTATTGAAATAAAATTGAACCATATGTTAGTCCCGAAATGACCTAGTTTGTGTCAAGTGGACGTTAAACCACATCTAAAATTCCAACTGTCAATGGTTCTTCTACGCGAATGCCAGTGTGTAACCAGATCTCGGTTTTTCGAACCATCCGAAAGACTATATTATTTTATAACTTTAATTTATCGATAGACGTACAGAAGAATAATATAACTTATTATTTTGTATGTAAGACCACAGGCGTCTGTAATATGTTGGAAAATCATACAAAACTAACATTAAGCTTTGGCTATATAAGTATAATGTCTAAAGTCTATTACGTTTATGTACGTAAGCGAGATTATCAAATAACCTGCCTGAAACCGGTTCATTGGCAAATAACTCGCTTGTAGCCTGTTTTTTTAGATCCACCAACCGGACCTAAATCCAGTGTCTAAATACATTCTAAATTCCCAAGTATATTAACCGGACATCCCCTTACATACCTATATCTTCCAAAAAACTTCACATGACTTCAAAAAGATTAGAACAAACGTTTCATTAAAGAATTCAGCACATTAAAGAATTATCTATTTTTATGGACTTAAATATAACATAGAAACTGACCCTTTAAATCACCACTACCCCATGACTCCTATGAGCTTCATGTCAGTTGGTACACTGAATGTGGTCATTGATTTAAATACTGCATCGTGGTTAAGTGACAAACTCAATAGGATATTAAACCGAAGTTGTAGATTGTATCGCGTTGTATTTTATTATTCGTTTTATTTACCTAATAGATTTAATATGTCTGTTCTTAGTATGAGATATTTTTATTGTGTAGTATTAATGTAGGAAGGAACTGTCTACAATATGTATTAAGCTATGTGTGTTTCCCGGTAATAACTATCGACCTGTATTATTTAGAATGGCATTTAGTAATTGAACTGGATATACACATTAAATTAGCCCGATAAAGAGCAGACAATTGTAATCAGAATTATCACCTGTATATTATTGTTTAATTACAGGTTGGAGTAAAATATTAGCTAATTGTTACTTACCTGTATCTAAATTAAAAACCACGTGGTCTTTAGCTACAACATACTGTAACAGGTAAGATATTTATCAGTAGTCAATTTAATACAAAAAAAGTTATTCCCTATTTAACTTCCAAAATATTTTATATAAGTGGTATCTGATCTTCTAGACACCCAATTCACAATCATGACATTAATTGTTAGATGATCTTCCAAAATACGTAGGACCTGATATACCGTGTTCTAGAATTGGTATCTCCAGTTCCGGAAGTGATATCTCCAGTTCTAGGGGTGATGTGTGATCTAGAATTGGCATCACTTGTTCTAGAAGTGACGTCATTTGTTCTAGAAGTGGCATCACTACTTCTAGATGTGATATCACCTATTACATGGGTCTTGGCACTAGGTATTATATCGGGTATTCTAGAGGTAGTAACAGGTGTTCAGGAAGTGGTATAAGTTGTTATATACGATGTGTTGGGGGCGGTAATAGTGTTTCTAAAATTGTTTCTAGAAGTTTTCAAAATTGGTATTTGGTGTTCTAGAAGTGATATCAGGTGTTCTAGAAACATGTATACATCATGTCGTTGTTAACCTATATCATATAATATATTTCAGATATGGAGGAAAACTAGCCGAACCCTCGGGATATGATTTAACAAGCCTTGTTAGCTCCCTCATTGTTAATAAAACAGAATCCTACTGGATTGGTATGTTGCTTTGTTTTATTTGATATGAAAATGAGTTCAACGTGCTTCGTTTCTGCAACGACATGGCTAATGAAGACGGGTATGAGCCATACAGTGCTGTTTGGGGGACATTTTGTCCAGGCGGCGGCATTGCGGCGTACTCTTATATCGAATTCCAACTGTCAGAGGTTCATTTACGTGAACACCAATGTGTAGACGTTGATTCTTGTCACTGACAAGGGGGAACCAAGCCGGAAAATTTTGATGAACTTTCTTGTCCCACACCGGGGTCGAACACGGGAGCTCAATGTTATCGAGTCAACGTCTTAATCACCGAGCCACCGCGGTTCCCCATTAAAATATAAATCTGGTCACGATTTTGATTATATACAGTGTTAATTTGATTGGATTGGAAGATTTTTTAAAATTTCTTTAGGATTTAGTCAAACCGGGATACCAGACTCGAGTCCCGAGCAAGGTTTTTGGAGCGATGGAAGTCAAACGTTTGTGGATGTTGGTTGGTGGGATAACTTTCAACCGGATCGTCGAGGTGGAGATTGCACCGCATTAAGACCCACAAATACAGATTGGAGATGGTATATGACACACTGTTTAGAGTTACGTCCCTTTATTTGCCAAGCAGCACCCTGTCCGTCAGGTAATATATTATGTAATAAACATGACGCGTTTATTCCTTACTCAGTCGTTCGGATGGTATATGAATTTATCAATAACTGCTTCTCGTCTTTAATCAATGGTTCATCGGCTAGGCCAACTCAGCCAAACCTAGAAACGGTGTAGATAAATTGTACGGCATTGGACGTTTTGTCGGTAACTATAGAGCCGATTTAGAAATTAGGAAAAGAATAGGTTGAATCAATATCCACAAAAAACAAGTTAAGATGCATGGTCACTTTAAACCTCACGATATAATGACATAGATCAAATTCGCATCTTTTTTATCAATGGCGGAATACAGATACTTCAAATCACATTAAATCAAATGTTATATTTTTTTTTAAAAAACAGTTATCATAATAAACGCTAAACATATTCTATATTCCAGATACGTTTCGTTGTTCAAATGGCAAGTGTATTGGCACCCAATTTGTTTGTAATGGTGCGGATGACTGTTCAGATGGACTGGACGAACGGGAGTGCGGTAATTATATTATTTCTCATAACCTTGATAATCAAATCTACTAAGGACAGAGATTGTTCAACGTGTGTAGATAATTAATTCTGTTAATGAAGCGTTCATGAAAACTGGATGGACGTATCAATGTTCATGCAATTCAAACACATTGGTATTTAGTTTGTGACATTTCTTATCGCGTTTCTGTCACATTTACTTGGTCGTCAGTGACTCGCGGTGAAAATGATCGTTTGCGCCATTAACCCGTCGGTCATGTCAGGTATTTTAATTGTCACTTTTTATTGTATAAAAGGGGGTAAATTTGTTAAATATTCTGAACATGCTAAACTATGGCCACGTTTTGAAAGCACTGCTTGTTCAGTCTTTGCAAACAAATATGAACGATCTGGCGGAATTGGAATTAAGACCATCGATAATTAATAACAAATTTGTCGCTGACAATGGGATTGTCTCCCCTGACTATACAACGCTGAACATCGAACTATCTTCCTTGTCAACTCGACAATAGGCATCGAATTATCCCCCCTATTGACGCGACGCTCGTCATCGAATTATCTCCCCTGTCTACACGACGCTGACCATAGAATTAACCCCCCTGTATATCCGAGCTGGCTGTAGAATTAACTCCCCTGTATAGAGGACGATATGTATACAACATCTTACTTTGCTTCTATAGTTTTAGTTTGTGTAAACCAGCACATATAGCTAAATTAAATATTATACTTACAGGAAACGGATGTAACACAGCTTTAACCGGAAGTCAAGGGGAGATAATCCATCCTAACAATCAGTCTGTATATTTACCACGTACTACCTGTCAGTGGCATATAGAAGGTGACTTTGGAACACACCTACAATTACAGGTGAGTTCAATAATAGAGCACTTTCTTATTTCAAAAAATATAAATTACGCTTTGATATCCTAGGGTCTGGTCACCTCAATTATTGCTTGTATTACACACCGGGGTTAGTGTTAGCGTGAGGGGCAGCTATTGGGAAGATTCAGTGGGCTGATTCTGAAATCCTACAGAATAAGAATCTGACACTCATACTAAGGATATGACACCCCCAATTTTGTTTTCTATTAACATTTTGCGTAGTAATTTTATATATAATTAAACACACTATTTTAATTTACTTTAGATTACCAAGCTAGATTTAGAAGATGGTATAGATTATTTAGAGGTTTGGGTTGGTGGTATGACAATCTCGACTAGTAGACTACACTCCCGTTTATCCGGACGGAATCTAAACAATCTTCAGCCAATCATAAGCAGTAATAATATTGCCATCGTTCGATTGGTCACTGATTCATCCACCCAGTTTTCTGGTTTCACGTTGCTATGGCGATCAGGTATAATCAAGTTTTCTTCAGTTTACATTTCTAAATGACTCCTTTTCTGTTGACTGCATAAAACAGAACAATTTTAATAGTCAAATTTGTTTCCACTGCTAGTTTAAGACTTTTGTCGAAAATATAACAATGATTTATTTGAATAAAGACAATCAAATCAGATATGGGAGTTTTACCGGATCATGCAGATCACATGACGTTATTTCCGGACTTTAATACAATGCATATATGGAATTTAAACTAAAGTTGGTGAATTTTTCCTTCAGATTTTCGATGTTCGGTGGCACCTCTTTCTGGGTTTAAGCCCGATGATCAAGCGACAACTATCCCGTCTGCAAGTTTTAATATGGCTTCGTGTCAGACTGAATGCAGCAACCTTGTAAACTGTGTGGCCTCCATCTTTGACTCCTTTCGATGCACTCTTTTGTCTCAGTTACCCAGTCTTATTCCTGCTACTGGTTCTACTATTTACTTCAAAACGTGTCCTCAGGAAATCGGTTATCCAAGTAAGATTAGAATTTTTTGTTTATCTGGAAACGGCAACATTTTAAAACCAGACCACGAAAAAAATCTTTAAACTACTTGTATATGATTTTATTTATTTATCATGGAGGTTGGGTGGTCGAATGGTTTAACGCGCGTATTAAGGGATGTCATGGAGTCAAGTGGCGTGGTTTCGATTCCCCGCCTGTACGTGACCAAGAGTAGGGTGGATATCCAACCTCGTGGGTTTTCTCCGGTTCTTCCTACTGCTAAAAGACCCCTACGCACAAGTGAATGAATGAAATAAAATTGAACCATATGTTAGTCCCGAAATAACCTAGATTGTGTAGAGTGGATGTTAAACCCCATTTCTTTTCGCCCTCTCTTATCTATTTATCAACTGTAAAACTTATTGTTTAATGGTTTAGTTCAGCATTTGCCACCTTGCAACTGTAAATACTAAACTATTAAAATATTTGATCACTTTTTAATTTTTTTAAAAAAAAATGTCTTCCAGTTTTATCCAGTCTTCCACTAGGGCAATCTCCACTACAAGCGGTTGGAACATCCAAACAGCTGAAATCTCCTTTGTATCCTGTTTATTCCGTAGATGACCTTGTGACCTCCTGGGTAATCACGTCTACCGGTTCTAAAGTGATAACATTAGAGGTAAATGTTTTAAGACATGCTCATTACTACAGAATTTAATTAGAGACCAATTGGGTGCTCTTGTGTTTTAGATGATAAGATTTGTCATTGATTCAAGTGACGTGGTCTCGATCCCAGGCTTGTTCAATAAAGCCATTCCACATGTTTATCCCGAAATTACATGGCTAGGATTCAGTGGTCATCAAACCCCATTTTCTAAAATTCCAGGGTTCCTATAAAATCAAACCATATTAACCTCATGTTAAGAAACATTATATGTTTTTTTTTATCTAATGATGTATTTTAGGTTGTAGATTTAGATATATCTGTATCAGGGGAGATAACTATACATGACGGTGACAGTCCTGCGTCACCCACTTTATTAAAACTACGTCATGATAGTCGAGACAAACAGATTATATCAACCAGCAACAACCTGTATATCTACTATAATACTGGTACAACAGATACAATTAACAGAAGAGGCTTTCTCTTTACTTATAGAGAAGGTAGGTAAAAAACATAAAATCAACCTACCGGTATATGATCATATCTAATCTCCGAAACCTTGTTATCCGTTCAGAATTTACAGAGACGTCAATGCTTTGAATTAGAAATTTCGATGCCGATAACAACTTTTCAAGGAAATGGGGTTTAACGTCCTACTGTTCTGCTCCTACTTGGCTAATGAAGACAGGCATACACCATACAGTGTGCTACGAGGGGAATTTTTCCCGGGCAGCGGTACTATGGCCTACTCTTATATCAAATTCCAACTGCCAAGGGATCTTTTACGTACAAGCCTATGTGTACACAGAACTCGGATTTTTCGTCCCACGGCTATACGCTTACTTTTCCAGGGAGTGTGAATTTGATATTTTAGAAATAAATATTATGTAATTTATGACCTACCTTACTATTACAAATATCGAAATATATGAACTAATATCCATGTATCAATTTTTGTTATTCCATTTCAGGTTGTGATTTTACGATCAGATCGAATCAAGGGGAGGTCATTTCACCTGGTTATGCACGTGGTCTATATCCCAATATCTTGCAATGTTCCTGGACAATTTACTCACTTACAGGAAATTCACTCACTCTCAACTTTGACCCCGTTTTTCGTTTGGAACAGGACAAAGATATCGTAAAGGTATGGGGTGAATAATAATATAATATATTTTATGCTGTAACACCTGTTGACAAAATATGAGATAAAGTAACCATTAAATCAATGCGCGTATATTATTAGTAAGTTATCCATATTGTGTGATAATTTGTACCTGACAATGTCTGTGACTGGTAAGGGGGATTGGATGGCCGAATGGTTAGGGTGTGCGCGCTGTATCATAAAGTCTGTCATTGAGTCAACTGGCGTGGTTTCGATTACCCGGTTTTACGTGACAAGGAGTAGGGTCGCCTGTCCAACCTCGCAGGTTTTCTCCGGGTCCTCCGGTTTTCTTCCCACTGCTAAAGACCCCTACGCGCTAGCGAATTATGGAAATAAAATTGAATCATATGTTAGTCCCGAAATGACATGGACTCTGTTTTATTTGATTGCATTAGATATCACGTCTTCTTTTAAAGAAACAACGGATAAATACCCCCCCCCCCCCCGAAAACACAGCACTAGGAAAATTCAATTATTTCCATTAACTGGAGCTCTCGATCCAGCTGTTTTACATTGCTTATCTCCTGAAAAGTAAATGTTTATTCGACGGCTTTTGATTCTGTTTTAAATGACGTCATAACACATGGAGAGTTTGAAATACACTTTAATAATAGGTATACAAAAGTAACGGACCGTCTGACGCTGCCCACACTGGAAATGGTTTTAGTGGCATCACAGCTCCAGGAACTATTGTTTCTCCTAGTGGAAGATTGTATATACAGTTTACTACTAGTGCTTTAGGACAAGATAAAGGATTTAAAGCTAGTTTCTCTGCAGGTGAGTTTTATATTATTATTAACCTTGGTTAAGAACAATATTTGAAAGATTTATGTTTTGCAATCGAAGATGTTTCTTCCGGGATGCGTGCGCATTATATCATAAGGTCTGTCATTGAGTCAACTGGCGTGGTTTCGATTCCCAGATTGTACGTGACAAGGAGTAGGGTCACCTGTCCAAACTCGTGGGTTTTCTCGGGGTCCTCCGGTTTCCTCCCATTTCTAAAGAACCCTACGAGCAAGGGAATTATTATAATAAACTTAAACCATATGTTAGTCCCTAGTTTGTGTCGAGTGGACGTTATCATAATGTAATTGTAATGTTTACAATTGTTTACGTTTTATATAATTTCAGGATGTAATGGTTTAAGTGATCCTACTATCAAAGTTGAACCGTATTATTCTACATACAGCTATAACGAGGTCATCACAGTTACCTGTATAACTAATCAAGTCTTCTATAACAAAATATACACTGGACAATCGAGCATTTCGTTACTTTGTACAAATGGTGGTTCTTGGAATAAAGAAATACCAACCTGTTCTCGTAAGTAACCAATCTGGGATCGGTAACCCTGTTTACATCACGTGACCTTGACGAAATCTGCAGGTGGCCTTAATATTTAGATCTGAGGCCATAGTCAGTGACATACTCACCTAGCAACCGTGGCAGCTCTCATGATTTGGAATTTATACCATATTATATCATGTTATTATATATATATTAAATTCTGTTTCTGTTCATGGGGAACCACGATGGCTAAGTGGGTTAGACACTGGCTTGCTAGCCTGGAAGTTCATCGGGAATTTTCCAACGTTTTTTTCCTCTTATCAGTGGTGCATGACGAAGGGCCAGCTGTCTTTTCGTTCGGATGGGACGAAAAACCGAGGTCCCTTGTATACATTGGCGTGCACGTAAAACAACCCTTGGCAAATGGAATTCGATATAAGAGTAGGTCATAGTGCCGCTGTCCGGGCAAAATGTCCCTCATAGCACACCGTATGCCCGTCTTAATTAGCCCAGCCGTAGCAAAACAGTAGGACGTTAAACCCCCATTTTTTGCCTGTTCCTGGTTTGTTATGTCCGTTATCCTGTATTGTTTAGCCAATTACACAAATGATTTTATTATTTTACCCACAGGCGTGCCGTGTGGAGCTGTTCCTTCTGTTACCAATGGATACCTGATATCTAGCACTGGACCATATTCTGGTTCCACAGCAACGTATGCTTGTAACTATGGTTACAATATGACCCGGGATGCCACCATTACTTGTAAGAGTTCCGGTTTGTGGGATAATGGTCCATCTTGTTATGGTAAATATACATGTTTATTATTTTTATGGGTGAACAACAAGATTTCATGCATTAAAGATACATTATGGGAGATTCGATAACGAGTTGGCAGTTCTTACTATAATAGTTAAAAACTAGATAATGTAAAGGCAATTTGCTGAAAATTTCATTTAAATTGACCCACTAGTCTCGATCATCATTACTAAAGTCAGTACGATAAACAGCATAGTCTCGATTATCCATTTAATCGTTAAATCGTGAAGGAAAGTTATTCAGTAAATCGGCTCATAATCCACTAAAGATCACAGGCTAGCGATGCCATCTATAGTTGATTATGGTCTGGATTGGTTAATTAATGTCTAATAGTAATTTAGATAACATTTCAGGCCTAACGGACTACCTGCAATAGACAGATTTAGCTCTTGCATTATGTTTAAGTAATTAAAATAAATTAAGAGAGCGGAGTTGTAATGTAATACACTGTGGCACTGTCAGATATATTTCATTAATTCGGCTGTAGACACATACGCCATGCTGATGTTCTTACCTTCCACATGGCCTCATATATTAGATTCGTATCATGTACATTGTACTGTCATAGTTAATACACTGCCCCGATGGTAATAGTCGATACGACTGCCTCGATATATAACTTGTCACATACGAAAGTTACGCTACCTGGAAGATGTAAAACCGATGAGAATACTATTTTGTTTAAATAAAGGTCATCCATAACAGTGATCTATTCTCAAAGTACATAGTTCTGTGACATTCTCCTTGCTCTCTGTTACTATATTTATAGTAATCCATTGAGCTGTTCACTGTTATAGGTTACATAATGTGATAATTTAGCTACGTCATGTTAAACTAAATTTGGTATTAATAATGGTAATATTATACATGAAGGTATTTGATATTTTAGCTAGATCGTGTTCAGCTAAGTTTGGTATTAATAATGGTAATATTATACATGACGTTATTTGATATTTAGCTACGTCATGTTCAGCTAAGTTTGGTATTAATAATGGTAATATTATACATGACGTTATTTGATATTTAGCTACGTCATGTTCAGCTAAGTTTGGTATTAATAATGGTAATATGGTGGTATTATATGGTAATGGTTATAATCAAGGATCAGTATTACAGTATAGTTGTATTGACGGCTATGAAATAGTAGGAAGTAATATTCTTACCTGTAATAATGGACAATGGTCAAACTCTGTACCTACCTGTTCACGTAAGTTAGCTTTATACATATCAATCCAACCTCGTGGGTTGTCTCCGGGTACTCCGGTTTCCTCACACTGCTAAAGACCCCTACGCCCAACCCAATTATTGAAATAAAATTGTTAGTCCCGAAATGACCTAGTTTGGATCGAGTGGACGTTACCCCCCCCCTCTCTCTCTCTCTCCATATTAATCTCAAATTATTGTTTTGAAAAATAGTTCTTATACTTGATCAATTAAATACCACATAGAACGCCCCTGAAGAGCTGCAACCCTACATAAGATCTGCCCTAGGTCTCGTAAATCGCTTTCCTCGCACAAGACCATTATCGACAACCACCATTCTTTCGAAAAGACTGGAAACACATTGGTTTATTATTATGCATTTTACAAATGACTTAACATTTACATAATTTCCTGTAAAGTCAGTAATATTTTCAAAATCTTCTTTAATCGATGACGATGGCTTACCTGTTTTATTCATAAGTTTTCTGGAATAGATGTCAAAAGATGACGGATTCATAAATGTTTATTACCAGATGACTCCACAGTAAGGATCTGCCCTAATATGATGATGTTATTATTCAATTAGGATATAGTGTCACACTTTGAATCGTACTCGTATTATACAACGTTTCATTTTTGAGTGGTCTATATCACTACAGACCCGGGACTGTACAGTGCAGTGGACGCTAACGGCAAGCCCCTGAATCCATTCACTTGATCTGATATGTACGTTTGTTTGTGATTTCTGCGTATTGTGTCTTCTACGTAAATTTGTCTTGTGTAATTGCTGGTGTGTGGTGCAGTCCCCCTTCACTTACTATGAAAGACCAATCCTGGTTTATATGACGTGATATTGATAGATAAAGTGCTTTGCTCTTTTTAAAGTATATTATTTGATTCAAGAAAATATTATTGACAGGGGCATTCTACAGTTCTGATTTAAAACCTATTGGTTTAGATGACAAAATAAATGTGACATATACAAATAATATTTTCCCTTATTAGGTGTAAGATGTGGATATACTAATTTAGAAAATGGGGTTATCTCTCCTTCTGGTCAACATTATAAAGATGACAGGTTAACGTTAGTATGTAACCAAGGTTACCAGATATCAGGCAGCACGCCGGCGTTTCTTTGTGGAGAAAGCCCACCAACCTGTATCAGTAAGTGTATGAATTTATTTATTTCATCGTTTTTTAGTAGCTGCGGGAGTCACCCAGTGACTATCATCATCGGTGGCTATTTTATTGACTGGACATCGCAAAAACGGCGTGTTCTGGTACTATTTATATAAAAAAAATAATATCTATACTTGAGCCAGTGTCGAATCACGACATAGACAACAGAGGCAAAGGGACATGGCGATGTGATGACATTTCTGGATGAGCATTGTATTGAAAGTAGTTCTCAGCCCTATTCGTATTTACAATATTCGATGGATTGGTATACACTATTTAACTTTGATGTGTTTATATATATATATATATTGATAATATTTACAGATATAGATGAATGTCGATCAGGAACAGCTAACTGTGTATCATCAACTTGTACTGATACTATTGGTAGTTTTACTTGTACCTGTAATCCTGGTTATACTCTCTCGTCATTCAGTCGTACTTCATGTAATGGTAAGTTCTTATTATGAAAATATACCAATCATTTAGGGAGCCGTGGTGGCTCAGTGCAAAAGACACCGACTCGCTAACCAGGACGTCTCGTGTTCGCTCCCGTTGTTGACCTAAAAATTTCCTCGAGTTTTTCTGGCGTGGTTCCCTCCTCCTTGTCAGTGGTGCAGGGCAGAGGGCCTGACAAGGACAGTGTCTAGCCTTTCGGATGGGACGAAAACCGATGTCCAGTGTACAAAAGCTGGAATTCGAATTCATTTGCCCAATCGGGGCAGAAAAGTAGGACTTTAAACCCCATTTCATTTATATCCACTCTTCATTTCAGATATTTATTAGAGGACTATCTGTTGTGTATTTCGCATTTTACTAGCTATAGAATTATATATAATTGTCATTTTAGATATCAATGAATGTTCAGTGAATAATGGTGGATGTGACCAAATCTGCTCTAATACCCAGGGTTCTTATACATGTAGTTGCTATAGTAACTACGTTCTGTTTACTACCAATGGACAAAATGGCGTCAATATTCCTTCTGGAGAAACGGGACTGGAATCTTGGAATGTTTATCATTATGGTCATACATGTCTAGGTAAGTACATCCAGTTTAAAATGTCTGGGAATTTGATATTTATATACAATAAAAACTCACTGTTAAGACAAGGCCCCAAGTTCACAAAGAATTCTCAGGCTAACGTTCAATCATTGTTTATAATAAATATTTTCGATCCAGAAACACATAGCTTTGTACCTACTTCTATTTGACTAACATGTCATATCATGTTGAATTATACTAATACATATTCTTAGAAACATCTCCAATAATGCAATTATCATGTATCGGTTATGTACATTGTCTAGTCGTTCGGATAAGACGACAAACAGTGGTCTTGTGTGTACCCGTCCTCACTGGCCTGTTGTTGCAGAAGGGTAGGGTGTGAAACACCATTTTATATATTCATGATTATATTTCAGCCATACAATGTCCTTCACTTCCACAGTATATTGTTAATGGCCGTTCTGTCGCCAATAAAACCAGATTTAATGTCGGTGATACCGTTACATACGTTTGTAATGTTGGATACGTCACACAAGGGGCGGCAATTCTAACTTGTGGTAGTACCGGAAGCTGGAACGGACAACCACCAACTTGTTCAGGTATGTAATTATAATTTTAAAACCAGAAGTTTTTAAAATCTAGTTTTTCCATTCTTGTTTCCTGAAGAATTATTTTGAATTTCTTTATGGAGGAGACGGAAGATAGTTAAAACTCATCTACCAAAAATTTAACACGAATTTCTAAGTCAGAGGCGGAAACTGCGTACAAATCTGTAATGGCTCAGCACTAAGCTACTTTGTGCCCTAATTACAATTGAGATAATAGTTGTGAGATGAAGCATAGTTTGATAATTAATAAACGTACTCAAAATATTGAGATTGTTAATTTTTTTTTATATTAAACGTATTTTTCAGCGGTAACCTGTTCACCACCTGGGATACCACCTACATCTAATGGTCTGACCATTTCACCACAATCATCTATAAACTATAACGACTATTTTACTTTGACCTGTACTCTACCCAATAATCAGATACGTACTGAACGGCGAGCCTGTGTTTACAACCAGGCCACTCGAGACTACGAAGTTCTTTCGGGAAGTCTTGAATGTCCAGGTAACGTTATTGTATAATTGCTTTAATCAAAACCTTTGCTCATAATGGAATGCTTTGTAAAATGGCCGATCAAATGCAATGAATATATTCGAAAAATCTTCAGTCCCATCATTGTACAGTATGGGGTTCTGATTATTCACCCCTTGAATATTTTTATTATCAACCCCTGAAGATGTTTAGGTTCACCTCTTGATGGCTTTTATTTTCACCTCCAGATTATGGAAGGCTAAACAGCTCTTTCTTCAATGTTCTTAATTCTCTGTTCTTAATCATAGTCCTTACAAATTACAAATCTGATATGACAAATGTCTGATTTGTATAACGAATATTGATGTTAAGATACAAATGTTAATTTTAGTGTACAAATGTCGAATTACAACAATAAATGAATAAGTAAGAACTAAGAATTGAGAATACTGAATAAAGAGCTGTTAGTTCTTCCACGCTTGTTTGCGTTTGATTTCACCTTAGGAATATTTATGTTTTCACCTTAGGAATATTTATATTTTCACATTTTAAAAATATTTTATATATTCAGTGATAGACTGTGGTGTACCAACCCGCTTTTCTGGAACTTTACCATATTACTACACTTGTACCACTTACGGTTGTTCGTTCATCTTCAACTGTCGTACTCCGTGGTTTCAGCTAGCAGGAAGTAGTTCTGCTAATTCCGGTACGACAGTGAGATGTGGAGTCGACGGACATTGGGATTACGGAAATCTGAGATGCCCAGGTAAAAAAATATTTTTTAGATGCTTTTGTGTAAGATTACAGTGATTTAAACTGTAATCATTATCCTCCCGCTTAATAATCCACTAGTGTTTTGCGAATTCAATCCGCCGATCTTCTTAGCACAAACTGGGCTTATGAAGACGGGCTTATGCCATACAGTTTGCTATGAGGGCAAATTTGCAAGGACAGCAACGCTACTATCTAGTTTTATTTCGAATTATAACTGTCAGTGGTTCTATTACTTATACCAATATGTACACGAGACCTCGGCATTCCGTGCCATCCGAATAACTATACATTTTCTCGTGCGTGACGCTCTGCCTTGCTGAAATGACAAATGGGAACCCTGCTGGAAAATCCAGATCAACTTTCTCGGTCAACACACAGGAATTCCAGGTTAGCGAGCCAACGTCTTACTCACTGACCCACCGCGAACCCAATCGTCTTGGTTTATGTGGTTCACATAATAACATGACCTCGCGCAATATCTGTGTTCGGCTAAAATCAAAGACAGAAGTGGTGTGTCCGGAAATTAGTTGAGTATTTGAAACGACGATGGAATCGGTCCATAGCCAACTGGGGCTATAAGATGTATATTTTAAAGGGCCAATCCCGATAATATTTTGGAGAATAAAACTGCTTAATTTTGTATTAAAATCCCTTAAAATCCTCTACATTAGGGCCGAGCAACTAACTCAATATGTGTGATACGTTTTCAAACAACTTAAACCCGTCAGTCTTCATCTGGAAATGGAGACCGGTGTCCCAAGCTGTATTATGCAGTGTCTGGATAAAACCACGCTTTTATTTTATAAGAATAATGTGTAGGTGAAATTTATCTTTCGTTATCAAGTATAGCACATGGGTCATTCACTGTATAAACCTCAAAAGGAACGGGAATCGATTATCAGGTCACCCATCGAAAAAATTGACCCAAAATCTTAAAAGGGTTACGTGCCCAGATAAGCACTTTTGGTGATCACGTCCAAACGACTCAATATTTTGTGCTAAAATTTTGAGACGGGGTAAATACACCATTTCTGTATATTTTGGCGTTTAAATTTCATACGTACCTGGACTTTTATTTTTGAGACTCTGTTAAAATCGGGATAGTCCTTTTAAGTTTTAAGTTGATGCAAATCTGGATTTTAAAACATACTATTTAACTAAAGTTGTGTGTGTGGTTTTTTTTTTACAAAAAAGGACCAACATGTTCCGACCCAGGTACTCCACCTGGTGGTCTGCAAGTGTCTTCATCCTATGAAGAATACAGTCTTGTTAGTTATACATGTAGTCGTTATGGTTACGGTCCTTCCCAAACAAATTCATTGATGTGCTATTGGGACTCGACAAGAAATGCTCTACAGTGGAATTCAACCATGCCCCGGTGTATCGGTAAGTTTCAAATTTGTGTTAGGTCATACCGATTTAATGACCAGTTCTCCGGTGTCGTGATTTAAATGAAAGATGTTTAATTTAAAAATTTAAAAATTAAAAAAAAAAAATGAAACTAGAAATTTTGAAAAGCGCAATCAAGTTCTTTACCTTTTAATATAGTCTTTTCCCCGAAGAAATGCGATCCAAATCAGGTGTTCCGAAAAACAGATAATCAATTTTGTGTGGTCTTAAAAAAATATTTTCAATAATGATCTTAAAGAGTAATCAATAAATATCCATTTTGCGAAATCCCAAATTTCTAGTTGGTTGAAGCGGAATCGCCAGCCCATTTGTCAAATAGATTATGTTAGTCCACTGCCTTGGGCAGATTCTCCATTTTACCAACTCAAATTTCAGATCTTCATCTTGCTTTTATTATTTCAGATAAATTAGTTCCAACATTTACCGATTGTCCTGTTAATGACGTCATTGTCAGTAAAATGTCAACGGCAGGAATTCCTACACCTCGTGCTACTGACAACAGTAATATGATTGCTAGTTTGGAGATAACGCCACCTACATTCTCTGTTGATCATGTTGTCAAGGCCGACCAGTATGTGACATATAGAGCTACGGATCACGCTGGTAACCAAGCAACCTGCTCTTTTGACATCAGAATCAAGGGTAAGTTTATTTTATGGTAAGATTCAGCTAAGCTAAAATAAAGGAATGGGGTTTAAAATCCCGTCAACAAAAAACCTCAGTTTTTACCCCGTCTGATCGGCTAGCGAGATTCAGCGAAAATAAAGAAATGGAGTTTAAAGTCTCGTCAACACAGTACCTCGAATTTCGTCCCATCCAATCAACTAGGCAACATCTTACTTGTCCGTCCCACAGGCATATCAGTGGGAACAGTCCCGAACTCGCCATGTGAAGTTCGTTAAAGTCAAAATCGAGAGATTAGATTTATTATTTCAATTACCGATTGGACCAGATACATACATGTAAAAGCAAATGTACGCTTCGAAATATGTAGCAGAGGTCGGTTTGTGTACTAATTCTAGTTTCGTTTTTGACTCAATTATATCTAAATCATGCATGACCTAAACATGATCGAGCCATTTTAAATAATGTAGAGGTTCTTTCAAGTGTTATCTATAGAGAGTAAGCGTACGTTGTCAGATGCTACACAACACCCTCACACCCACCCCTGATTGAGTAAGGCTGCAGACCAACAAGATGGAAATACGTGTTATTCGGTGTTCCAGCTGCAGACCAATTTCATTGAAATAAGCGTAATTCGATGTTCAAGCTACAGACCAATTTTATTGAAATAAATGTAATTCTGTGTTGACGCTACAAACCAATTTGCTTGAAATAAATTTAATTCGTGTTCCAGCTGTAGATCAATTTGATTGAAATACATGTAATTCGTTGTTCAAACTGCAGACAAATTTGATTGAAATACATGTTATTCGGTGTTCAAATTGCAGACAAATCTGATTGAAATACATGTTATTCGGTGTTCAAACTGCCAACCCAGGTAGTACTTTATAAGTACGTTACGAAGTAGCATCTTTCACCAACCTGTGGACATCAAAACAGTTGCGGTCTTTTAAAATCTCCTATTTTGCTAACATTTTCTTCATTTCGTTTTTTCAGATGACCGGGCACCTGTTATTAGTTGTCAAACGTCCTTTACTTTTACTTTAAATAACGAGAATGACGCCAGACAGTATGACGTCAATTCTTTAGTAATCGCTTCCAGTGATGATTCTGGTTTTGTAACGGTCAAAGGGTCAGTGGATATAATACGAATAGATCGTTACAGTATTGGTAAGACGTACACCAATACCATAACGGCTACGGACAACAGCGGCAACACGGATCAGTGTGTTGTTCAAATATCAGTTTCCGGTAAGTTTAATAATATTCGTATTGCACCATTTACGGCCGAAGTAGTTTCTCAGTACCCCAGGTCATTTCTAAAGCTTCATTATTTTCCTTTGGTCCCTAGGTCACTGCTAAGGCCTCATTATTTCCCTTTGGTCCCCCCGAGCTCTTTAAATCCTTGAAAGCACCCCAACAGAACAGCTTTTTTATGGGAGGATTGTCTGTTTTGTTTAATGTCAGATTAAGAAATACTAAATAATACAAATATTTTTAAATATTTCAGCACCAAAATGTCAGCCATGGACACTACAAATGAGGAATGGTCAAGTTTCGTGTAACTTTCAAACAAACGGAGGTTACATATGCACCGCGAGATGTAATACCAATTACGTCTTCTATGAAAATATTGACCAATCATCAGTCGAGGTTACCTGTAGCCAAGGAGGCGATTGGAGCAGAGTACTTCCGGTTTGTGTCGGTCAGTATGTTTGAAGTTACTTATATCGTGTATCTTGTCTGCGATGTCTCCCTAGGTGGAGACGTACGTTAAGCCCGACAAGAAGAAGATTATGTTCCATCCAAAATTTGACTACTTCTTGCTTTAATATTAAAAGTCAAATTTCCTTTTTTGTAGCAATCCATTCAGCATCATATGAGTTATCGTTCAGGTTGAGTTATCAGGGGACAGGAACTATCCTCTCCAGTTGTAATAGTGCTTATAAAACACAACTGGATAGTAGAATGGCGTCACTGATCTCTAGTTTGACGAACCAGTGCACGTCCTTGAATCCACCAATCACAGTTCAACAAAACGACCCAATTGTCATTGAGAACTATTCTTCTGGGGTAAGTCTAAACCTTTTCTATTTTTTGCAAATCGTCTGGATATTACTAAGGTGAAACCGGACGTTATATACAACTACTTCAAACAAATTTATACAATAACCCCCAAAATATTTCAATATTTCTTAAGCTGTGCGCTTTAATATTTTTTTGTATTTCCATCAACTGAAATACAATTGAACCATATGTTAGTTCCGAAGTTACCTAGTTTGTGTCGAGTGGACGTTAAACCCCATCTCTCTCTCTCTCTCTCTCTCTCTCTCTCTCTCTCTCTCTCTCTCTCTCCCTCAATCCTGTGATTAACAACTTGTAAGATTACACATCTTTTTTTTTTAGCTAGCCCGAATCGTAAAGAAGGCATTTTTGTTGACAGACATTATTTTATTTTAAATACCTTTTATCAATTTTCAGGTTTATGCTACAATCAGCTTACGATTAGAACCACGAGATCGTTCTTCCAATGTATATACGACATGCGCAACCCGGATTAAGAATGCGTTTACCGCGCAGAGTTCTGTGGTAGATTCCATTAAACAGTTGTCCAGCAGTGGCAGTTGTCCAGCCTCATATTCTGCTACGTATCAATCGAATCCTACTAATGGATTTGGCTGTTCTCTTAATGAAGAAGTTAGCCTACTGAATCAAGCTTCCACAGTCTGTGGTAAGTTATAAAGGAGTTTTAAATAGACGATATAAACTTTTGCCAGGACTCAAAGAGACGCTTTATCTCCATTCTGATCGCCAAAATCAATGAATGATATACAAGACAAATGTAATAGAAATAATGCTACTGGTCTTGACGGTGGTCGTCTTCTCAATGGCGATAATGTCTGTCATAAGGGGGATATTCCCGATAGCGTTTTGGAAACACTAAAAATGAATAAATTGTGTTGTGTTAGAAATATTCTCATTTTATTTATCTAGAATGAATAAAAAATTAGTATACTTTTAATTATCATAAATTGGACTTCAGTCCAAATTCTCAATTCAGAGTGGATCAATTTGACTGAAATTGTCAGAAAATTTCCTTTACATTAACTAGTTTTTAACTATTATAGCGAGAACTGCCATCTCGTTATCTGATCTCCAATAATGTATCTTTAGGAGAAATATTTGTTTTATTTTAAGAGAAATTTTTGTTTTATTTTATGTATAGTTGATTATGTTTGGTCTTGAACTATGTATTTATGTATTTATAGTTGAATGTCCCCATGGTTATTATAGTTCAGATGGTAGATTATGTTTAAAATGTACAGCTGGATATTATCGTGACGGGTCCTCTCAATCCTGTCAACAGTGTCCACCTAATTCACGTAATCTCACACAAGGTGCTGCATCAATACACGATTGTTATGGTAAGTTGGGACTTCTTAAAAATAGTCATTGGTGGATCAGCTAAATAGTCCCCTTATCCTGTATATCAATACATGTATGTAATATTGTTTACTTTTTCTCGTTACGACCACCGTGTGCTTGACGCAGTATAGCCCGGCAATATAGCTCCATTTCATTGAGTTATTATACCGAGGAGAGAATTGTATGTACATGGTATTTTTTGTCTCTGTAGAGATAATCTTTTGACACAGTTGAAATGTTTCGGTGTTACCGGTAGTTACGCCATTTAAAGGTTAAAATTCACGAGCGAAACCCTCCATCACTGCCATACAATTTGTATTGCTACAGTTTCAATGTTGCAGTGACATCGGAAAAGTTCAGCAGTGAAACCCTCCATTACTGCATCACAATTCTTAGTTGAGTTATTATTATTTACAGATGATTGTCCAGTAGGTATGATCTCCAGTACAGGTAAATCCCCATGTTCTACCTGCCCTATTAATACCTATAGTAGAACAGACCATCGTACCTGTGAACCATGTCCTTCAGGTACACAAACACCTGGTGTTGGTGCATACTCCGTTAATCAGTGTCGAGGTAAGTAAACAGGTGACTTATATACCATTACGATATGTACATCCCTATATGACAATACTTCAGATCATGGTGGTCTAGCGCATACTGGGCAGATGAGTTAATGTAACATCATAAGATCAAATAGCATGGTTTCGAAAAATGAAATAAAATGGGGTTGAACTTCTGCACCGACTGGGCTAATGAAGACGGGAATACATCATACATTTCCTATCAATTACTAAAATTACTTAAATAAGTAAAATTGTTGTATGAAGACTAACTTCATGACATCGGGGGAAACCGACGTCCGGTATACACGTTGGTACGCACGTAAAAGATCTCCGTGCAGTTTCATGTCGGAGAAAACACCGCCGTCCTGGCAAAATTCTCCCTTACCAAACTGCATAGCACCTGCACGTGTTCACTATCCCGGTTGATATAAACGTAAGACATTAAATCCCTACTTCATTTATTTGTTATGTATATATATTGAAGTTTTAAGTACGTTTATATGTTATTTTATTCAGGTATCTGCCGGCCTGGAACCTATTCCATAACAGGTTTTGAATCCTGTACGTCTTGTCCTAAAGGATTTTATCAACCTAACTCCCGATCTGTAACCTGTCTGGAGTGTGCTCTAGATCAGACCACCACGTCTACGGGTTCTACGTCACAATCACAGTGTCAAAGCACATGTAAGTATTGATATAGCGCTGTTTTTTTTTATATATCCTCGAGATACATCATGACGTCGAATTAAACGATGTCGAGATAACGAATTTCGACTGTATTTTTCTTCACAAACTGTCAGACATCAAGTCTTGTATTTATTTATAATTAGCAAGACAATATTGTGTTAACGGGCTAATGAATAAATGATTACAGATACATTATGTATGAACCAAATCTACCGATTACAGATCTTTATTTTGGCGTCAACTGTTACATAAACCATTATTTTGCAAATTTATTCACATGACAGGCTACAAATCAACTCTCTAGAACATCGGATGGCCGATATTTAAATGGATTTGAACATCCGCGAGATTTAAAAATGTAACTATGAAATGGATAACCGAAATTCAATCTCGGATGTCCAGTACCATTTTTTCGATAATAAACGATCTATGCTATTATGTTGGAATTCGAATTTTTGTTATTTCTATTTTTAGCAACTATAGAATGCTACAGTGGTAGATGTCGTAATGGTGGTACATGTTATATAGAACAACATCAATATTATTGTAGATGTGCTGCTGGTAAGTTTATCATATCTATATTATTCTGTTAACAAAAACTCGTTTGCAGGGCCGTAACTAGCTCAGAGCAACGAGGGGGGGGGGGGGAGGTGGGAGGGCGTCAAGAATTCTTTGGGGTGCTGTAAAATTCTCGGACAATGTATATCCCCCCCCCCCGGGTCCCCTCCTAGTTTGTTTGGCAATTTATTTGTTTGGACCAGGAACTCCTAAACGGCTATATCGTGTTCTAGGTTGGCCTATTCATATACTATCCACATGAAAATTGGCATGTCTGTACCTCGGACGACTGCGCATCGATTGATTGACTTTGACTTTAACGTTCAAGACGAATGTGATGACGTCATACTCAGTTTCAGGTCCATAGCACGGTGGTACTTGTTGCCATCGGCTTATTTTCTTCCACTGTAGATGTCTAACGCTGTAAACATACCACACATTGAAAGTCACTAGGTTTCTCGGCAATCCTTTCCAAATTGTGTGCTTTTGTATTGCTTCGATCAAGGTATTCATGAAGCTGTACCAATTTTGACAAGTTCTTTTGTATTGTATAAAGGATTTTTATTACTATATATTATATTGTAGGTTTTACTGGTAAAGAGTGTGCAGATAGAATATTAGCATGTGATTCCAATCCATGTTATAATAATGGAATTTGTGCTAATAATAACAATGGTGGTTATACGTGTTATTGCAGCTCAGGTTAGTATTTTAAATAAAAAGGGGACAGCGTGACTCATTTTGTATGGCACTGGTTCACTAACCAGGAGAGATACACTGGGTTTAACTTCCACTCAACACAATTTTATGTCAAAAATCGCTTCGGTATTGGGATCTTTAGCAGTGAGATTAAACTGGGGGAAATACACGAGGTTAGGTAATCTACTATTAACAAGGAGGTCCAAGTGCCTGTCGAGCAAGCTCAAATTATTGAAACCAACCAACCATTTTAACGTAATGTTTACATTTTACGTAAAAGTAGCGTCGGGATGTTAACAGGGTCTAGATTTTCTATCCTGGGTTTTCCCTTCTCCGAATGAAACGGTTTTGTGAGATAATTTATGCCCCTTTCTGTTTTTGTTTTAAAAAAAGGGATATGGTTGATACTTGAACAATTGCGCATCGATTGATTGATGCTTGAGATTAAGAATGATCAGCGCGCATGTTTCATCTTAAGACTATAAGAATTCTATGTTTAATTTGTTTCCAGGACGGTTTTCAGGAGTCCAGTGTGAGCAGGATTCGAATGATTGTCAGTTTAATCAATGTATGAATAACGGTTCATGTCATGATAAAATTGGTGCCTACTCTTGTCTCTGTCCATCTTTCTCTGGTTTTAGTGGAAGCAGGTAAGGTTTCATTTCATTTTAATAAGCTGGGCCTTTATTTTCCTAAACTGGGCTTTTATTAATTAAAAGGAGCCCCTTTTCAGCAAGAAGTAAAGCTAATGTGGGCTGTTTAGTGGTTAATCACTAAAATCAGAACAAAGATTTCATTTCTGGGCCAATGGACGGGCTACACCCTTAACATATTATATTTGCGTTACGTTAGATACTTCCGGCCTACAAATTAGTCTTTAGGAGATGCAGAACTACGGATGTCCGGAATCTCCATTTATTTAAGTGTCTAGTCAACACAATTCGTTGGCCATTTTGAGGCCAACTCGTTGTTATGCTTTCGTAAACAATGCGAGAGCGCAAATCTTAATTTGATAAATTCCGGTAAGATAACTCCTAAACGACTATTATACTAATAACGTAACATGGCATTTTTTCCCCTAATTATTAAATGTGTACATTATGTTTTAGTTGTCAGAATATACGTGATGTTTGTCAGGAAGAGCCGTGTACACGTGGTCGGTGTGTAGTTAGTGGTAATATCAGAAGAAAGTGTATCTGCGATTCGGGTTATACGGGAGATAAATGTGACCAAAATATTAGTAAGTATAAGGCCACAATACACCATTAATTGCTAATCTTTTCCAAGATGGAACATGTGGCAAATTCTTGCCCAAAAGCATGTATGGAAGTTCACCATGGATATCTTCAGATACACAAACTGAAAGTAGCAGACTAGTAAACATGCAACTGTCGGCCCTACATTTCAAAGTAACCAATCCCTTGGCTGTCTTATCCTTGCGCCTTAAAATCATGAATATTCACCAGACCTGGCAGAAAATGTATATTCAAACCCTTATTTCTGATTTTACACCAATATTTAGATGTTCTAAAACACTTTGGTTTTTTTTAAATTAGATGAATGTTTGTCGTCGCCATGTAGAAATAGCGGAACATGTATAGATCAAGTGGCTGGATATACGTGTCAATGTGCTTCTGGATATAGTGGATCAAACTGTGAGATTACCAGTGATAAATGTTCTACGTTTGTATGTAATTCTGGTACATGTGTGCATAATTATCAAGATGGCGTCACTTCCTGTTTATGTCCTACTGATTACACAAATAGTAAGTATTTTCTTCCAATATTTCATAAAATACTAATACAGTGAAGTCTCATATAATATAATTTAATGAATTTACATCTTGGATTTGAATATAGTTATTGTGAAGGCCCCAGAAATAATTATGTGTTATGAATATAGGACTTGACTACCCAACGATCGACCCTGGTTTACGGGATTCCTTTGGTCGTAGTAGGCTAACTTCAAATATATATACAGTATATCAATTCAACTTTTATTTAAATACATGCAGATAATTTAGAATCGATTAATTTAACATTCACCAATGAAATATATTTTCACTTAAGGTTCTTCAGCGAGCGGGTGACCCTTAAACTGATAAGCCCTTCAAGCCGATGAATTATTCCAATCCTATATCCAATCTAATTTTATCGAACGTAGATCGTAAAGTATTGTAAAACTGTATTCTTTTAAAATATTTTCAGTCAATAACCAGTGTCAACCTACTAATTATTGTACGAGTTCAACCTGTAAAAACAACGGTATATGTAGGTCTGGGGGATCGGGCTATATATGTGATTGTCCAGTTGGATATGAAGGTTATCAATGTCAACATAATAAAGATGACTGTTCTGGTCAACCGTGTAAAAATAACGCCATCTGTATAGACCAGGTCAACAATTTTACATGTCAGTGTGACTCCTCGAAACCCGATACAGGTGGTAAGATATATTAATTTATCCTTCTATACCAGTCGCATTGACGCAATTACTATATGCGTCAACCTTGCGTTAACGAAGATGGGGATAAAATGTTGGACATGTTTTAAAACAAAGTCGTTGCATTTCGGAAATCGATGCAGTACCTGAATGGCAGAGATGTGATTTTTCAACCAACCAATCACAGTCTATTTATCAGCAATTATTTCATTTTATTAATCTGTTCATAGTAAGATATTTTTCTAATTGCTATATTATTTTCTTCCATTAATCTCTGTTAGTTAATGCTTGTTTTCAGGACGATTCTGTGATGATTTAAAGGACAATTGTTCACCGTATCCATGTAATTCGTCCAACACGAGATCTTGTCGTGATCTGATTGGTGATTATACCTGTGATTGTTATTCTGGTTATACCGGGAAAAACTGCCAGGTAAGTCAATGTGCTGATATAAATTATTATACATTATGTACTTCTTCTTGATTTCCAACAAATGAAATTAATATAAGTTTATTGATCTTGTTCCTCATCCATCTTATTCCATCTCTCCGCTCGAGTGGTTTACCGCGTGCGCTATACATCATTAGGTCTGTCAGTTGGTAACGTTGCATGGCATCATCCTCCAGTTTGTACGTTTCCACTGTCGACTGCTAAAGTCGCCAACGCTCAAGAGAATCATTGAATAAGATTGCACTATATGTTATTCAAGAAATTACCTGTTGATCTTTCATTCATCCATCCATTGTATCTGTCATCCATTCATTGTATGCCATCCATCCATTCATCCATCCATTGTATGTCATTCATCCATATTATTCATCCATCCATCCAATGTTTATTGCAGGATTATGTGAACTATTGTGCGAGTTATCCATGTCAGCATGGTGGTACATGCAGTAACCGAGCTGGGGGTTACACGTGTCAGTGTAGCAGTGGATATTCCGGTAACCAATGTCAACAAACCACTGATTATTGTTCGTCTTCCCCATGCTATAATGATGGCCAATGCATCAATACTGACGTCGGCTACGTCTGCAAGTATGTTAACTCGTATATTTTCTGTTTGATTTCGAAACTAGATAAAAATAATTCAAATATTGATCTGAAGAAACCCCCTCAAGAATTTCATACAGGCTAGATTCTTTCATTAAAATAAAATTCTTTAATTCAACATACAGTGAACTTAGTCTGTTTATAAAGATACTCTAGTGACTTCACCAATTGTAATGTTATATCCGTGTAACGTTACATCAAACACCAGTGTGGGGGTTGGTTTGAATTATACCCCTTGATTTTTGACACATCTTAAAATTAATGGTTTAACCATCGCCATGTACTTTAAAAGGAAGAAGTCTTACTTATCGGTATAAATTGGACACGGTAAGGATTTGTTATTTGTTTTGCCCTTCAAATAAATTTAATATCAAATGTGTTTCTTGTGTTTCAAGTTGTAAGTCTGGATATAAAGGTAACAGGTGTCAGGTATTATATGATGCTTGTGCTGTAGCCAATCCTTGCATTGGTATTGGTAGTCGCTGTTCTCATGACGGTACCAGATTCTCTTGTCAGTGTGGTGGTGGTGAGTACATTATCCATAGTTTATTTACTATTTTAATTCTACATGGGGGAGAGCCTGCAATATTTTCAACGAATTATTCCGCTTTGTTACGAAAGCTTATGACATAACATTATTGAATTACGATGTGTTCTTTGTAAATATTTATTAGTTGGTTAGCTCGTAACGATTTAGCTGCCCATGTTTAGTGCCCGGAACCTATGGTTTTAGTGGCATATTTTCTGTTAGATTGTGTATCTATTTGTAATGAATATACTGTATGGTACCTCTATATATGTGTTTTAGGCTGGTATCCATCATGCACTAGCTATGAATAGTATTGTGTTTATTTTCTAGGTTATAGTGGAACATATTGTGAATATAAAACTAATGCCTGTACAGTCTCTACTTGTTTAAATGGTGGAACGTGTCTAGAGGTCATAGGTCAACCTGTATGTCAGTGTCCAACAGGTAAAATGATACTTTTAAATTATACAAATCATACTAATTTTAAGATCTCTTTTAGAATCCGACCTGATATCAGAGTGCCATAAGTGTGTCTTAAAAAGGATATTCCCTGCTATTAAGTGGACACGCCGAATTGTGACCGTTTACAACAATGGGCACGGTGATTTAATTCCAACAAAGGATGTACATGTAATTCTGATTTTGAGTTCTGTGTATTTTTTTTATTTTACAGATTAGTTCTTTAGTAATATCAATTAACATTCACAATATTATTTCAGAATACACCGATGGGTGTGTTCTAGTAATAGCAGTGGTTAATGTATTTCAGACTTCAATGATATCGACATTATTTATGAACTTGTTTTCTGTGTATCTCGTGTGTTATATTCTGTCTGATCAGGTCTATATTTTCGAGTAATATCAATGTGTTATATATTTTAGGTTTTACTGATTCTGCGTGTTCAACTAATATCAATGATTGTCGTAATACATCATGTAGTGCTGGATCAGTGTGTGTTGATGGGGTTAATTCATTTACGTGTAAATGTGAAACTGGAAAATTTGGTCAAGATTGTCAAAAAGGTTAGAAATTACACGGTCTCTTATTTATTTACATCGTTTATTCTGCAATTAAATGGCATATTAGACATCTTTGAACTGTGATACTCGAAATCAAATGATACTATCGACAACGCATGCTCCATCTGAATAAGAGGCTACATCCTCCACGCATCAAGACTGAAAATTACCCGTGGTGTTTAATTGTCACGTTTATACTCGGATATGTAATTTGTCACTTAGAAACGTTCCTGTGGACATTAATACTACATGTACATCATACATTTGTCATGTCTGGATAATTTATTACAAAATCATTCAATTTAAAATATTTATTTTAGACGTCACGTATGCTTTTATATTGGTTATATTATATTTCTTGTAGATGTGACGTATGATTTCGATCTGCTTGTATCACCGAATGGAGGTTATTTATCATCGGATTATTTTATTCAACCGCAGAAACTTTCATCAACCAATCGTTTGAGTTTATCTTTCTGGGTCCGTTATACCGAGTTGTCTTCTCCTGGTACTATAGCAACTTTGTATGGAACAAAGTAAGTGATACAAATTATACAAACCAAACAAATTTCAAGGATTCTTTTCATTTATTGTTATTTTCCCCAATAGGAAACATGGCAGTCCCAATGATATCAATGCTGGCAACTCAATAAGAATTTTTATTTAATTGTATGTTTATATATAGCTTTATATATTGTTCAAACGCTTATATTGTTTTAAGCTACTAAAATGTCCTTAAATAGAGTATTTATAAACCGTTTTCATTAATGTGCTAACATTGAGACACCTTGGAAACGTTAGCTGATTATGACATACATTAGCGTAATAAACTGTTTATGAAATGCATTGACTATTAATTCGATGCTTCAATTTACAATATTAGTTTTTGTTTCGATTTTTTTAGCAACATTTTTTTTTATCAGTTTTGCAGATAATATTGACCAATCAAAAGAACTATTACGATTAAACAATGATAATTTGGTAGCCTCGTTTGGAAATCAACAAACTATGACGTATAATGAAGGAAAGTTGGTTGATGGTAAATGGCATCACGTGATGTTAACGTGGGATGGTAGCGTACCATTATTAATGCTATATATAGATTCCATGAGTGTGAATTCGGCTAATTATGGATACAACACACAATTACCGCCTTAGTAAGTAAAGTATGATTTATTGAATTTCAAATCAGTTACGTCAGATCTTGCAACATTTTCATCGTACGAACCTTAGTCTTTCTAGATCTAATGACATTTAATTCAGCAAATAGTTTTATCCTACACTGCAAAATGGCGCCACAATCCACAACGTGCCTATGGCTACAATGTTTCAGCCTGGTTTATCAGTCCAGTATAATTAATTTTCAAGACTCGTGCACTATTTAGAATGACTGCAGTTGGTTTAAAAATGTATTTATTATTTCAGTATGTGGTTGGTGTTGGGAGGAACTTGGAACTCGGCAACAAAATCAATTGATCAATCGAGCTCTATGACAGGAAGAATCAGTCGTATGTTTGTCACGGCATCAACTTTCTCTACCGCTGAACGCATATCTTTAGATTCAACCTTGACCTACGTACCTAGCAACGCTATACAGGAGTTTACTTCCGGTATCTTGGATGGCGTCAATGCCCTAGTTGACTATAACAGTGAATTAAACGTTGGCGGTTGCTATGTGAACGACACTTGTACACCTTTAACTGCAGGTACGTGTGACGTATTAAAATTAATTACGTAATTACAAAATTAACAGCATACTATTCGTTTTCAGACATAGACCTTGAGTCCGAAAGCAAGTTGTTAATAATTTTGGCCCAATATTTATAGTGTTAATTAACACCCGAAATAGTTGTTCATTATCATGCCTAGAAATTAGTTATAAAACATTTTCTGCAACTTACCAGTAATTATATCTCAATGTTTCGATTGAAAATGAACAGGGTATATTTTGGTTGGTCTATAAACGTTAATTATAACTGAATATTTTTTTAAAATTATATTTTTCAGCCAGTACCTCCACACCGAATGCGATCATATGTCCTACTGATCTGATGATTGTATCACAGAGAAATGATCTACCATCATGGCCAAAGCCAATTTACAACAACACAGAAAATATCAGAACTAATCGTTTACCAGGGGGTAATATCTCTTAAACAATAATACTCAATGTGGTGCCCTCATCAGCCATGAAACCGTCTTCATTATCCCAGTCGGGGCGGGACGTTAGTTTAGCCCTATTCCATTTCATTTCATCAGCCATGAACGTGACAAGGTATAGGGTAGCATATACAACCTCGTGGGTTTTATCCGGGTCCTCCAGTTTCCTCCCACTTCAAAAGACCCCTAAGCGCAAGCGAATATTGAAATAAAAACATGAAACCATATGTTAGTCCCGAAATGACCTAGTTTTGTGTCGAGTGAACGTGAAGCCCCATTTCTCTCTCTATTAGCCATGAACAGATCTTTACTATATTTACATAAGCTTGCAATCAGCTCAATTGCGTCTCTTGAGTGCGGCTGAGCAGTACTAGCTTAGACGTTTTATTGATACTATAATATTGCATTTCTGTTTTTATTCAAAACTTCCAATTCCCCGAACAGGCAAAATTCCCAATTAGAATCCATCTCACAGGAATTGTGATTGATTGCGATTTTACAGGGTCACTTGAAACGAATCTATTAGTCTGTCAGCCACACGGGGTTTTATTATTTTAATTTTGAATTTGAATACAATATACCTGTAAATGTCTATGCCATGGTCGCAATTAGAAGGCGATCTAAAACGTTAATTAAACAAAGGATGAAAGAAGAAAGAGTTTATACTATATAGAGATAAAAACTAAAATCTCCAATATGCGGTTGAGACAGAATAACAACATTAGCTGTATAGTTGTATTGATATAGTTAAACATATTTACAAATGTAATTGATCCTACTTTATATGTTAAATATTTAATGCTTAAATACACAGGCGTCGTTCAAATAAATACTGATCTTTTATGACACATCAGATATAGCCTGTAGCAATATTCAGAATATACCGACTATTCGTTTCTTTATGGCAAGTTGTTCTTGTGCTAATAGGTTGGCATGGCCAGTTTAACGAAGTGGTTGTAATCTAAAGAATATATAATATATCCCTTTTTGTTTTAACCCCCCCCCCCCCGCCAAACTAAACACCTGCACATTTAGCAAAGGTTGCACATTTACATCATTTCTTTCAAGTTTCCTGCAGTTCGATTCCAGTTTTCATTTGTTAGGGATTGCGCTGACTGGGTTGACACGGGAAAGGCGCCTAGACGTTTGGAAGGCACGAAAACCTTCTTAAAAGATCCCTCGGTAGTTTAAAATCGAAGAATAGCCCGCTGACCCACCACATTTGCCTTAACCATAGAAAAAGATTTACAAAGTGGTCCTGAAATTGACTGAAGTATCCAATTTGAAGGATTTAAAAAGTGGGTCTGAAATTGACTGAAGCATTCAAATTAAAGTACATGTATATCTGCTTAATATATGATCAAGATTCATAATTTCCTATTATTATATCGTCCTATTTATTTGGATCTTTCATTTCTAAAGCATGTTATATAAACTATACTGTATTGTATTATTTCAGCTAATCCAATGGACTGGGGAACCTATTCTATAGCTTTTGCCGGTCTAGATAATCAAAGCAATGCCGATGTTTGTAGTTTTAATCTTTACAATAGACGTAAGATTTGTATTTATAATTATATCATATTTATAGTTGAGATATGTTTCGTGACCGCGGTTCCTTGAATTTAGCTATAACATAAGACCCTGGGGGTTGACTATGCTAAAGATATTATGTATTTCGCGGATACAGTGTAGTGTCGAGTGTCGACACGTTAGAGGAAAACCGCCCACTGTAGGTAGTGGGTGTTGAAATCCCTAAAACTACCTGGCCATTGAACGACCAGTAATTGTGTCACCGTCAGGTAAATTTTCCGTGTTGCTACACTTATTTGTATGCATGGACCTTTTATATTACTTAGCCTTTTGGATTGATGGCACTATATATTTCATTAACTGATAACTATGGACAGATGGGCAGAGTGGGCAGAGCCACTTTTACAAGTAGCTTAGTAATATGAGAGTTATATTTCTAAAATCGATAAGCTAGAGTTTGTTCACTTTGCTAAGCTTTAATGTCAAATAATTAGTATAAAAATATATTATTAAAATAATTGTGTATGTACATTTGCCGAATGCCATGGCCACCATATTATATCCGTAACTTCTAAGATCATCGCGGCATATAATCTCATTATCGATTATTTTTCTGTTTTAGGTGCGGACTGTGCTGTACCAAAGAAACCGTTGCTAGGAACTATAAACTGTGTTTCTGTAACCGACGGTATCCGTTGTCAAGTAACCTGTGACCAATCTAATTATCGGTTAGCTGAACCGGTTCCAGTTTATTACAGTTGTGGTACCTATAATTCCTATGGAAACAATGTTCTGACTTATAGATACCCATCATGCACCAGTAAGTGGAAGTGTTTTTCTTAATTTAAAAAAAAAATAATCAGGCAAAATTTATGTTACCCGCTACTGTAGGGTGTTTAGTGATACAATTAAAGTTGTAGTACTCGTGGGATAATAGGGTCAGGTCTATATATTAAGGCTACTTGTAGAATTCGTCATGGTCACAAGATGTAACCAGGTTTAGGTCAAGCTAGGACTAGGATTAAGGTTAGGTTTAAGAATTTGGGGAAATGGCTGTCTGTGGGAATGTGTAGTACTCGTGGGATAATAGTGTCAGGTCTATATATTAAGGCTATGTAGAATTCGTCATGATCACAAGATGTAACCAGGTTTAGGTCAAGCTAGGACTAGGGTTAAGGTTAGGTTTAAGTATTTGGGGAAATGGCTGTCTGTGGGAATAATAATAATAGGGTGTTTAGTGATACAATTAAAGTTGTAGTACTCGTGGGATAATAGGGTCAGGTCTATATATTAAGGCTACTTGTAGAATTCGTCATGGTCAAGCTAGGACTAGGGTTAAGGTTAGGTTTAAGAATTTGGGGAAATGGCTGTCTGTTCGAATAATAATCCTAACTATCAAGTTGTATAATATTAAAATAACGAAATTATAATAGAATGCAGGCAGTTATAAAATTGTTATTGTTTTTTTCTTTAGCTTGTGCAACACCAAAAAATGACATCACCATCTCAGTGACCTTTGACCTGCAACTAACGTGTGATTCTATTGGTCAGTCTAGTATAGAATCTAATGTAAGAGGAAGTTTAATTGGTTTAAACAGTAGATATAATGGGAGTATATGTTACAGTAGTGATTGTAGTGCTATCAGTATAATATCTACATGTTTATTTAGCAGTACAACATATATAACTTTACAATTTAAACAAATACAGTAAGTAGAACTTATATTTATTAAACTATCTTGTGAATTGATGCTCTGAGGTGGGAAGGAGGGGTCAGTGTTAACCCTTTTTATATTTCTTTCGTCGAGTTGTAGGGTCGGTAATGAAAAATTCATCTACCTGTGGAACGATTGGGAGTGGCATATGGTGTCGATATTGAATTCTAATCCGTGGTTTTAATTTTGAAAATTATTGAAAATATTGGGTTAAGGGTTCAGTTCCTTTAAAGCCAGTTTAGGGAGAGGGGTTATGTCTGTTCCACAATCCCTATTCAGATACAAATCTGGATAAAGGATATTGCTCATAAAAAAGCAAGTGTTTTTAAGTTTAAATCTTTAATATATTGTTTTAGGTCTACTATAACAGTTGGTGTACAAGAATTACCCACAGTTGATGTTTTATCAACAGCTATCATTGATGATGCAGCCATTACTATTACCGTAAGTTTTTCTCTTTTTACTTACGGAAGTTCATCCGACGTGGTTTTCCCTTGTCAGTGGTGCAGGACGGAGGGCCTGACAAGAACAGCTGTCTAGACGTTCGGGTGGGACGAAAAACCGAGGTCCCGTGTACACGTAAAAATCCCTTGGCAGTTGGAATTCGATATAAGAATAGGCGACAGTGCCGCTGCCCGGGCAAAATTTCCTTCATAGCACACTGTAGGCCGTTAAACCCTATTTTATTATGACAACTTACCCTGCTTTCAATTTCCAAGAAAATTACTTCCGTTAGGCTTTAAGGCTAGGGTTTATGTTGGAACGAAGAAATAGGAATGGGCAAAGAGCTTTACGATTAGATATCCCAAGGTCTAAGCTTCTCTTCAGACATTACAGTTATTACATTCTAGATAGTGTATAAGTATAAATTAGAGTGTTTCGGTATTTAATTTTTGAGGAAATCCTAAGACCATCTTCCATTAATTAATATTAGAGTAAAATATGAAGATAGTTTACAAATTGATTTGACTTTTCAGTATGGTAGTATGGTTAGATCAACCTATGATATCACATCTACGTCAGTATGTGACGTAGGAAGACAGCTTCTAGATGGCTGCTGTGGTAAGTCTATTTAGTTATTTGCTATATTTGTGGAATCAGTTTTGGACAGTATATGTTTCTGAAAAGAAATCTGGACATAATACACTTTAATTTAAAAAAATAGCATGAGGCATTTGTGATTAACCTCTGGAGATCCCATTGAAAGATAGTACGGAGCATGTCTGTATGTAATCCAATCGCCTTTTAATTCCGTTGGTAGATTTTTGTTCTGGCTCACTGTTATCTTAAACCCAAAATGAAATTGGGTTTAACGTCCTACTGTTTTGCTTTTATGATGGGCTAATGAAGACGGGCATACTCCATACAGTGTGCTATGAGGGAAACTTTGCCCGGGCAGCGGCGCTATGGCCTACTCTTATATCGAATTCCAACTGCCAAGGGATCTTTTACGTGCACGTCAATGTATACACGGGGCCTCGGCTTTTATCTTATACCCGGTAAACATGGCCTTCAGTTAATCCATAGAGAAAGGTGTTGTATATGAAGCAGACATAAAATAAAACAAAGTACGAACAATCCAAACCATAAGACAAAATTCGAAGTCCTAAAAAAACGGTATAGGCAAAATAGTGTAATAAGGCAAAATAGTGTAATCAGCATATGGACTGTTCACCGTGTACAAAATACACGACAAACAGTGGTAACAGGTGTCCGGAAGAGTAAGCTTACTCTGCCTGGCGCCACACCCGCCATAGCTGCATCCAAACTATTAGGCGAAATGTCGGTAAAATAGCGTGATTGGCCAATGGACTATCGGTATGCAAAATGCACGTGATGAACAGTGTTAACGATGTAGTAGACAGACATTATCAGGGAGATCGTATACGCATCAATTAAATATATCTAGAATAATAGCCGAGAGAGACATGTTATATTTACCAATCAAGTCAATATGACGCCCATAAAACTTTTTAAAGGTTTTAATAAGTTTAGTTCGCAAGTATCCTTGTAGTTGAAGCTTAGATGACAAATGCCTCGATCTACTTAAAAAATCAGAATAAAATGAACAAGCTCTCGCGTAACGAATTAGTTGAGACACAAACACTCCATAAGCTGGTGATATTGGAATGTTACTACTTTGTGAATGCTGATTTTAATTTGTCAGGGCATTTTTAAAACTGAATAACATTTTAATTTTCAGTTGAATGTGGATTTGGAACGTATTATGACATGAGTAAATTAGAGTGTATGAAATGTCCACAAGGTACCTATCTAGATGCTATAGGTAGTCGATCATCAGGGTCTGGTTCCACCCCATGTATAGGTTGTCCAGGTGGTATGACCACACCTTTAGTCGGTGCCCAAACAGTAGATGAATGTAAAGGTAAACTATCTATATATTATTTTATCTTGTTTTCTGTTAATTCCAACCGACAACGTGCTTAACCAAGAGAATACTTTCAACAAATGTTGACTATCTTCTTTGATTGACATTTAGTAATTGAACATATTAACACAAGGTAAAAGTTTATGGATACATAATCACTGATAAAGATGATAGTATGCTCGTCGAAACGTCGCTTAGTATTAAACTCAGTAATTATGTATCCATAAACTTTTACCATGTGTTAAATATTTACTAATTTGATCATTCCGGTCGTCGGGGAGGACAAATGACTATAGTGGGGTTATTGGGAGAGCTTTTTACAGCAGGGTGTCATTATAACCACATTCAAAGCACTGTGGGTTCATACGGGGTAATATGTATTGCTGGCACCATATAATCTGGGTTGGGGAATTCTCGGTCAACAAGTTAAAATAAGGAAACCAGCGTCGCTATATTATACTTCTTGTGACGAGACTAGATGATAAATATACTAATTATACAAATTCTATATCGACATCATTTGGAAATCTCTATAAATTAACCTTTTTAATATAAATATAATTCTTGAACTGTTTCTAACTATATTTTATATAGATATAATTCTTGAACTATTTCTAACTATATTATTATATATATAATCTATATCTATAAATATATTAAAAACACAACGTGGAGTTGGGGAAATATATCAGACTGGGTTTTACTATGTTTTGTAATATTATTAAAACAAAATTTTAATTTAGTTCGTTTCATTTTATTATTTCAATGAAGTAGTGCAATAACTAGAAGACATTTAACGAAACGAAATACTAATTTAATTGTAATTTGATTGTATTATTATATTATATACTTTACTAAAAGTCACTCAAATATATTTCAAATATGTATATATGCATGTTTTTCTATTTCTTAAGATGCGAATGAAACTATTTCTATAGATAATTCTACATCTGTTTTTGGTAAGGTGGTGGTAAGAAGGTCATCATCTGATCTTCAGCTTCACGTTTCATAAAATATGTGTACTATAAGATACTATACGTGATCATACAATTAATCGGAATGGGGCGGGGTCGAATGTCTAAGGCATGCGCTTTAGAACATGAGTTCTGTCATTGAGTCAAGTGGTGTGGTTTACATTCCCAGCTTGTACATAGGGTTGCCTGTCACACCTCGTGGGTTTTCTTCGGGGCCTCCAGTTTCCTTCCACTGCAAGATGTACGTTCAAGCAATGTATTGAAATAAAATTAAAACATGTTAGTTCCAAAATGACCATATAATACAATTATAGAAGACGGTACAATCAATTGAGCCACATAAATTACCTGTTATCAAGCTGATGACTGAGACCAAGAGAGATCTAAATTTGCTAACTAATAGGGATATATGTGCACTGGCTCTGTAGTCGGTGGTGCCGACTTCTTCCGCATTTTGACCAAGAAAGTTTCTCTGGATTTCATTGTCTGTGGTACAGGATGGTCGACATGGCGAGGAAAACCGCCAAATCTTTCAGATGAGATGAAAAATCGAGGTCCTGTGTATATAATAGGCAGCATGTTTAAATATCTCCCGATGGTTTGCAGTATGCAGTAGCGGTACTGTCGGGGCTAAATTTCCTCTAAAGCAAAATGCATGGCGTATAGTCTTCTTAATTAGCCCGACCGGTGTTAAAAGTTAGACGTTTCATATCAAATAGGAGCGCTGCTTATAATGCAATACATTATTTTGTATGATCACAAAGTCATTTGGTACATTTTATGAAACGTTAAAATATTTTAGAAATACATTTCAGACTGTAAATTGTTATTTAGTGTTCAGAAGTTTTGAATTTTAGCTTAGATATACCTAGTAAATTTATCATATTAAATTATGATACACCCTTGTTGTTCGGTTCCTGTTCCATGAATAATTTAGTATACTTTCCTTAACATGCTTTATTACATTATTTGCCATCTTCATTAGCCCAGACAGTAGGCCGTTAAACCGCATTTTATTACATTCTTTAATAGTGTCAAGTCGTTGTTGAATTTTATGATAAACCCTAGTTCTAGATGTTAGATTTTTTCTATTAGTATATTATACTTTCTTATATCTATAACCATATTCCTTTAGTACATCCGACTATCCGTATTCATATATACTGTACCAATAGAATTTTACCAGTAGACGTTAACCTTTAAAATCAACCAATATGATATTTGCCCGTAGACTATAATCTTGCAAGACCTCTGAAATAATAAAACAAGCCAAGTTTGAAACTTGCTGAAGGAAAGCTGAAGGTAATACATTCCCAGGCCTCAATAGATGAAAAAGCTCACTCACTTCTGAAGCAATGGCTACCAGTAGAATCTGCTCATTGACAACTACATCAAATAACAGAATAATGAAAACAATGGATATATGATGTGACAACTAGTCTAATATTTGTAACACTTGCTTTCGAGAATATAAATGGACTTCAACCTGATGATCGACAGTAATACCTTTGGAATGAAACAGTACTATCTAAAAAGGCACCATTACGCCTTTAGTCACAAAATGAGGGCGATGAAATGTTCTTCTCGCTCTTCCATTTTCTTCCCACGCTAGACTGGCATTTCATTTAAGACTGACATTTCAGGCAAATTAATCCGGACCAAATGCTTTGAACAACTTAACTCATGGTAGACAATAGCCTAGTTATAAATGCGCCACAACCGGAAGGAACATGTAGGCAGTGTCATTTAAACCATAATTCGTCACTGATACCAGCAAAGCCAGATGAAACAGTTACACCGATCAGTGGTACAATGCCGAGCTTTCTAAAACTAACACAAATGTGGAGAGATGTCGTGAATTAGTTCATCAAGATCAGTTTGTAAGACGGCTATAAACAAGGTAGAGATGGACTACCATCTGTATGTTGTTAAAACAAATATATGTTGTATTGGGCGTCCTCGCTGAAGGAATTCCTACCAGGCGTCGCTAGTAAAATCTCGGTTCCACTTGGCCTTATCGATGGTAATAAAACCCTATTTCGAAGTATCTGGATTAAATTCCATATTAACGACAAAAAAATAACGTTTGTCAACACACCAGTTCGTAATGAATGTACAGGAAAACAATGCTGTAAGGTAAACAATGAGGTCACGTGGGACCGTCTCCTCTGTGGTGTCACCTATAAACTATGCCCCTTTATCTCTAGCGAGGACGCCCATTGCTAAATTCCCAGTTTTAATTATGTTTAAACCGGTAGAAAGGTATTAGTTTGATGTGTTAGCAGTTTTATGGTAGAACCCCCTTTAAGACACCTCTACTCGAAATATCAAACCATATTGATAATATAAACACAACAAAATTTATCTTTATTTGGCATTAAAACGTTCACATAAAAATTACTTAGTTAATGTCATTTAATATAAGATAATTCCAAATAAACTGGAAACGAATGAAAATTCTGTTAACGAGTTATCTGTAGCGGGCTATCAGTTATTTTTAGAGGTATCATTTCATTTTAAATCGGAATAAGATATCAATTATTTGTATCCTTAAAAGATGATATTAACAGAAACATCTTGAAAATAAACAGCAATATTTTAGTAAAGCGCTGAGATTCCTTACTGTAATGCTGTTTTGTATTTTTCCAGATTCCTGTATTCCTGGAAGGTTTTATAATTTGACTATTGGAAGATGTGAAGATTGTCCAGAAGGATTTTATCAAGAGTTGGCGGGAACATTTTACTGTCAGCCATGTCCTGTTACTATGACAACTGCATCATCTAAATCTACTTCATCATCTGATTGCATTTGTAAGTAACTATGCCGTAATGTGATATCCATAATTTTGCTTTTAGGGGAAAAACATAATTTCATTTTGGGTAATTCACCAAGCGTTTTGATTATACTTCACCGACTCGGAGTATATACTACCATGTAATCGGCGGATATTATTGTAGGGGAATTGGTGGGTTTCGAGCACGAGTCGCAAAAACTATTAACCAGAAGAACCCAGGTTCGGCCCCGTTGTTTACCGAGAGAGTGTCACGGGATTTCTCAGCGTGGATTCTCCTCTTGCCGGAGGTGCAGGACTTATAACCTGGCAAGCAAAACACCTATTTGAACGAAAAACCTTGGACCTGTTTAGGCTATACCATTGGCAACACGTCAAAAATACCCTGACAGTTGGATATTGTTGACGGGTAAGCGGACAGGCCGCTGCCCGAGCAAAATTACCCTCGTAGCACAGTAGCTTAATGGTTGGTGTAGAAAAGTCAGGTTAACCGTCAATACATTTAGTTTCCTCACAAACTACTCAATTTGTTTAAAATGGTGTGCATCTATTGCTTTTTCATGCGTGAAACATGTTAAATAATTAATAATCTCACATTCAACCATTCGCCTCATTTTATTCGAGATAGACTATCTTCGAGATAACGTATATTAATTCTTTTAATATTTATCATTTCAGTGGGTTCCTATATTACCTCTACTGTTCCTCCAGAAGTAATTAATACGAATGGTAAGTTCATATTATTAATTTTCAAGGACAGTCTGGCCATTAGGTGATCAATGAACTGTACGTTTTCTTCAATGTCAACCAGCATGGTTTAATGCTATTCGCTAGTATTATAAAAGCAATGAATAATATAATAGAACACATGTTTTCTCTAAGACGTGGCTTTCTTGTCATTGGATTGTATTGGTCACGGTGTATTAAGACGAATTTGTTTCCCAAAGGTACCGACATATCTGTCATAAACCATTGATAGAAAGCACCGCCAATGGTTTATGAGTGTATTTATGTTGGAGGTTATTATAGATATTGTCGTGAAAAACATGGCTATAAATCTATCGATATATAGTTAATGATTAATACATACATGTAGAAACGATTATGGTCATTCCATTGATAGATCTGTAAATAGATCTATGTATGGAAATCATTCATTGATTCGTACTACACATTAGAGTGGAAGATACGACCTGTTTTAGATCCGTTGTTGAGTGCAAGGCAAGCCCCATATTCACACTGGTAGTGAACGTAAGGTAGCTGGAAACGCACTGGATATTTAATCATTGAAAATATTTCCTCAGTAAACGGGGCTATTTGTTATTAACGGTGTAACGTTTAACGTCCACTCGACACGATTAGGTCATTTCGGGACTAATATTGGATTCAATCTTATTTGAATAATTCGCTTCCGTGTAGGGGTCTTCAGCAGCTGGAGGAAACCGGAGGAACTAGAGAAAACCCAACATGCTGCACAGACGACCCTACTCCTTGTGAACGGGGGACCCCTTGACAGACGTTGTGATTTCACACGCACGCGTTAAACCACTAGACCACCCAACCCACCAATTTATGAATCATGTTGCGTATGACGTTACAGCATGGCTTGAGTATAATATGTCGTAAAGGTGATAGAGGTTAAATTTAATCTAAATCTTGAATATTTCTACTTACACGAGATGACGAACAATAAACGCGCACCTGTAACTGTAAACTGTGCCCAATGAACCATGTCTTATATATATATCTTTTAGAATCTATACTATTTTATTGGATAAAGTAACAATACAAGAGACTATGCTTTTATTGTAACAGTGTTTTGAAAGTATTGACTACTGCCTAGTTACCTGTGCGTTATAATATGTCGTGTATCTATCTCTAGTAAATCAATCGATATCTGAGTTTAAAAACGATTATCGAGTTCAGTTAGAACATTTGGTTGAAAATGAACGTCGCGTATTTTCACACTGGTTCATATCGTTTACACGACAGTTAAGTTGACATTTCGTGTCGGAAAATAATGTTATGAGTTTCAAATTTGGAGTACAAGTGTATCAAATATGGCAGGTAATAAATGTAATAGTGTTCAGACCTAGTTGTATTTATTCTGTTTTTATTTCTTTATATGAATCTGTAGATAAACCACGACAATTGTTCACTACGCGTGTCCGTACATAGAAGCAGATTCTTCATTGATTTTCTCTGGAATAAGAATCTGATTTGGTGTATATGTTTCATAGACTACGTGATTTAAAATCTATGCAGTTTTTGTCGCCAGGTCCATTCTACACTGTAAAAAATATCCATTTTTGATGTGGCCGAATTCCGTAGTTTAACACCTTTTTTCTGTTAATCGAAGGATTTTTTGGTAAAATTGTGTTAAAAGCATGAATTATTTCTTCAAATTACGTGTTTTATATATTTCTGTGGAATATTCAGTATTTAACAGGAACTTTCCGTGAAATTTAGGGATAAAATGTTTTATTCCCTTCTATAATGGACTTAATCCTGTTATTTTACGGAATAAACGGTGGAATGACAAGGAAGTTCCGTGAAATTTAGGGATAAAATGTTTTATTCCGTTCTGTAATGGACTTAATTCTGTTATTTTATGGGATAAGCGGTACAACGATAAGTAATCATATACATATATAATCATTTATAATAATGATCATGTTATAGTATTCATTTCAATGGATTAACCATAATATGAAGAATCATATTTTGTAACTTTTGGTATATTAATTGAAATGTATATCTAATTTCCATTATTTATAAGATCTATAAAGTGTATTGTTATTCATCATACGGAAATCAGATTGTAAGTATTTTCATAAATATGTAAAAATATGTTTTAATGCCTCGTGTGGTAAGGTTGTAATATCTGGTAATCAAGCAGGCTTAAATCCAGATAGTACAACCCATTGGTCAGTTTAAGTCAGGTTGTCTCTATAGCAGAGTCTACCACTGAAAGCCTCCAACGAGTGGCGGGTTGTGATACCTTGCTCTCGATTCATAAATTAGCGAAAAGAGGTTATGTTTAAAGATTATCTGCGATATCACTTCGGTGGAATCGGACGTTAGATAAAGCTATTTGACGCACGGGTATAAAGTCAATGGTTAATTCAATGAAATTTTTATCATCTTCATGCTCAGGAAAGAAAATTTACCAGGATTTTTTTTTCTGAATTTGAAAATGGAATTTATGTTAATTGAAGGAATTTCTGTAAATTACAGGAAAAACAAATACGGATAAAATTTTCCTGGTAATTTTTGTTTCCGGAATTTTTTACGTTTTTTCACGGAAATTTTTGTTACAGTGTAGAGTTTCCATCATGTATTAGTACAGCATCGAGTCAGAAAATGAGTTAATACCGAAGTGTTTTGAATTTGCGGAAACGGATATCTATACATAAATCATTGGTCGTAATGTTTAGGTCGATTGAAAGCCAAATTAATGAGTCTGTTCATTCTTTACGGATATTTATAAATTGGTGTTATTGTTTTAGGTCCATTATTTAAAGCTAAATCGATACGATTCTTCATTCGTAATACATCTTTCGTTTACGGGTTATTTAGTATATTTGCGACCATAATAATAAGATTATAACGGGTGGACGGTTAATTGTAATTACGCCAATTTTCTTTACTTCCGGTCTAAACGGCGAAAGGCCCCGCCTTCTCAATGTTTCCTTGATGGTTGATATAAGTTAACTTCCCGTATCAGCAATGGTCCGACAGACTGGACAGTCAAGTCTTCTGTTTGGAAGTTACTAGATGGTTATGTTTTTAAATTTTGAAGTGCCAGGTTTTGCGCTTGTTTGGTGCGAGTCATTTTGGATTAAATTTGGATTTTTCATTGTGTACAATAACGTCAGATAAACTTAAATATATCAATTACACTTTTTACAAATTCTAATGGGATAAAGCTGAAAGTTTAGGATTAAAACGTCCTTCTGTTTGGTGTATGGAACTTGGCGACTCCCCCAACAAACGATCCAATAAAGGATCTCATGTATTTATAGCCCTATATTACTAGATATTTTATTGTGCTGAAATATAGGAGAAAAAAACTAAATCCTTGACCGTTTTGTTCTTAAAGAAAGGTATTTGTGTAGAGTAAAGAATTGAGATTTTATGGGTATTACATTCAGTGTGTTGGTAATAAAAGAATTGTTACCTGATTTTTATAAAGGACGACTGTTGAATGATAGTATTATATTGTATTGGCGATGTCAATGACATTGTATTGTGTTTGACGATATTAATGACATTGTATTGTGTTTGACGATATAAGTGTACAAGGTGTGTGACTTCAATATCATTCAGACAAGACGTAGATCGTAAAAAAATGGGTAAGCTATGAAAATAGTTATTCGTAACGGAGAAACTAAACGTGGTATTTGAAATATTACCACTGTTTAAACTGATTAAACTGAACTATTGTATATGTTTAGTTACGCTTAAATCGGTATCGACAATGCGACAATCCCGATTTGTGAAATTCCGATGCGCCGGCAAAGAAACGGTGATACAACTAAAATGTGATTTTTCTTAAGAATCTTTCTAGGCTATGATAGACTTTTTCATTTCAATATGGGTATCCATCTGTAGGAATCTTCTAAGACCGTTGAGGACTGGGATCCAATTGTTTCAAAGACAAATAGGATAATTCCGCTATTAATTTGTCAAGTACCTGCTATATCCTATGTATTTGTTTTGTATTTCAGCGCCATCTGTAGGAGCGAGTACTAGTAGTGTATGGTCACCAGCTATTATAGCGTTGTTGGTGCTGGTTATTATAGTGGTTATCGTATTATTTATAGTCATAGTGTGTTGCTGTTGTAGAGGATGTTTACAGTCCATTTGTAAGTATTAATCTTAAGGCCCGGTCCCACTGCACTTACGGATGCAAAGAGGATGTAAACGGGGAAAATAACGTGCCCTCCGTTTGAAAACGCCAAGCATCCGTTGTGTATTCATTGCATACGTGTTTCATACGCTCTATCCATCGAGCATCCGTTCACTTTGATTTCGTCCGCGCAAAAAGTTTTGAGCTGCACAAAACTTTTATAACGGATGAAGTTTCTGCCGTGTACGATGTAAATGCGCGACATATACGAGCACCAAACGTTCCATGTCCGTTAGCATCCGTTAAACGTCCACTGTATCCTCTCTGCGTCCTCTGGGCATCCTCGCAACTCACATCCGCTCCAGCTGAAAACGGAAAGAGGGCGGAAAGATAAGGTACATGGAACGTCTATACATCGTTAGTAGCACGGAAATAGAAAGGATGTAAGCGTATGCATCTCGTATATAAAGTTTTCAAAACGGACAAAGCGTTTGTATCTGGGATGTATCTGGTATATTGAAGGATGTCTTGAGTTTGCCTAACCCCTTCGGAGCTGTCATCCACTTCCATCCGCTTTCATCCGCTAGGCTTCCGATGAACATCCATTTAACATCCCCGCTACATACTTCCCACGTTCGTTCTTTTCCGTTCTGTTTTCGCAAATTTTCGTCAATTTTGTCCATTTCTGGAGCGGATGAAAACGGATGGAGCCACCCCCGAAAGTTTGCTCGTCCGCTGTGTCCTTTTTGCATACGTTTTGTGTCCATCGGCCACTGGGACCGGGCCTTTAGTTTATACGTCCGTTGTTCTTCAGGCTCGCTTTTCATCTACCCACCACATACCTTCAGCCCCATTCCCATCAACATATTCCATGATCAAATAAAAACGACCTCAACACCATGACTTCTATTTATTATAGGGGGGTTGGATGGCCGAATGGTTAGCACGCGCGCGCTGTATCATACAGCGGGGTCAACTGGCGGGGTTTCGATTCCCCGGTTGTACGTGACAAGGAGTTGGGTCGCCTGTCCAACCTCGTGGGTTTTCTCCGGGTCCTCCGGTCCCCCCCCCCCCACGCGCAAGCGAATTATTGAAATAAAATTGAACCATGTGTTAGTCCCGAAATGACCTAGTTTGTGTCGAGTGGACGTTAAACATCATCTCTCTCTCTCTCTCTCTCTCTCTCTCTCTCTCTCCCCGGAGGGCGTCACCCCCCCCCCCCACACTCCTGGCTGACAACTAAGGATATATATCGATCACACTACGTAATAGTGAGCCACGGTGGCTGTGAGTTAAGCACAGTCTCCCTGTAACCAGGAGGTCCCTAGTTCAATTCTGGTGTGTTCGAGACGTATACACCAAGGTGAGGGGGATTATTAGACCGTAGTATGCTCGATAATAACTTACCCTATTCAACATTACCTATACAACATAATCTATTCAACATAATCTATTCAGCACATAGCCTATCTTTGTCATTTATTGGGGATCGGATGGACTGCATCATAAGGTATGTCACTGAGTCAACTGGCGGGGTTTCGATTGCCTGCTAAAGGCCCCTACGTGCAAGCGAGTTATTGAAATAAAATTGAACTATATGTTAGTCCCGAAATGACCTAGTTTGTGTCGAATGGACGTTTGTAAATAAATAAAAAAATAATAAATTATTATTTGTAAATATATATTATTTCCGGGAATAATGAATGAATTTTTTTTATTGTGGTCTTGTTTAAATAATTATTTTACTATTTCAGGTCCGTGTTTTGTATCCAAGGTTGGTCCTGATGAGAAAACTGAATGGCACCACGTTAATAGGTAGGTTGAGATATTGAGATAAACAATATAGCTGCAACAGGTCTCGTGCACGAGGATGGGTAGACTTACTAAACCATCAGATACGATTTCTAATACAACTTCCCATTTGAGGTGGTGTTCATATAACAAATTTGTTTGATATGAAGTGTTTATAGACAATAAACAGAAATGTAATGTAATGGGGTTTTATCTTCATCTCTTTCTGTACTGATTGAACTAATGAAGACGAACATATGCAATACAGTGTGCTGTGAGGGAAATTTTGCCCGGACAGTGGCGCCTCGGCTTACTCTTATTTTTGTCCTTCTGTCCTGCACCACTGATAAGAGGAAACCACGTCGAAAAATTCCGAGGAACTTTCTCGGCCAATAACGTGATCGAACCCTTAGCTTCCTGTTAGTGAGTCAACATCTTACTCACTGAGCCAATGCGGCTCCCGGTTTTTCTCGAACCATTGTATATTTATTGCCATTGCATATTTATTTATGTTTTTAATGGTATAATGCTATGTATATGCGATATCACAGGGTTACGTCAATTCTTATATTTCACAGAGTCATATGTATATTTAGGTCAAAGGTATATTTATAGTTTAAGTAAATATCCCCCAGGTTTGAATTCATGTACATGTATAATACGTGTGTAGGAATAATTTGAGAACTAACACGATAATATTTACTAGACAAGATCTAATATACTCAACAAAAAACAAAATTAAATATTTACCTATCAATAAATGGAGATCGATATTATAAACTATTGATTATTGATTAGAAATAGAGAATAGTAAGAGGTAGGGTGCACGCGTGTTAAGTGGAGTTAGATAATTTGGCATTCACCATGAACTCTTATTGATATATGGGGGTAAGAGAGTGGTTAACGCATGCGCGTTGAATCAGAAAGAGTTATTGAAATAAAATTGAGTCATGTGTTAGTCCCGAAATGACCTAGTTTGTGTCGATTGGACGTTAAACCCCGTTTCTCTCTTATACTAAATCAGTTTTCATAGTTTCGATCCCAGACTTGTACATCAGGAGTAGAGTCGTCTGTCTGCCTAACCTCGTGTGTTTTCTCCGAGTTCGTTTGTTTCTTCCTCTGTTAAGTACCCGAAACGCATGGGTATTATTGCAATAAAGATACACTTATATTCGCCCCGAAATAATACAACGTCTCCCTCTTCGCTTCATATCCGTCTTTTTTCACAAGTCGAAACGTAGGACGTTAAATCATATTAGATTTCTTTCAGACAATCTTTATGTATTACAGATATCAACTTGTGTATATTATAGATATCAAACTGTGTGTAATGCATATATCAAACTGTGTGTAATACAGATATCAATCTTTGTGAAATACAGATATCAATCTCTACGTATTACAGATATCAATCTCTGTGTATTACAGATATCACTATTTGTGTATTAAATATATCACTATTTGTGTATTAAATATATCACTATTTGTGTATTACAGATATCAATCTCTGTGTATTACAGATATCAATCTTTGTTTATTGCAGATATCAACAGTTCTATCTATATTATAAATATCAATCTTTGTATATTATAAATATCAATCTTTGTATATTACAGATATCAATAGTTCTACATAGATATCAATCTTTGTATATTATAGATATGGTGAGACGAATATCAAGTTTGTAAGTTATAAATTATCTGATGTTAGGAAGAAGAAATTAGAGAAACAAGCTCTAGTTAAATCCGATTCAGAAGAAGAAGTACCTCCTAGAAGTATTTCTATACAAGTTCCTGTGTTTGAGGAGAAATTAAATGGAATGTAAGTATCTCGTATACTGTTGTGTTGAATTTCTGTTACCCAAATAGGTTGTCTTCTTAATCGTTCGGATGGGACGAAAACCCAAGACCCCGGGAACACGTTGGCGTGCACGTTAAAGATTCTTTGACAGTTAGAATTCAATATAAGTACATGGGATAGTGCCGTTTCCATCATAATGCTCTGGATGGCGTATGCCCGTAGGACGTTAAACCCCATTTCATTTAGATTGTCTACGAATAACATATATAGCAGATAATCAAGCGTTGTGCAAAATCGCTGACAAAGTATCTTTGTGCAATGCTTTAACTGGGTATCCAGTCACAACAGTGCCTCGTAAATGAAGATCTAGAAATGTGTTTGGGACTGGATTGTGGGTTCTTCCGACGCGATCTTCGAGATGGATTTATTAAAATCTTTTTTTTTAAACTGGCCAATCGCTTTTCTGCTAGTTACTGTTTTGTTTTTGTTTTGAAAGACTCGTAGATTTATTTCCATTTAACTAGCTATTACACGTTGAGTGAGTCCTGTCATGGCGATGTGATCGTTCGGTTAAATCATTTCGTTTTTAAAATTACTATTCGCGTTGCTACTTTTTAATGGTTTTATGTGCCCTTCTTTATTAGCCCAGTCGGAGCAGAACTATAGGACGTTAAACCCCATTTCATTTTATTTCATTTAGTGGTTTTATATTTTAATAATCTTGTAGTTTTATTTGCATGTATTTACGTTGCATTTTATTATATATTGATTGAGTTATGACGTTTTGTTATAAATTACTTTTCGCGTTGCTGCGTTTTGATGTTTATCAATCTTCTTTTGCTTTGGTAAGCTTGTAGAATGATTTAAATTATTGAAGTATTTATCTATTGATATTAAGTCATGGTTGTTGCGTTTTGATGTTTTTCAATCTTCTTTTGCTTTGGTAAGCTTGTAGAATTATTTTTAATTTATTGAAGTATTTATTTATCTGTTGATTGTTAAATATTTTAAGGCCTGGAGTTATAAATGGGTAAGAATAACTACAACAGGGTGTATATAGCTTATTTAACACCTAGCTTTATAGATATTTAATGTCATTAAGATCAGCTTTATAGATATTTAATGTCATTAAGATCGGCTTTATTAACATTTCGTCTATATTTGACGTACCTTTATATGCTAGTGGGTTAGCTTTGCTGTGTGTGTGTGAAATAGCTTTATTTAACGTACGCTTCCACCTAAGTGATATCGCAGACAGATTAGCTTTGTTGACCATATGTTTGTTATAATTCCGAGAGGCTGCTTTTGTACATTTTGTTGCCAATATCTAATCTTTCATAGCTCAATCAACAATGAAATAATACTCAAATTGATTAATTGGCTTTTAATTAAAGATACGTTATGGGAGATAAGATAAAGAGCTGGCAGTTCTCACTATAATAGTTAAAACGTGAAACCCCATTTCATTGCTTTGGATCATACGGTCTGTCATTGAGTAAAGTGGTGAGGTTTCGATCCCCTGCTTGTTTGTGACAAGGAGTAGGGTCGCCTGTCTAACCACGTGGATTTTCTCCCGGTCCTCCTGTTTCCTGGGGAGGTTGAATGGCCAAATGGTTAGCACGTGCGCGCTGTATCATAAGGTCTGTCATTGAGTCAACTGGCGGGGTTTCGATTCCCCGGTTGTACGTGGCAAGGAGTAGGGTCGCCTGTCCAACCTCGTGGGTTTTCTCCAAGTCGTCTTCTCCGGTTTCCTCCCACTGCTAAAGACCCCTACGCGCAAGCGAATTAATAAAATAAAATTGAACCATGTGTTAGTCCCGAAATGACCTAGTTTGTGTGTGTGTCTCTCTCTTTTGTTTCCTGCTACATCGCAAGAGTGCTACGCGCAAGCGTATGTTGAAATAAAATTGAACCATATTGCTTTTACAGATTCAAAGGATTTCAAATCCCAAAAATGTCGGTTATTTAAAAGCATCATTATTGACATTACATTTTGTCACAAAAAATAGTCATAGTTATTTGTGAAATCCCCCCTCTCCCGTATAGTTGGCATCTTATGACAGACCATTACAGGCAACTAAAACCTTAGTTAAACGCAATTAGAATAAACGCCTTAGTTCATAAATAATGTATGATTGTCTTACATCTCTGCCTTTAGCTATAACGAAATACTATGCTTTATTAACTATAGAATTTGCGTGTTATAGTGTTAATAAGTTAGCCCTTTCGAAGACTAAATGTTTAAACTACATTCGGCGATATGAACGTTGTCTTTCATTCCCTTTTGTTTCACTTCGTATAATTAAACGTGTGTTCAATATTCGAAGTAAAGACTTTGTATTGGAATTGAGTTCACTGTTTTTAGAGCCAAAATACATACCAATCAAAGGATAATCCAGCTCTGCAGTATGCTTCCAGCTATATGTATTTGGTTTAGAAATTCACAGAAACATATCCGCCTCTTATTCATGCATGCTTTGTATTGTTTCAGCAAGTTTGCTTTTCAAATTGCATTCCGGTTTTTATTAATTTCTATATCTATCAATACAAAGCATTATATTTCGACTGTGTTAAATATGTCTGAACAATATTTTTATGTTTACAGTGTAAAGAAGAAGTCTATACATATATCAAGTATGGCACCACGAGCAACGACTCACAGATCACCAAAATTAAAAACATTAACAACACAAGCCGCAAGCATTCCTTCTTTTACAGTGGCTTCTGGTCAACATCCAAAACCACTTCCGCCTTTACCCGATAGGTTACGGAAAACACCGACGTCTACTCCGGAGAAAGTACGGAGACCGCCGAGTGCCTTTAATAAACCCCGAGTGCATCCGACATCTAACGATTATGAGGAGTTTTTAGTGAATAAACAGCGGGTGATACAGGATAGTAAAATATCTATAGATTCTGATGATGATGATTATAGATAAAACTAATTACCTTTTGAGATACTTAAACAATTACAAACAAAATGTGGCACTAGACCTAAACAAGGCGCCATTTTGAGACAGTCACGTGTTTTTATGTGTACAAAGATGGTGGATGTGAATAAGTGAAATTGTTAAAAAAAAAATACCTTTTTTATGTGATAACAAATGGAAGTAAACAAACACAATGACTTACTGTTTGTTCTTTATAAAAGGAATTGTTTATCGGGCAACCAAAGATCTAAACGTATTGTTGTTGAACTCCAAGTTAGCTAGCCATCTATTAAAGTTTAGCAACATTTCTTCATCAGAAAACTATATATGCAAAACAAACCTATTTCTTTCTATTGTGCTTCGGCCTGTTAGTGGTGTTGATCCATTAAGGAGTTTCAATTCTTTGATTGGCAATAAATTTAAAGTATTTCTGGCGAAATTGTGGAAACAGCAGCTTGCGCTTAGTTCTGCCTGTGTTGTCTCTCCTTATGCACATTATGCGAAATATGGTTGCTTCACTCCCACCCTCGTTTCTCCAACTTATTAGTATCCCTTTAAAGAGCTTTAAATAGGAATAAATTGGAAATAATACTATAAAGTTGAGGATAACAGCCGGTTGCGTTTAATTCGTACTGTGTTGTCTCCCCTTTATCGTATCTGTTGCTTTGAAATGTATGTATATATATGTCAAAGATTATTGTTATGTTTCTTGTTATTATTCATAAACTGTGATATTGTGATTTGTAACATTTTTAAAATATTCTTTTTATTGATTATGTATTTCACGGCCTTGGACTGATAAGCCTCCATTTATGGATCGACAATAAATGACCTTCTAAATTAGTGGCTGGTTGTCCGCGTAATTTCGGGTCAGCTTTCGTAACTAATTTTCTCTAGGATTTTAGTCCTTTTAACTCTATCTGATTTATTTTTGTTTTAATGTATAAAATTATGTTTTTGCTTTAACAGTCAAAATTATATATTTTATCCTACTTTCTGGGGGATCATTTTTCCACCCACCTGCTCCTTCTTTCGGTTCTATTTTTTAAAACTATTTCTAATGTTTTTAATGTATATAGATTTATTTTTAACAATGTGTAAATATATGAATTGTAAATGAATATTATTAATAACCCAATTAGCTACCTGTGATATTACCCGATATATTTTAATAACTTACCAGACTATTTTTATATAATATTGGACTATATTTAGATATATTATTATAAGAAATTATTTTATATGAATAAAGTACAAATGTACAATTTTATCGAATTTCAAATTACTTTATTGTAATGTCTGCCCTGGGGAGATCATTGTCGAATTCAAATCTTCCCAACCCGTCTGACAAAAATAGTACTTCGGTCAATTTATAAAAAAAGGGGTTGGGTATACTGAATGATATCCTTAAAGTTTACCAAAATTGAAGTACTGGAAAGTCCCAAATTTTGAGGGTAAAGTTCAAGTTTTTAAGCTGTTATCCTTTAAAAGGTACAATTTTCGATATGGCATGGTTTTCGTAGATGTCAGATGCTCTCTTGAACCATTTTTGGGGATATCATTACCCCAGACACACGCTGCCCAGAATACAAATTATTTATAAATGGGCATAACTCTGCACTGTTTATCATAAAATAGCAATATTGGTCTCTAAATTAATGTTATTGCCCTTTTCATTTGGAGATATACCCAGTTAGGTTAACTAGTCCCTTATACGAATTTTGGGGATAACCATACTCCGAAAACCTGAAACCAAGAACCCAAATTTACGAATGGGCTTAATACTGCACCGTGTCATCTTAATTAATATAGATAATATAGTATCTGATCTAAGGTTTTTGGGGTCAATATTTCATTTGAGGATAAGTGGTTCCTTATACCATTTTCGGGGAATTCCCTACGCCAAAACATTTTGACGCAAACCCAAATTTACGTATACTCGTAACTCTGCACTATACTTCATCACCTACTGGCATATTTGGTATGTGCATGTTTTGGTGTTCCTACCTCCAAAAACCTGATGTCCTGGGAGATGAGTAAAGCAAAACAAGTAAATAGATGTGCAACAAATTATTTACCAATTTGTTCTTCATAGAATGAAGCGTGATGCCATGTAAACTTCTGTTTTAGTTTGATCGTGCTATTTGATTGTTTATTGTGTCTTAAATATTAGATATCAGAAGACCAATGTGGAAGACTTTGGCTGATATTGGGTTAGAGACTTAGCTTAGCTATATTAAGCCTGTAGTTTCCTTCTTCTTGGCCTATACAAAAGTGGTATCAAATTTAGTAAGCTTGTATTAGAGGTGCGGGTGGGGTTGGGTGTGCGGCAAATTTTTTTGCGGAGGCAGATCGCCCTTGTTATGTAAACACGCTAGGGGTATATTTACAACAAATCCCTTTGTAAATGTGGAACTGATTTTCAGAGGACTTATTGCCCTTTCTATATAGACACCGCATATGTTCAATGAATGAGTTGCAAACGTATTGACAGCGCAGCGAACCCGACTTGGACGCACTGAGAGCGCACATAATGCTCCCAAGAACGTATTGTAAGCTACCTCGTGTCAATGATTTCACAATTTTCGGTGATATCACTGCGCTTTGCGAAAATTGGTGGACGGCCGACCGAGAATGTGACAGGGGTATTAGTGACCAGCAGTCACTCTAAAAAAAAGAAATTTGAAGGAATTTGTCGGCTAGTCACAGCTTATTACAGCGATATTATGCGCGTGTTATTGCCATTGTGACCAAAACCGCACCTCAAAGTTCATTACTACAGCCTATGGAATTTCACACGACCAGTGTATGTGGCGTTAAGTTATTTCACCGCTTTATGGATGTTTCGGATTCGGAAGTGTGCGGGCCAAGCTCCTTCAAGACTGGTATAAAGGTGTTGTACTATGAAGTGCTATGCGTCGCCGGTTAGATGTGCAAAGCCCAGACGCATACCCCCCCCCCCAACCACACAACGAACGTGTGACGCATACTGTCTTCTGTTTCATATTTTAATAGACTTATGATCGTTTAGTATTGTCTTTGGTTATTTTGTTAATTCTCTTCTTAGGATTTCTTTTCACGTTGTGTATTTTCTTCTTAATCAATCTCAACAGCCAAAATGTTTATCTACAGGCACAACAATGCCACACTTCGCTTCTACATTTTATATCAAGCACTGAATATACACGTTAGAAGCATAAATTACATTAAAGTCATTCTCTCAATCCCACTCCCATCCAAACTCGTCAGAGCGAGTATGCTGATAGAACTTGCTAGATCGTCCTCTCTAAGAATCTAGTGACTGTCTACCGATCGCCCCCAGGGCTCTGATGGTTTTCGGCGTTCAATTATCTAATTGGTCAAATATGACCTAATTAATGATAGTGATTGGTTACTAAGCCAAATAAAGCAATAGTAATTGTCCTATCACAAGTGATTTGGTGATATTTTGTTTTCATACAGAACCAGCTATGTTTTGGTTTTATAAATCTTTTTATGTGTCAAACCATCATTCATTCAATTTAAGTGCGTGGGATATGACTTCTCTATAATTTGAAACCAATAATTAGTCAAAGCCATAGTTAATATAATGATATTAATTTAAAGAGCAAAAATTCTACCAATCTTATTACAAAGAAAGTTTTATGGTAATGTTACAAGTGATGCAAGCTGCACTTTGAACGACATTTTTAAATGTGCTGCGGCGTGTCGAACATCTTTGAATAAAATAATATTTATAAATATCATACATTTCCGCAGAAGTAGTCATGTCCACCACGAACTTGTTTTAGAAATTAACAAAACTATTGTCGGAAGAAATAAAAATATTTAATTCACAAACCACAAAATAATTTTAAAAAACCCTGTAAAATGGAATAAGCAGGCGCAATCGACTTTCAGTCAATTTGTAATGTTCGTGTATTTTACCGAATAGAACTTACAACAAAATTTAGAATGTAAATCAATATAAATATGTGCAATTTAGATCATATTTAAGGACCCCCAAGAATATAGCTGTATGTCCTTTAACGTTTGGTATCTATACATACCAGCTGTATTTATCAAGTCAACTATGTCAGTCGTTTTGTATTTCTTATTCAAACAAAGCCCTTATCATAACTTTCCTGGTTTATAAATAATATCAATATGTCTGTCATGGATATGTAATCGTATTGTAATATTTGATAGCTACTGAGTGGTTATACAGGTTTATCATGTAGCAGGTAACGTGTTACATGATTTCTGTTTTCTGTCTGTTATTATTACATGCTAATAGGGTGGCGTAGAGAGTAAGGCACTGGCTTACTAAATAGAAATAAAGAGAGAGAAAGGGACTACTTGACCCAAACTAGGTCATTTCGGGACTAACATTATATGGTTCAATTTTATTTCAATAATTCCCATGCGCGTACGGGTCATTAGCAGTGGGAGGAAATCGGACGACCCGGTGACAACCCACCAGGTTGGACAGGTGACCGTACTCCTTGTCACGTACAGCCGGGGAATCGAAACCACGCCAGTTGACTTAATGACAGACCTTCTGATTTCCGTTTATCAATGGTGCAGGACGACGGCTGTACACGTTAGTGTGTACGTAAAAGATCCCTTAAGAGCCGGAATTCGGCGTAGATTAGGCGGAAACGTCACTGCCTGGGTAACCTTAGCCCCATAGCACACCACAAGGCATGTCTCTGCCTTCATTCGACCGGTCGATGCAGACAAACAGGACGTTTAACCATGTTTCGTTTCATTACATATATGCTGTATACATGTATGTAATTGATCTAAAAAAAAAACAGCACGTGTTGATTTCACACCAGCCTACTAAATCTTGAGTGCGTTTCATATTATAAATAATATCAAACTTCCTGGTAGAGATAAAAGTAAAATGTCGACCAGTAGATTGCTGTTTTACAATATTATTGTTATTTTACTGATTTTACAGTTTTATAGTATACAAGGTATCGTAGCAAGTATTTTTTTTTATTTCTTTTAGTATTATGTTTGTTACAATTAGTGGTGTATACAAACACTTATAAACCAGGACAAAAGTTTCTAGCGTAATTTAGTATGTAGAATACGATGACGAGTCGTAATCAGTCTGCCGTTGGGGAATTTTCGATATATTCCGGGTCAATGGTCAAAGCGGGCAAACGCACCCATCCGGGCAGTGAGAAGTTTACATCAGTGATACTAATTAATTAGAACAGACTATAGTCCTACACCCACAGTCTGGTAACCTCCTAATCCTTTATCAAAACAATCAAATGCGGGGAAAGTGAGGTTAAACCAATTATATGCTCGGACAGACTGCGTTCGCCCGCTTTGACCACTGACCCGGAATATGGTTTAACGTCACTTTCCCCCGACATTTGATTGTTTTGATAAAGGATTAGGAGGTTACTAGACTGTGGGTGTAGGACTATAGTGAGGTGAGGTGTCCCCATATAATTATCATAAGATCATTCTTGTTTTTGTGTCCATTTGTCGCCCCCTATCACCTGTGCTAAGAGCCTCCAGTCTATTACTAATTCCTAACCGTTGTGTGTTCTGATCATTGTTTACGGTATGCCCAGTTGAATTAGACGATAAGTGTATAAGAGAGGGGTTTAACGGGGACACTAACAAAAGAAAACTTGTATAGCTATATAACATATTTCCGTGTCCGGAGCAAATACCTTTTTCTTTGGTTAATGATATGTTCATCGACAATTTCGGGCTGGGCCCATCGTTATATGAAATCTCATATATCGGTGTTTTAGTAAGAATAGACTAGCAAATAGATAACCAGCATAAAGTAACGATGCGTAATTAGCATTTCTTTCTGGTTGCTTTACCCGCAGACCGGAATTGCAGTAAAGTTAATGCGTTTGCGACCGTATTGTTTTATTTTCTGGTGGATATCCCCTCTCCCTCCATATAACCCCAGAGGTGCAAGTGCGACCGTAGAATTTTTCCATTCTTCTGTGGGAGGTCCCCATATCTCCGACACCACTTCAACGATAGTTTTGTAGGGCTTTACCATTTGTGCCCCCCGCCCACACACACCCACCCCGCCCCGCCCAATGTTGATTTGAATGTTCCATTGTCTGACTTTCAATAAGTACACAGTTGACATGTGATATTCTTGAAATCTCAAAAGGTATAACCGCAGTTTTTATTAGCGATACGATGAATCCTATTGGTTTTCTGAATGCCAGACTGGTCAAAGTTATTGGAATGTGATTGTAATTTATATGCACCGTTGATATTCTTGAGACGAAGACGCCTGTTGACTTTTCTTTTTGGGATTTGTAATTGATATTGTCTAAGGTTATTTGAAAAGTGCGTTGTCTGACAATATGTCTTTCGATACAGATGGGCAGTAATAGCGTCTTTAACAATGGTTTGACACCGGCGTTACCGTGTATTCCAGAAATAAAGCTTGTACCCGCTTTCTTCTGTTAAATATCAAACGTACACCGTTCAATAATTTTATAGTTAACATTCTTCTTTTATTTATATTAGGTCAAACATACAGTTTATCAAGATCAGCATCATATGGTATTAGAGGAGGGGATTATGGATTTACATGTCAGATATCTGGTGGTAATTTTATACCCAATGATATTATCAAGTTTAGCAGAGACAATATCTCAATCTGTAGACAATTATTAACATGTACACCTGGATTATCATCTGATACCAGATATACATGTGGTTGTATTAATGGTAACAACAGAGAACTGTATCTAAATATAACTAATGTTCTATCAACCGATGCTGGAACCTGGACCTGTGGAGATACCTTTAATACTGGCACCAGTCCACCTGTAACTGTCCTTGTTTATTGTAAGTTTGTTAGTTTCAGAAAGTTCACATTATTATTTTCGGGCTGATTAACCGCCCCATGGACACAGTTGCTGGCAATAAAATAACTCAATAATTTCCTTTCTTATTGGTCTTTGATTGTTTACTTATTCAGTACATTTATATTCGAATATGATCATTATAATACTATATGTTTATAGAGGTTATTTAGGTTCACTGAATGGTGTTCAGTCGTTAACTACAAATGGGTGACAGCTCTAACTTTTTTAGACTAACTCGCTGACACCGTTCCTGCCACCATCGATTTCTGGAAGTCTGTTACTGTTGTACGTATCGTATAAAATGACATACTATTAATGATCAAACAGCAGGTCAGAGGTCTCCCGCCATCTGGTATAGCACAGATTATCCCAAATTTAAAAAATAAGGTTGACGTAACTGGGTTCTCGAATGAAACACTTACCCAGATATGGAAATGTCCCGCCCTAATAGCTGACTATCTAAACATGTTATATAAATAGACAGCCCGCTTTGATCTTTTTTTTTAGACATCATGAAAGGTTCGTGAAGCACATCATACGACGTTCCTAGAAGGACGTCCAACCGCCTAGGCTTAGAGGCCAGAATAGAGACAATATATAGTGTTTCAGTCGTTAGGTCTGTGTTCTAGGCTTGTTGAACAAAGACTGTAGATATTATAATAATTCATATTATGTAATATTATAGATGTTGCGGCTTTCCGTATTTCGTATATAAACAAGGACCTTATAACAACACAAGTTATTTAAAAAAGAACATGAAACATGAAACATGAAAATCTGATTGGATATAGTGTGTTTGTTTTGGGCCGTCACACAGGATAAGTGTGACCATAGTATCACATCTGGCGTTTTGGCCAGGACAGTGGCACAGCATTTGTATCAATGCATTCTACAGCCAATGGATAAGTAAATTATGATTCATGTGCCTATTTATTGGTTACTTGTGATGGTTAGTTTTTTATATTTTATGTTGACATTTTATTGCTTTAAATCTTCTTAGTGCAAAAACGGAAAATTTGACCTTTTGGCCTCCGGGGTCACAAAGAACAAAGGTGAAGTTAACATTTTTATTGAAATGTTGATAACTTTCGATCATTTTCAGCATGTTTCCATGATACAAGAATGGCTGCGCATTCATTTTCAGTGCAAATGACCTTATTTAATCTTTGACCCCGAAATCTCGAAAACGACCCCAACGGAGGACTGATTTGATTACCTCTCATCATCGTATTCTACGCAAATATTTTACTCTAGAAAAGTTGGGTCGGGTTTTGTGCCCATTTGATGGATCCCCCCCCCCCCGCACTGAGCCTCCGTTCTATTAATATTGTATTATCACTTCCACATATACAGCAGACATGTATAGAGTATAGGCTAATGCAAATTGTGAGTACCATTTACAATGCCAAATGTTAGTCCTGTTGGTAGGCTACAAATCCTTGTCTCAGAAAATGATACCAAATGAAATGAATTGTTACCAGAGATAAAATATATATATTTATATTACTAGTTCAGGAAATTTAAATTAATTTCAGATCCACCAATTATTACAATTCTAACATCAGATGCTAACAACAACATAACAGATGAAGATTCTAATGTAACCTTCAGCTGTTCTGTTGACAGTCTTCCATCTTCAGTAATATCCTGGTCTAGATCACAAGGGGAACAACTCTATTCTGGTAGTCAATATACCATACCTAAAGCTAGTTGTCAACATACAGATAACTATACCTGTACAGCTAGTAATAATATTGGTCCACCTGTATCTAAAACTATTCCACTCTATGTTAGATGTAAGTATAAGTTCTTTATACTATAGCCGAGTGATTCATATACTAACTGACTGTTTACTTTTAAAAAAGCAATTGGTATGGGCAGATTAGTCACGCATGTATTAATGAAGTTAGTTAGTAAGTCGCGTCAATATTATCAGATAATATTATATGATTGCTCGTTTTAATGACGGATAATAATAGATGTGTTATGCCTTTGGCATATGTTCAGCTGGCCAGTTTATATATATTTCTTTATCTAATGTTACTAATGAATATACAATTATATTTAATTACCTATAGTGAATTTAGTATAAATTGATTTTGGTTAAACACCATCGACAGCCAAGCTCTAGTAGCTTGGTGACAATGGAAGAGGACGTGACTTAAAACGCAATGATTACAGTCTGTGTGCTGTATTGCTGTCTATAATTATAGATGTAATGACTGATAATATTTGTTCTTGTTAATGAAACAAAGAAGTCAAATCCACCGTTATCATTAGAACCTTTGATTCTACCCGTTGCCGGAATATAAAAAATATCGAAAAGTAAGAAATTGGCCTAGATGACCACTTTGAGCAGCCTGTATTTTAAATTTATGCTCCAAACATTGTGCACATCAAGAACATCCGAACAACAAAAAAAAAACAACAAAAAAACCCACAACAACAAACAAACAGTGACCAACAGAAACATTACTAATAGTACATATACAACAGTTAATCTAGAAGTTGATATAATCTTATGTCTATATTTTAGGTTCTCCAAGAGAAAATACAATAACCAAGAGAAATATCACTAATAGAATAAATACAAAAATATATCTGGACGTTGATATAATCGCCTACCCTCGACCAACCTTCACCTGGCACCATGCACCTACAAGACAGATAATAAATACAGCTATAACACAACAACTATCAACTATAAACTATAAATCAACAGTAGAAATAACTCTAAACTCTACTCTATTTGGTGATTATATAGTATCTGTAGACAATGGTATTGGTGTTCAGAACTTCACTATTACAGTTATTGATGGAGGTAAAGACAACTAAATATCAATATTGAAACTCGAATATATTGAGGTTTCCGTTTTTTATAGACTCTGGTGTTCTTACTCTTTTCGGACATCTGGTAATTAACAAATATATGTCATATTCTTTTTAAGACAAACCTTTTTATTTGGTTACTTTAGTTTCAGAAGTCACTGTTCATTATGTACATTTTGTTTAATTTAGAATCACCAACGTCAGTACCGGGTCCTGTCGAAAGTAATAACACACCTACTATAGTTGGAAGTATTATTGGTGTATTGATGGTTATTGCTACTATAATAGTTGTTCTAGTTGTGGTAATATACCGTAGAAAGGGTAAGCTAATTGGGAAGTTATAACATACTTACTATCATTGGAAGTATTATTGGTGTATTGGTATAATAGTTGTAAAGGCATACCTACTATAGTTGGTGTATTAATTAATTGATAGTTATCCGCCCTTTTTGATGGAAAATATTTAACATTATTAAGGTGGAAGGATCTTTAAATAAAGCTAAGTCACAAATGTGTTAATAACTATATTAATGCAGATATAGTATACTAATGTTATATTAGTAACATTGAATACTATGTTAATAACTATTGTTATACAAATATAATATACTGAATGTTATATATTATATTACAGCATCAAAAGCTGATGATAATACGTACGATGGACTTGGAGTTATCCCCCGTTCAACCAATCAACCCGTTTATGATGAAATGAATTCCTCTACAACTAGATCTAATGATACAACAGCACGTGAAGATTCCTCACCAGCCTACTATAATACTACAAACGTGAACCACGGCGATATTACTAACACCGCATACGTCAATTCCCCGTCATCGTCGTCGACATATGAAGGACTGGATGTACGAAGTAATGAAACACATCCAAACCTTTATCAACGACTCAATACATCACCAACACCTAACATCTACGAAAACGAGGATATGTGATCAGCTATCAAATTTGTTAATGTTAGTGATTGTATGTACAACATGACCATTTACTCCGCTCTATAGATGTTAAGAATGTTATTTTAATAACACGAACGTTTACTCCGCTCTCTAGATGATAAAAATATTATTTTAATAACATGAACATGTTTAGAATGTTATTTTAACAATACCGCTTAGGGATATTCAGGATCTCCAGAGCAAGCGTTTTCACCTCGCTATAACTGTGGGTTACCAATACATCTAACGACATGGTGTATACTACGATACTATGATAATATTTTTGTTGCTTTTGTCAGTCTTATCTAATCGTTTGTATTTCAAAATCTGTAACATTCCAAACCACTGAATCAAACTGCGATTGCAGGATAAATTGTGTCATTCCAGTGTAGTTCAACTCTGTACGAGTGTATCAATGTATCATTGTACATATCACTGAATGGAACTGCTATCACAGGATCGGGTGTTTTTATATACTATTCAAAAAAAGTAGGGGATATTTGATTTTTAAGTGTTATTAAAGTCACCTAATGAAACTGACGAAGAAACAAATGACAAAATGAAATGATGTTCACATTCATCGATTTATTCCAAATGATCGTTAGACTAAGTAAGGCACAGACTGACCATTATAAGGGTAAAATGATACCCGGGGTCAAACAGCAAAGTTACCACAGCATCACAACCAAGTCAGTAACGGGTAAATCCTCCTCTGTTTGCCAAACAAGCATTGATCCGACGTGGCATACTCCTAATGAGACGTCTAAGGTCATTTTGGTCCAGATTGTCCCATTCCTGTTGCAACGCAGCAGCAAGTTCTTGGACATTGGCAGGACGTTGTTGACGTTGACGTAACCTCTGTCCAAGCATGTCCCAGACATGCTCGATGGGGGAGAGGTCGGGACTCAGTGCTGGCCAAGGTAATGTGGTGATGTTCTGTTGTTGGAGGTAACCTGTAACGATCCTGGCCCTGTGACATCTTGCGTTGTCATCCTGGAAGATGAAACGGCGGCCATGACGTCGTGCGAACGGCACAACATGGACTGCCAAGATGTTGTCCCGGTAGTACTGGCCTGTAACACGCCCTGCAACAACATGTAAAGCCGTTCTTCCAGCAACAGTGATGCCTCCCCACACCATAACAGAACCACCCCCAAATCGATCATGTCTGATGACGTTAACGTCTTGGAAGCGCTCGTTTCGACGACGCCACACCCTCCTACGTCTGTCCAAAAAATCAACAGTGAACCTTGACTCATCTGAAAACATCACATTGCTCCAGCGTCGATTATCCCAGTGTTGACGATCCCTACACCAACGACGTCTTGCCTGAATGTGATGATCTCTCAAACAAGGGATCACGCGAGGACGTCGGGCGCGAAGGTGACCCCTATGCAGTCGATTCCGAATCGTCTGGCCACTCACTCTCACACCAGTGTCTGTTTGAAGACGAGCGCTGATCTGATTTGCTGTGATGACACGATTTCTCAAGGCCAAGGTACGGATAAATCGATCCTGGGCTTGAGTTGTCGCCCTTGGTCGACCTGAGCGTGGTCTGTCCTGTACAGATTGTGTATCACGGTATCTGGACCATAGCCTGCTTATGACAGACTGAGAAACATTCATCGTCCGCGCCACAACCGCCTGTGTTGTGCCGATCTGTAGCATGCCAAGGGCACGTAACCTTTCATTTTGGGTAAGCCGACGCATATCAAAATTTGTTTTCTGGTCACTAAAACAATTAAACTGATGTTTCCACCCTGGAATTCAATGCCACAATGACTGTAACATTCAAAGTCAGAGTCGTGCAAATTTTGGGTTGGACCCCCATGATGATCCCAAGCATCACCTGCATTCCATGCGGTAGCTATTGGTGCGTTTGGGCGTCACATGTAACTGGAAATGTTTCTTCTGTTAGGTTCTATAGTGACTTTTTTCGTAGTCATTTGCATATTTTAGTATTATGCCCCCAAAATCAAATATCCCCTACTTTTTTTGAATAGTATATTTGTCGATCTCAATAGTTTTATAATATATGGAACGGTATAACATTTAGCTATTTTAAAATTATTTATAAAATGTACGTGTATTCTTATAATCATTTGATATTCTCTCTGGTATTATGGTGCAGTATTAATGACTTGTAGATTATTATATAAAATATTAAACAAATAGTAAATTAACTGTCTCTAATTACAAACCATGATGTTAAACAGGAAAATTTAAACTTCTTTCCTTTCCTGTGCGTCATCTTAAACAGGAAAATATGAAATACTTTACGCCCTGTGTCGTGGTTATATAATCACATGATAACAGCTAGTAGATGAGTTATTGAAGCTGGACACAAACTTACAATTAGGCAATTTACTCCAGACATTTAGAGGGTGGGGGGGGGGGGGCAGGATTGTGTGATAGAGACTACAGATTTTGACGATCTTTGGCAATATTGGCAGGATTCTGTGATAGAGACTACAGATTTTGACGATCTTTGGCAATATTCATAAATGTCCCTTTTCCGAAAACATTGTGGACGCCTTAGAGGATATAGTTTTTCACAGCTTCTTTTCAGATTTGGTGGGAATCGATGGGTTGATGAGAGGATCAATTCTATCTATATTCCGTTTGTATCGGATTTACCCACTCACCCCCTCCGTCGAAAACTTTGTGAATGCGATAAAGGCTACATTTGTAACGGATACTTTTCTATATTCCGTTTGTATCGGATTTACCCACTCACCCCCTCCGTCGAAAACTTTGTGAATGCGATAAAGGCTACATTTGTAACGGATACTTTTCAAATTTGATGGGAAATATTGGGGTCCTCAGAAATCAGCGTTTCAGATTTAAGGTTTTCCAAAAACCTTGTGACCATGATAAAGGTTACACAAAAAGTATGTTGAACCAGGCAATGCCACAAATTAAACCAGCAACTACTAAAAGCTATAAAATGGCATATTACACTGATCATTTCGTCAACAATTTTTGTCAATCTCAATTGTGATTGCTATCAAGGAGTTTCTTCTCCTGAAGTTAGCCTGTAGTTTTCAGAGTGAGCAAACTACAACCGTCGTTAAACAATATTCCCCCGAGACATGGTCACAGATCTTGGGTTGTGCTCCGACTAAATTGTCCTAAACACTAGACACAAACGTTACCTGGATATTTAGGCCGTTTTAACAACGGGCGATCTCGAATGTTCGTCTATTTATAGCATTTCTCTCTGTGTCTCTTTTCTCCCCTTTTGCTCGCTCATTTTTGTTGATTTGTTGGTCTACAATGGATCAAGAGGGTTTGAATTAACATTTTCTGCCAGGGTTTGGTAAATATTCATGATTTTGAGGCCGAGGGATAAGAGAGTTATCAGGTTAGTTACGCTGATATGTACGGCAAATATATATAGTTACATGTTTTTAGTATGCTTCTTCAAGTTTGTGGTGCAACCTCATACAAATTCTAGTGCAAAGGCATGACCATTTGTTCCTCTGTCTGTAGTGAAAAGCATTCAGCCCAATGAAAATTTTGGGAAAAGTTGGAGGTGGGCAAAGAAGCCAGAATTAACATTGAAGTCAATGGGAAATTAATGGTGTTCTGCCTCCACAAGAGAGGCTAGAGTTATCGACCTTGATATGAAGAAGCGTAACCGACAATCTGATTAAAACACAGATCCAATTTCGTTTCGTTTTTATAGTTCAAAATTTCGATTTTACTTGTCTTTACTACCTTGGATCTTGAAGCGTTGTTATTTGTTAAAACTCATGTTCTGCTTGAAATGAGGGGTCAGCCAATCAAATGGTCTGTCGAATCATGCGTTTGACCTTTTTTGCGCGGAACTGTGGGCAGGCATTAACGGCAATAGAAATCAAAAGCAAAAGTAGATAAAAAATACATGGCGGTCGCTAATTGGTTAATCGAATGACTGACGTAATCGGGTCAAATGTCGCTTGCTTGGTACCTGACGTCATAGAACGTGAACTCCCACTATAGCTTGTTAGATTTACATGTAGTGTAGGTCATCGAAAGTATAAAAAAACGAAACGAAATATAGATCTATAATTTAATTATACCAGAGAAAAACGAAACGAAAACTTCTGTTTGATCGCGCGATATTATTATTGTAATATTATAGAAATAAACAATTGATTTTGTAGACTTAGAATAGGTAGCCACAATCTTATGGTTCTTTTTATAGCGATTTTCTTAATTCATATATAAACCAATATATTGTTAATACCACCCCCTAACGTCAAAACTTTGTAAATCTTATGTCCTCTAAAAATCCCCAAAGAAAATATCAATCGATCAAAATTTTTCTACCATTATTTTTGTGGCAGGAAAAATTGAATGAAAGAAAAGTAGTAGGTATCAATCAAATCACTGTAAGGATTATAAATTATTATTTATATCTTTATACTAAACATTTTAATTTAATAATTTACTCATATCCATTTTGAATATTGTACATACCATTACATTATAATTATCAATATTAAAATAGATTTACATTTATTAAATTATTTGCACTTATATATATTGTGATAACTTATCAACCTGACATACTTTTATTAATTGTACATACCATTACATTATAATTATCAATATTAAAATAGATTTACATTTATTAAATTATTTGCACTTATATATATTGTGATAACTGATCAACCTGACATACTTTTATTAAAAATATAATTATTTTTTTTTCATTTTCATCAATTTATATTTAATATTAAATTCATACTCGGAATATTATGTCTAGCTGTCACGGAATGACATAACCAGTACATACCAAATCGTTCTTTGGTATATTACAATCATATTTATTTTCCTTCTAACAGTCAAGTTATTGTAATTATTTTTGGTTGTTTTTTTTTATTAATTTCTTAAGATAATTTGAATTCATCTTGTTTATTCTCAAATTTTGATGGGCTTTCATAAATCAAATAAATATTATTATTATTATGGTGCACTACTAACTATGGCATAACCTATTCAGAAACATTTATTTACGTTTTGTTAAAATTAGGTTTTCATGTGTTAATGGTTTCAATGCTTGTACATGTTTATAGTAAGAACATATTTGTTATATTATATTATTAATCAGACGTTTTGATGATCACGTCCCGTCTGTTGTTTCTCGGAGAACCTGGCTAACACTGTCGCACTGGTCTTGAATCTATGTTATCAGTTCATCAAAGTCGAGAAATTTCGTTTTGGGAGGTAGAAAGTTGAGTGGGAGAACTAAGAAATATTCCACGACACTATCACTGGGAATGCTGCACGCAGCGACCCATCTACGTCATACTTCCCAGATTCTCAGCCGGAGCTAGCTGTAGATAGGCAGCCTAAGTTTGGGATGTATCATCGGCATTTGATTAAAATTGCTTCACTATCATACGTGACTGACCGCATCTAAATGAGTCGGAATGCGGGAGAATCAATAATGAGATAAAGACAAAATAAGTGAAAATTTTGAACGAAATTGAGATTTTCACAAAAATTAGTCTATAAATATACTATCTATCGACACAGAAGATCAAAATAGCAATAAAACATTTTAAAACACCTGTATTTGAACGTTTTGTAAGGGTACCGTATTCTTAAATCTGTCCTATTTCTTAAAATTCTCGGCAAAATTGGTTATTTGTCTTCGCTCGCAGTGGGACGACCGGTCATTCCTCTTGCATAACAATTGGCATCGTTGTAAAGCGGAGCATCTCTGGTTTATAACTATGATCAAAATATTGTCGATGAATTGATTTTGAACGGATACAATCGAGTTTTAAAACCCTCCAAAAATATAAATAAACTCCGCCTGTTGCCATGCTGTCCACACAACTCCTTTGCTGATTGACCCAGACACCGCGTGCAAGACACTATCGATAAATATTTGGTTTTGGCAATATCTTTGGGTACCTACATGCGATTCACTCTGATAAGTGGCAGAAAAAAAATAATTCTGATCGTATAGATTGCCGTTGAGTGTTAATCGAAACCATGTGGCTGATGATGTAAATTAATCGACAAGCGGGTGTGTGTCACTGTCATTGAGTAATACTATTACTAATCAACTGTCACGGGTCAATGATAAAGCCGTCGACAACTCATTATTTACTCAGAATAATTAATCCAAGTAGTGATTGTTTGAATATCATATCATCTTTAAAAAATAATCTATAGGCCTTAAATGGAAATAAACAAAAAGGCCAATAATGTTCTTTTCGAAGAGAATTTTATTGAAAGCTGAATTCCGTTTACCGTCGCTTCTTCATACGGCATGCAAAGTAAGGAATGCATTCGGGATATTATTGTTTAAAATTCTATTATCACAATGGGTCGAAAAAATGAGAACGACCAACGAGCCGAAATGCGACGATTCTCGAGTCTGCCATTGAGTATCCTCTGAATAATGTTGATATTTACATCAAAGCCAAAATGCACGAAAGTGAACGTAAGCATTGACTATGAAATTGACATTTCTATAGGGACTCATATTTTGATAACGTCACGGTACCTGAAAATAATAATAGACCTATCGTACACGCAAAATATTATTTTAATTCACGTGTTAAATGAACACGCGTACAGCTGTTACGGCTACTTTGATGATAATCCAATCAACAATCTTAATCTCCTGACCACTAGCTGGCACTAAGGTGCTAATTAATTGATGAGATTAACTGAGTGGTTAATCTCACTAAAGTTATATTATACACAACAGACTACTAATGAGATTGTTCTTCAGTTAACACTGTCATGTGAATACTATGCCGTTTGTGTTGTGGATGTTTCGTTACGAAAGGAGTTCATTTATTACGATTTTCGTCGTCAGCACCCTTGAAATCCTAAATAAAAAACATATTAAACGACAAAATATAGCAAATAAATTGCGGAAATAGTCGGATAAAATTTTTACTACGATTTTCGTCTTCGGCACCCCTGAAAACCCATGGAAAGAAATATTCAACGACAAAACAGCAGATCAATGGCCTGGTTGCTATGGGATTTTGTTTTGGAACATACCAAATCTTAAACTTGCTTTTTCTCAAAACTTACTTTTGTGAGTTGGGTAACTTCTAATGGACACAGCTCAGTCAATTTTTGCCCAATTCAAACAAACTATACATCAAATTGAAGGTAATGAGTTGGAGAATGTGAAAATAACAATAACTCAATTTTCAAAATTTCCTCATTGTGACTCAGTATGCGTATTACGCCAATATGTAAGTACAAGCGTTTGATGAAACTTACGTCACATGTGTTTTGATAACTATGACAGGAAGAAATAATTCAACTCGACCGGAAAATGTATAATAACTTTCATTACAACTTTTCAGATTTAGGGTATTTAACACTCGTCACCAACCCCTGACATCAAACAGTGTGAATATCATCGTTGTTATGATAATGTCGGATAATAGACAATGTGGTGTAGTCCTAACTGTTTTACTTATTATAGAGATTGTAGCAGGTAAAGTTATATCATTTAAGTCTGTATTTTTCTTCTGCTTGGCCTATATAAACGTGGTTTCAAAATGAGAAAGCTTGTATTAGAAGTGGGATGTGTGGTGGATTTCTATCATTGCTTTTTTTGTGGAGGCCGATCGCCCTTTTTATACGCCCACAATAAATTCACGTAAACACTCTAGCTAGGGGTATATTTGTACGACAGCCCAGAAGGTTCATTCCAAATTCCAAATGCGAAATTCCAAATTCCAAATTCATGTCTTACCAATAAAATATCAAATTGGCAACCCCCCTCAATTAAACAAATTAGAATTTAAATAAATTGTAATTTTACACAACTAATTAGTTTACCTATCTGATGCCTGGGCCTACGAAAGCCCAGACGACTCATTCCAAATTCCAAATGCGATCGTATAATATGGTAGTATATTGTCGTCGCCCCCGTCCGCCCGGCGTCCATAGTTAATATCCGATTGACTTTAAATTTATACACAGTGTTTAAGGTCATGCAAGAAAGAAGTCTATTGATTTTCAACGATTTCTGATTATTACTGCCAAAGTTATGGCCCTTGATCACTTTGAAAAATCTTGCGACTCTCTAGAGGCTAAAGTTATCATCCGCTTGACTTCAGATTGATACACAGAGTTAAAGGTCTTGAGACGAACAAGTATATTGATTTTCATTGAATTTTGATAATTTGAACAGCTAAATCCATGGTATTAAATGTTTCGTATACTGAACGTTGGCATGGGGCAGAACTTTATAAAAACCAAACAAATTCTAATGATTTTCTGATAATTACTTAATGAGTTGTTACTCTTAATCAGATTTTAGTGTATTATAAATGTTTCATTACCGCAAAAAGTAAAAATATGCGACAACTTTTGGTGATTGCCCGGACGATTTAGCTGCTGTGGACGTAATATCTTCTCTGCGGCAGCCATGATGATTGTAATGTAACGTGATTATGTTGAATTTGGAAATTGCAATTTCGCACTTGGAATTTGCCTTTTCAAATCGAATAATTTGGAACGGGTGTTCACCCGGCCCAGGCATCAGATAGGTAAACTAATTAGTTGTGTAAAATTACAATTTATTTAAATTCGAATTTGTTTAATTGAGGGGGTCTGCCAATTTGCTATTTTATTCATTTGATTGGTAAGACATGAATTTGGAATTTGGAATTTGGAATGAGCCTTCTGGGCTTTCGTATATTTGCAATGATACCCTTTTGTATGCGGAATTGATTATAAGAGGACGTATTACACTTTAGACACTATATATAGACATACTCAGAGAATGAGTTGCAAACGTATTGACAGAGCAGCGGACGCGACTTGGACGCACTAAGAGCACACATAGTGCTGTGGAAGTGCAGTGACAAGAACGTATTGTAAGCTATATACCATGTGTCACGGATTTCACCATTTTCGGTTATATCACTACGCTTTGGCGAAAATTCCGGAGCCCAAAGTGCCCAGCAATTTCTGTAGAAGTCCGAGTTTGGAGGATTTTGATTTTTATACAACACATTTCAAGGACTTTGTCCACACAAATTATCACATTTGTCCGCTAGTCACATCTTATCACATCGATATTATGCGGGGAGTTAATTCCGTAGATCAAAGTTGATTACTACAGCCTATGGAGTTTCACATGGCTAGTGGCAGTGTATGTGGCGTTAAGTTATTTCATCTATTTATTGACGATTCGGATTCGAGACTTTGGTGGCCATTCTCCTACAAGTATGGTCAAAAGGAAGCTGTAGGGTCGTGTTACAAGTGATGCAAGCCGCGCCTTTGAACGACATTTTGTAAATGTGCTGCAGCGTGTCAAACATGGGGGAGTTAACATCTTTGGAGAAAATAATATCTTTTAAATATCATACTTTTCCGCAGATGTAGCCAAGTCCATCGCCGTTTGGTTGTAGAATTTAACAAAACCTATTGTTGCACATGTAACCACGCTTATCATCATTTGATTTTAGAAATAAACAAAAAACTTACGGAAAAACACAATTCATACTTATGGAAAAACAGCTACTGATTTATTTATTCTCGCCTAAATTATTACTAATTTCTAACCGTTGTGTATTCTAATGCCAAGCAGAATAAGACGGTTGGTGTATAAGAGATGGGGTTCACTTTAACGAGGGCACAACCTGTATAATATATTTTCGTGTCCGACACAAATAGTATTTTTGATTAAAGATACATTAGTTAAGACTTTTATAAAGAGTTGTCCATTCTTGTTATAATAATTCAAAAATAGATGATAAAAAAAGAAAATGTCGAAAATTTCAGTCAAATTACTTTGTTCTGAACGGAATTGTCACTGTTAGAAGTTTGGAATAGAAATAGGCATTAATTGTGTCTTCACCGTCTATGAGAATTGGCAATCGTTTGATTGACAAACGATAACTCCACCCACATATTCTCGATTATCGAGTAACATGCTCAATGGCTATGGTAGCCTCGCTTGGCAGGCTTTTCATCACCAGTTTCCGGCTGTGACATCAGCGAGTAACGGTAAACGTTAGCTTGGTCCGCCATTTATTGATTTAATTTTAAATGGACGAGGCTGTTTAAATCCAAACTGTATCCAGGCCATCCAAGGGTCTACAGAGTTGAATTTGTCGTGTAAATAAAGGTCTAATTAATAATTTATATATCATCTGAAGCCTAAATAAAAGACTTGCAATAGGCAGATTTAGCTCTTGCATAATGTATGTTTAATATATTCATCGACCTACGTGGCGGTACCGTGTCTTCCATAACTAAAGCACATCCTCTCTTTCTCCTGTTACAGTTTTAACGTACAAAGGGTCAATAATTTCAATAAGATAAACAGTTATATACATTACAAGTTTAATTTCAATAAGATAAACAGTTATATACATTACAGGTTTAATTTCAATAAGATAAACAGTTATATACATTACAGGTTTAATTTCAATAAGATAAACAGTTATATACATTACAGGTTTAATTTCAATAAGATAAACAGTTATATACATTACAGGTTTAATTTCAATAAGATAAACGTTTAATTTCAATAAGATAAACAGTTATATACATTACAGGTTTAATTTCAATAAGATAAACAGTTATATACATTACAGGTTTAATAAGATAAACAGTTATATACATTACAGTTTTAATTTCAATAAGATAAACAGTTAACATTCTTCTATTATTTATATTAGGTCAAACATACAGTTTATCAGGATCAGAACCATATGGTATTAGAGGAGGGGATTATAGATTTACATGTGAGATATCCGGTAGACATTTTCTATCCTTTAATGTCATCACGTTAAGCAGGGACAATATCTCAATCTGTAGACGAGGATTATATGTTCTACCTGGATCTGATACCAGATATAGATGTGGTCGTATCAATGGTAACAACGAATTAGTGTATCTTAATATAACTAATGTTCAATCAACTGATGCTGGTAACTGGACCTGTGGAGATTCTGGTGTCAGTAGCCAACCTGTTACTCTTCTGGTTTATTGTAAGTTAAAAACATGTAATTACTTTTCGCTTCAAGTCCCGGAAAAAGTCAGCACCATAAAAGCGAGCCTGAAAAAACTCGCATAAATGGAAATGGGCTCAATGTCAGTAATAATATTCCATGAAAATACAAAATAAATGTCTATATAGGATTTCAGATTTTTATAATTATTACATATTCAATATATTGTGGAAACATCCTGTTGTCAACAGACAATACCGCATTGATAGTGATAAAACATATTTCAATTTTAGTTTTTGAAGCCTCTTCTCTCAATCTGGTTAAAACACAGATCCTATTTCGTTTCGTTTTTATAGTTCAAAATTTCGTTTTACTTATCTTTACTACACTTGGATCTGGAAGAGTTGTTATTTAACTCGTGTTCTGAATGGTGCCAGGGATAAGCCAATGAAACCGTCTGTTACGGCGAGCTTTAGACGTGTTTTTCACGGAACTGTGGGTAATCCACTAGTAACATCAATGCTGATTGGTTAATCAAATGTCTGACGTCAAAAGGGTCATAAGTCGGTCTTTTGACCCCTGACGTAACCTATCGCTATAACTTGTCAGATCTTCATGTAGTGTAGGCCATCGAAAGTATAAAAAAACGAAACGAAATATAGATCTGTAGTTTAATCCGATTGCCTCTTCCCTTGGTTAGTTCATGAGGTTTTACGTCCACCTAGGGTGATATCGTTAACATTCTCTTATCTTACGGAATTAGACCAGATATAGGTAGTGGTACGCGTAGCTAGAGGGAGGTAATATGGAACTTGCGCCCCCTTCCTCATCCAAACTATATAAGACACAACACACTTTCATCAAATCCCCGACGGTAAAAAACATCACTGCATAAATAAAGATTGAGTCCCTGCCTTGATATGATGACGTATTAATGATATACGTAAGGACTGTATACAACCTGATCCCTGGTGCCACAAAATCGAACATCTGATATGTATATGTGTTTAGAGCTACATAATTAATTCTAGTATTATTGACTTTGCTTTCTTGGCTTGCGCGCCCCACTTCTTATAAATTCCTTAAGCTGTATTTCATAAGTTGATAACTTTTATACTTAATTGTATATTACAGTACAATTTAAGGTCATTATAGTTACTATGGTATTATCACTTCCACATATACAGCAAGCATGTATAGAGTATAGGCTAAGTTAAAAAGTTTCTAAAGTCTTGCTACTATTCCAGCCCCAGTATTAATTAATACAAAACAAGAGAATATGTAGCATAATTTACTTTAAAATTGATTATTTAATGTCCAATATAGTTAAACTTCTGCGTACATAACATGTAATACAAATAGTGTGTACCACATAAAATGCGAAATATTAGTCTAGTTGGTAAAAATTCTTGTTTCAGAAAATGAAATGAATTTTTATGAAGTTTAGGAAATTTAAATTCTTTTCAGATCCACCAACCATCACAGGTCTAACATCAAATGCTACCAACAACATGGTAGATGAAGATTCTACTGTAACCTTCTCCTGTTCTGTTGACAGTCTTCCATCTTCAGAAATATCCTGGTCTAGATCACAACAAGCAGGACAACTCTATTCTGGTAGTCAATATACCATACCTTAAGCTAGCTGTCAACATACAGATAACTATACCTGTACAGCTAATAATAATATTGGTCAAGTTGTATCGAAAACCATTCCACTCTATGTTAGATGTAAGTACATCCAACTATTTTACACCATTAAATAATTAAATCTAACGAAGACAGATGTCCTATACATCTGAATTCGAAGAAATGTAACGAGTAAGAGTCAGTGTGCACATGGAATTGTACGACCATTCCTTTTGGATAACCAATAGCCCTAGGTATGTTTATATTCTAGGTTCTCCGCGAGAAAACATAGAAAACAAGAGGATCATCACTAATAGAATAAATACAACAATATATCTGGAAGTTGATATAATCGCCTACCCTCGACCATACTTTACCTGGTACCATACACCTACCAGACAGATAATAAAAACAGCTATAACGCAACAACTATCAACTATAAACTATAAATCAACAGTAGAGATAACTCTAAACTCTACTCTATTTGGTGATTATATAGTATCTGTATACAATGGTATTGGTGTTCAGAACTTCACTATTACAGTTAACAATGAAGGTAAAGACAATTATAATTTTTAATATATTATTAGTAATTTTATATTGAAACTCCATTATATTGGGTGTCTGTTTTTATAGACTCTTACCCTTTTAGGACATCTAATGAAACGTCTGTTTTAAATAAACAAAGGTCTCTGCATATAAGGTCAGTTTCAGACGCCACTGTTAATTATGTATATTATTTTGTTATGTATATTTAGGACCACCAAAGCCAGTAAAGGATCCAGTCGGAAGTAATAACACATCTACTATAGTTGGAAGTATTATTGGTGTATTGATAGTTATTGCTATAATAGTTGTTATTGTTGTGATAATATACCGTAGAAAGGGTAAGTTAACTCTTATTGAGCCGTTATAACCTACCTACTACAGTTGGACGTATTTTGGTGTATTGATAGTAATTGGTATAATAGTTGTAAAGGCAAACCTACTATAGTTGGTGTATTGATAGTTATCCGCACTTTTACTGTAACTATTTAACATCATTATGTTGGAAGGAACTTATATAAAGCTATGTTAATACTGTGTTAATAACTATTTTAATGCAAATATACTAAATTTTATATATTATATTGCAGCGTCAAAAGCTCATTATAATACGTACGATGGACTTGGAGTTGTCCCCAGTTCAACCAATCAACCTGTTTATGATGAAATGTATTCCTATACAACTAGATCTGATGATACACCAGCCTACTATAATACTACAAAAGTGGATATTACTAACACCACATACGTCAATTCCCCGTCATTGACATATGTACTGGATGTACGAAATAATGAAGCACACCCAGACACTTATCAACAACTCAATACATCATCAACACATAACATCTATGAAAACCAGGAAATGTGATCAACTATCAAATTGGTGATGTTAATGATTGTATGTAGAGTATTAATATGTACTCCGCTATCTAGATGTTAAGAATGTTATGTTAACAACATGAACGTGTACTCCACTATCTGGATATCGAGAACGTAATTTTAATAACATACATGTGCACTCCGCTATCTAGATGTTAAGAATGTTTTTTAACAACATGCACGTGTACTCCGCTATCTAGATGTCAAGAATGCGTTATTTTAAAACATGCACGTGTACTCCGTTATCTACATGTTGATAACGCAATTTTAATAACGTGCACGTGTACTCCGCTATCTAGATGTTCAGAATGTGTTATTTTAAAACATGCACGTGTACTCCGTTATTTAGGTATTGAGAACGCAATTTTAATAACATGCACGTGTACTCCGCAATGTAGATGTTCAGAATGTGTTATTTTAAAACATGCACGTGTACTCCGTTATTTAGGTATTGAGAACGCAATTTTAATAACATGCACGTGTACTCCGCAATGTAGATGTTAAGCATGTTACTTGAACAACATGAACAGGTACCCCTCTCTCTGCCTTAAGTTATGAATGTAAGTTTAGGGATATAATCAGGATCTCCAGAGCAAGCGTTTTCACCTCGCTATAACTGTGGGTTATACCAATATATCTAACGACATCGTGTAAACTACGATAATATTGTTGTTTTGTCAGTCTTATTAAATTGTTTGTATTTCAAAATAAACAGGCGTGGTCCCTCTAATGATGCTATATCATTCCAAACCACTGAATCAAACTGCGATTGCAGGATAAATTGTGTCATTCCAGTCTAGTTCAACTCTGTACGAGTGTATTAATGTATCACTGTACATATCACTGAATGAAACTGCTATGACAGGATCGGGTGTTTTTATATTTGTCGATCTCAATAGTTTTATAATATATGGAACGGTATAACATTTAGCTATTTTAAAATTATTTATAAAATGTACGTGTATTCTTATAATCATTTGATATTCTCTCTGCGTATTATGGTGCAGTATTAATGACTTGTAGATTATTATATAAAATATTAAACAAATAGTAAATTAACTGTCTCTAATTACAAACCATGATGTTAAACAGGAAAATTTAAACTTCTTTCCTTTCCTGTGCGTCATCTTAAACAGGAAAATATGAAATGCTTTACGCCCTGTGTCGTGGTTATATAATCACATGATAGCAGCTAGTAGATGATATATTGAAGCTGGACACAAACTTACAATTAGGCAATTTACTCCAGACATTTAGAGGGGCGGGGGCAGGATTCTGTGATAGAGACTACAGATTTTGACGATCTTTGGCAATATTCAGTTATGTCTCTTTTCCGAAAACATTGTGAACGCCTCAGAGGATATAGTTTTTCACAGCTTCTTTTCAGATTTGGTAAGAAGCGCTGGGTTGATGATCGAGAGGATCAACCCTATCTATGTTCCGCTTGTATCGGATTTACCCCCCCCCCCCCACCCCCTCTGTCGAAAACTTTGTGAATGCGATAAAGGCTACATTTGTAACGGATACTTTTCAAATTTGATGGGAAATATTGGGGTCCTATGAGATCAGGATTTCAGATTTAAGGTTTTCCAAAAAGCTTGTGACCATGATAAAGGCTACACAATAAGTATGTTGAACCGGACAATGTCACAAATTAAACCGACGACTACTAAAAGCTATAAAATGACATATTATACTGATCATTTCGTCAACAATTTTTGTCAACTTCATTGAAGTCAATGGGAAATTAATGGTGGTCTGCCTCCACAAGAGAGGCTAGAGTTATCGGCCTTGATTCGATGACACGTAACCGACAAAGTTATACTAGAGAAAAACAAAACGAAATGAAATCTTCTGTTTGATCGCGCGATATTATTATTGTAATACTATAGACATAAACAATTCATTTTGTAGACTTGGAATAGGTAGCCACAATCTTATGGTTCTGCTTATAACGATTTTCTAAATTCATATATAAACCAATATATTGTTAATACCACCACCTAACGTCAAAACTTTGTAAATGTTATGTCCTCTAAAAATCCCCAAAGAAAATATCAATCGATCAAAATTTTTCTACCATTATTTTTGTGGCAGGAAAAATTGAATGAAAGAAAAGTAGTAGGTATCAATCAAATCACTGTAAGGATTATAAATTATTATTTATATCTTTATACTAAACATTTTAATTTAATAATTTACTCATATCTATTTTGAATATTGTACATACCATTACATTATGATTATCGATATTAAAAAAGATTTACATTTATTAAATTATTTGCACTTATATAACTTATATATATTGTGATAACTGATCAACCTGACATATTTTTATTAAAAATATAATTTTTTTTTTCATTTTCATCAATTTATATTTAATATTAAATTCATACTCGGAATATTATGTCTAGCTGTCACGGAATGACATAACCAGTGCATACTTAATCGTTCTTTGGTATATTACAACCATATTTATTTTCCTTCTAACAGTCAAGTTATTGTAATTATTTTTGGTTGTTTTTTTTTTATTAATTTCTTAGGATAATTTGAATTCATCTTGTTTATTCTCAAATTTTGATGATCTTTCATAAATTAAATAAATATTATTATTATTATGGTGCACTACTAACTATGGCATAAGCTATTCAGAAACATTTATTTACGTTTTGTAAAAAATAGGTTTTCATGTGTTAATGGTTTCAATGCCTGTACATGTTTATAGTAAGAACATATTTGTTATATTTTATTATTAATCAGACGTTTTGATGATCACACCCTGTCTGTTGTTTCTCGGCGAACCTGGCTAACACTGCCGCACTGGGCCCTGTTTCTCGAAATCTTAACTAAAGATAAAATCCAAATTTTAGTAGATACTTCAATTTTGATTGGCTTAGCACTAAAATCAATCTAATATTATCCAATCAAATTACTAAAATTTGGATTTTATCTTAGTTAAAATTTCGTGAAACGGGCCCAGGTCTTGAATCTAAGTTATCAGTTCATCAAAGTCGAGAAATTTCGTTTTGGGGGGTAGAAAGTTGAGTGTGAGAACTAAGAAATATTCCACGACACTATCAACTGCATGTGATTAAAATCGCTTCACTATCATACGCCAATATGTAGTACAAGCGTGTGATGAAACTTACGTCACATGTGTTTTGATAATTATGACAGGAAGAAATAATTCAACTCGACCGGAAAATGTATAATAACTTTCATTACAACTTTTCAGATTTAGGGCATTTAACACTCGTCACTAACCCTTGACATCAAACAGTGCGAATATCATCGTGGTTATGATAATGTCGGATAATAGACAATGTGGTGTAGTCCTAACTGTTTTAATTATTATAGAGATTGTAGCAGGTACAGTTATATCATTAAGTCTGTATTTTTTCTGCTTGGCCTATATAAACGTGTTTTCAAAATTAGAAAGCTTGTATTAGAAGTGGGATGAGGTGTGTGGTGGATTTCTATCATTTCGCCCTTTTTATACGCCTACATTAAATTCACGTAAACACTCTATATAGGGGTATATTTGCAATGATACCCTTTTGTATGCGGAATTGATTATAAGAGGACGTATTACCCTTTAGACGCTATATATAGACATACTCAGAGAATGAGTTGCAAACGTATTGACAGAGCAGCGGGCGCGACTTCGACGCACTAAGAGCACATAGTGCTGTGGAAGTGTAGTGACAAGAACGTACTGTAAGCTACGCTTTGGCGAAATTTTCGGAGCCAAAAGTTCCCAGCATTCTCTGTAGAAGTCAGAGGTTGGAGGATTTTTATACAACACCATAGAAGGACTTTGTCTACTAGACACAAATTATCACTTGTCTACTAGTCACAGCTTATCACATCAATATTATGCGGTGTTAATTCCTAGTGACCAACACCGAAAAATGAAATGAAATGACATTTTTCCCGGACAGCGGCACTACGGCCTACTCTTATATCGAATTCCAACTCTCAAGGGATCTTTTACGTGCACACCAATGTGTACACGGGACCTCGGTTTTTCGTACCTGTCCACCCGAATGACTAGACAGCTGTCCTTGTCAGGAACCGCACCGGAAAATCTGGATGAACTTTCTCGGCCAATGCAGGGATCGAACACCCGACCTCCAGGCTAGCGAGCCAGCGTCTTACCCACTTAGCTACCGTGCCCCTCCCCCATAGTTCAAAGTTCATTACTACAGCCGATGGAGTTTCACACGGCCAGTGTATGTGGATATTTCATCGATTTATGGACGATTTGGATTCAAGACTTTGGTGGCCATTCTCCTACAAGTATGGTCAAAAGAAAGCTGTACGATCGTGTTACAAGTGATGCAAACCGCGCCTTTGAATGACATTTTATAAATGTGCTGCATATGTAACCACGCTCATCATCATTTGATTTCAGAAATAAACAAACAAAATCTATGTGATGTAAAAATATTTAAAACAATGAAAGACTGTGTATCAAATATAAAATGTAGATAAATGATTCAGATTACTGGTTCGTTCGTTCTTGTTTTTGTGCCCATCCCTCCTCCACTGTCCGCTCTGAGTTTCCAGACTATTACTAATTTCTAACCGTTGTGTGTTCTGATCAATGTGTGTTCTGATGGCAACTATACCTGTACAGCTAGTAATAATATTGGTCAACCAGTATCTAAAACCATTCCACTCTATGTTAGATGTAAGTACAAACAAATATTTTACACCATTAAATAATTAAATCTAACGAAAATGGATGTCCTATACATCTGAATTCCAAGACATGTAATGATTAAGAGTCAGTGTGCACATGGCATTGTATGACCATTCCTTTTGGATAATCAATACTCCTATGTATGTCTATATTTTAGGTTCTCCAAGAGAGAACACAATGACCAAGAGATTCATCACTAATAGAATAAATACAACAATAAATCTAGAAGTTGATATAATCGCCTACCCTCGACCAACCTTCACCTGGCACCATGCACCTACAAGACAGATAATAAACACAGCCATAACAAAACAACTATCAACTATAAACTATAAATCAACAGTAGAAATAACTCTAACCTCTACTCTATTTGGTGATTATATAGTATCTGTAACAAATGATATTGGTGTTCAGAACTTCACTATTACAGTCATTAATGGAGGTAAAGACATTTAAATATCAATTATAGTTTTTAATACATTATTAGTAATTTTATATTGAAACTCCATTATATTGGGTGTCTGGTTTTATAGACTGTGGTGCTCTTACCCTTTTAGGACATCTAATAAAACGTCTGTTTCAAATAAATAAAGGTAGATATGTTTATTTGGTTACTTTAGCACGATCTCGTCTGTCTCTGCTTATAAGGTCAGTTTCAGACGTCACTGTTAATTATGTATATTTTGTTATGTATATTTAGAACCTCCAAAGCCAGTAAAGGATCCAGTCGGAAGTAATAACACATCTACTATAGTTGGAAGTATTATTGGTGTATTGATAGTTATTGCTATAATAGTTGTTATTGTTGTGATAATATATCGTTAAAAGGGTAAGTTAACTCTTATTGAGCCGTTATAACCTACCTACTACAGTTGGAAGTATTTTGGTGTATTGATAGTAATTGGTATAATAGTTGTAAAGGCAAACCTACTATAGTTGGTGTATTGATAGTTATCCGCACTTTTACTGTAACTATTTAACATCATTATGTTAGAAGGAAATTATATAAAGCTATGTTAATACTGTGTTAATAACTATTTTAATGCAAATATACTAAATTTTATATATTATATTGCAGCGTCAAAAGCTAATTATAATACGTACGATGGACTTGGAGTTGTCCCCAGTTCAACCAGTCAACCTGTTTATGATGAAATGAATTCCTATACAACTAGATCTAATGATACAACAGCACGTGCAGATCAAACTGCGATTGCAGGATCATTGTGTCAGTCCAGTGTATGTCAACTCTGTACCACTGTATCAACGTATCATGTTGAAAACATTGAATGGAGCTGCTAATCGTTTTTTTTTTATATATTTGTCTGTGGTTTCACTATTCTTAATAGTTTTATAAATATATGGAACGATAACATTTAGCTATTTTAAAATGTATTTATAAAATGCACGTGTATATGTATTATCAATTGATATTTACTGTGCATATTACTGAGTTGTGGATTATTAAATAAAATATGAAACATATAGTAAATTAATGGTTTCTATCTAGCCAGTATGAAACGGGAAAATATGAACTTATTTTATTCCTGTATAAAATTCCTGGCGATATCTTCCGTTCCAGAGTTATGTTTTTTTGCCAAACAGTCTACAATTGTTAACAGGTCTGAAGCATTGGGGTTATGCGACTTTCCGTTACCCCCAACACACCCCCCTTTTCTGTCTATTCGCCTACAATTTCAGCACTGACAAATTAGCTATTCATCGATTTTCAGATAGCCCCTGCCTTTTGGTTAGAGAATAGAGCTTGACAGGTTATTTCTCGATTCATGTCAGGTATTATATAACTCGGAATATTCCAATAGAGAAAGTTACCCAGGATTTTCTGGTGTGGTTTCTCCCTTGTCAGTGAAGGGCCAGTCAAAAAACAGTGTCCAGGGCAAACGGAGGTCCCGTGTCTTTGGCGTGGGCGTGAAATAACCCTTGACAGGGCAGTAGCGCCGTGAAACGTGTAACATTTCCCTTCCAGCACACTGTATGCAGAAAGTAGGACGTTAAACCCCATTGCACATCACCATCATCTCTACTGCTGACGCCCCCGTCTCCCGTCACATAGATATGTATACTAATCTACCACATAATACACATATATGCATACATACAATGAATGACACAATTGGTCGTTGTTACACGAACGGTATACCCCTTAATAACCTTCCTGGTCTAAATATAACAGTAAACATGTCGGCCGTGGATAGATACACGTATTATAATATTATAGTTATATTACTGGCTGTACATATTAGATATATACAAGGTAACGTAGCAATTGTTTTGATCTCTATTTTATATTAATTCACATTAGTACTATACTATTATAGACATCGATGAATCACCGTGGGTGTGTTCTCGGTTATATCATAGTCCATAAGACCATCTAAGAACGACAATCGTGCTAATTCAATCGCGAACGCTAAAAAGAAATAAAATGATATGACATCCCACGCTTCAAGGTAAAATACAGGCAACTAATTTTGTCTTTACCGTACACAGATAACCGCGATGTTAAAAAATAAAATCTTGATTGGATATGCATTGACCTCAAAAGACGTGTTAAGTTGTTATCACGTAAACGAATATGAATACGACGTATACACACAGACACCAATATATTGTCAATAGATTATAAATTATATTACATACAAATAATATAAATATTTCTGTGTATTATTATACACTGTGGTCGGTTTCTCTCATACACATTATTATTGATGTAACAATATAATAGTATAGGGGTAAATGCATTGGCGTGATACAATCTTAACAGTTAGCTAAATATTAAACTACCATTGAATCTCACAATTTCAGTTAACTCTTGTCTGTCTTGTTTGCGTGATTTCGAATCCTCGGTTGTACGTGACAAGGAGTAGGGTCGCCTGTCCAACCTCGTGGGTTTTCTCCGGGTCTTCCGGTTTCCTCCCACTGCTAAAGACCTCTACGCGCAAGCGAATTATTGAAATAAAATTAAACCATATGTTAGTCGAGTGGACGTTAAACCCCCTCGCTCTCTCTCTTTGTCTCTCTCTCTCATGTTTGACAAAAAATCCGTGAAGCAAAAAATGACATAATTGATTCCTAATTTAGACGTACTTATCAGATCAGCAGGATATCATACGCAGAAAAGTAGAATGTTAAACCCAATGTCATTTCATGTATAGAAGTATTATTTTAAATGGTGAATTCTCAAATAAACAGCCGTTTACACCGCGATCCCAACCACCTCAACATCATTAATATTCCCCTAAACCTGATACTACGGAGGATTTATATTGTAATGATTGAAACTATGACCAGTGGCGTGAATCCTAGTCGTAAAAAATGGATTAATTACACGCATCTTTGACTTTTGAAAGCTCTAGAAATGGAAACCCAATGATTATGTTCATGATACAAAGACGACTATTGATTGTCAGCGATTTCATAATTACAGATGATGGTTTTGAACACTCTTGTGGACGCTGTCGAAGGTATAGCTATCATCCGATTGACTATTACAATTTAGTATCCAATAATTGCTGTGGACGCCCAAGCCGCTGCATTGTCACCTGATTATTATTTAACGACATCTAATAATTACGTCATAAATTTTAGGGTCTTGTAAATGATGTAGTTATCTGTAAAAACGTCACATGGTAACAACATCTAGGTGTCCTTTCTTAAGTATGGGTTGACGACAAGGTACAACGTATTTAATAAATAAGGCATGTACTCATTTTCTGTTGTTACAGGTCAAACGTACAACGGTCAATAATTTCAATAAAATAATAAGTTAACATTCTTCTATTATTTATATTAGGTCAAACATACAGTTTATCAGGATCAGCATCATATGGTATTAGAGGAGGGGATTATGGATTTACATGTCAGATATCTGGTGGTAATTTTATACCCATTGATATTATCCAGTTTAGCAGGGACAATATCTCAATCTGTAGACAATTATTAAGATGTACACCTGGATCATCATCTGATACCAGATATACATGTGGTTGTATCAATGGTAACAACAGAACACTGTATCTAAATATAACTAATGTTAAATCAACTGATGGCGGAACCTGGACCTGTGGAGATAGCTTTAATAGTGGCACCAGTCCATCTGTAACCCTTCCTGTTTACTGTAAGTTGATTGTTTTGAATAAGTTCACGTTAATTTGTTCGAGCTGATAAACTTCCCAATTAGGCCGTATTCTCGGGGTGAATATCTTGTCACCTTCGCTCCCGCTAAACCGGTCTACAAATCGGACTATAAATAATCGTGCAATCAATATGTCAACAAAGTTCTCCAATAAAATTTGCCAATTTTATAGTTCAAGCTCGAAATAGGCTAGAAATCGATGACTTATTTCTTTATAGTGCGGAGCCATATTTGCGTAGATGTGAGTTGGATCCTGCGCAGCTATTTAAAATTTGGCCAATCAGCGGTCGCGCTTGCGGGGTTGCGGTCAAAAATTCTGGGGTCAAGTGCCAGGTCATAGCATTTGTAAACAAAGCCATGTGCACGATTTACCTTGCAAATTGCTCGCGGTCGGGACGAACAGAGATTAAATGAACCCCAAAAACGCCCCATCCGTGTAGAGAAGTGGTGTATGAGAGCCACAAAAGGTATTTTGATCACACTGACATAAAATGTGGCAGTCAGTCAGGTTTTTTCGACACTGATTACGGATATTGGACCGGTCGATTTCACTAGAAAAATGCCTGAATATCAAGGGAGATTACAGAGAATACAACAAGGTCACTGCTTCTATAAGTGTAATTCTAATAAAATCATTCATTTTACATAACAAAATACTTAAAATCTGTCTAGCCTGCTGTCTTAATAATGATCATGGATAGGCTAGTGTATAGCTAAGATTAAGAATGAAAAAACATATTTTGAAATAAAGGTTGGGGACTTAAAAAGTTGCAGAAATATTATGAATAAATGCTTAAATTATTTGAACTAGCTCAGAATTGGCAGGGAAAAGCCCATATGGACGAAATAAAATTTTGCATCTACAATGTATAAGCTTACAATAGATATATGAATTCAAATAACACATGACTGTAATTAAAAGCTGTCAAATGTCATTCTCATATAGAAAAATGGGTTTTGTCTGCAATTGCGAATGTACCAGATGGCACTCCCCCCTTCAATATGGGGCTCACCTACGTCATAGTGTACATGCAATCATCGATAAAAGTGCCAAACACACTTTCAATGTTCGAATCTTGCTTCTGATTAATAAATATTATCAAAATAGCAAAAGTTTTATTGGTGCTTTAAATAAAATAATAAAAATGCTGTTTTTATTTCGCACTGGACTAAATTGTCCCTCTTTTGTGTGGCCTCCGCTCGAAAATACTTGGATTTTTTCTTGCAAATTATACAGATCTCTGATAAAACTGACTTCTTTAACTCTGATTTAGTAGTAATGAGTACAGCACCATGATGTGATTCCTTTGGTAAGATTAATGAAGGAGTAGGGGTGAATGAGACACACTTTTAGTTTTTAAAGTTGTTGAAGCACTAGGCCTAGTAGTAGGGCTTATGGACATAAAGGCCCTAAACCAAAATTGCTCAAGTATTTGGTCATAACGGTCAAATATTTTGGTCATTATTACATAACGGCCGAAACATTTATAGGGTCATAATGGCCAAAAAGAACATTTGAATTTTGATATATTATATATCAAATGATATTTATTAATATAAATATTGCATAATATAAATACCAATATTTCTTAATAGATAATATTTTCATATACATTTATTTAATACATAAATTTAAATACACTGTAGACATTTATACTTAATACACTGTATAACTATAACATACAAAGACATCTATTTAATATGGAGGGTGGGTGGCGAATGGTTTAACATGTACACATGAAATGATAAGGTCTGTCATTGCGTCCAGTGACATAGTTTCACTTCTCCGCTTGTAAGTGACAAGGACTAGGGTCACTTTTTCAACCTTGTGGGTTTTCTCCGAGTCCCCCAGTTTCCTCCCTCTGCTACAGACCCTTACACGCAAGCGAATTATTTAAATAAAAAGGAACCATATGTTGGACCCCAAAATGACCTACTTTGTGTCGTCTGGACATTAATGTTCAGCTCATGTTACTTTATCAGTGGGGTGTGAAGTACTTAATTAGGGATTATCAAAAACTTTGATCAATTAGTATCCCCCTCTTTCCTTTGAATCACAGCATGCAATGTTCTGGGTTGACTTGGATGGTTATATTCAATTCTTTCATTCACAAATTTTTCTGGACTTATGGTCTGTAGCTTATATATAATGCACCTTTATAACATTTATTTATTACTTGTACTAGTTGGAATAGAAGTGGTCATATCTTGTTGAAGGTTTTTAAAATATTATGTTATGAGTGAATTGTTATTTTTGTCGAATGATTAATATACTAATAGTCAGTTGTTAAATAATGTTTGGTAAAATATATTATGACCACATCACAGTAATAGTCTGTATGTTGTGACAGTTTTAGTTTCGGTTGGACTGAATGTAGACGCTGCCTTCTCACTCTTTCTCGCATCTTTTATCTGTTTTGTTCCTAAAACATCTATAAAACATTGGGTGAAATCCAAAACCACTGCCGACTGTATCTTCAATATAATATCCTTCGTAATAAATCCATTTGTATCGAAAAATGCTGCAATTACTGAATTAGGCCTAGTGCAATGGATTGGTCATTTCCATCCAATTGAAACCAGTTTATAGCTACCTCACGACATTTATCTGCACCTCCCTTACTTACTGTCTAAGTGAACAATACAAGTTAACTGAGCCTATGTCGCCATATCGTATAGCTTCTACATGTGTAACTGCAATGTGTTCCTCGTGAAGCACGCTTTTTTGTGTTTACCAACAACACACGCGAATGTAGACAATACCGTGATTGGTCGATTGTGGAAAAAAACGATCACGTGACGCGGCGAACAACGCTGAATTCTTCCCCGTGACCTCGCGCACTATGAATTTTACTATCAATAAATAGTCCGGATTTCAAAGACCGAATATATCTCTATATGAACTATATACTGACAAAATTTCTTCTAGACCGGATTTGTAGGAACGAAAATATTTTTGCAACGACAATTTGTGCCCATGGAATGCGGCCTAAATGGATATAGTTGATGGCACAGACATAATTTAATAATTTACGTTCTTATAGGTCATTGATTGTCTACTTCTTCAGTACATTTATATTGGAATATGTCATTTGTATCAATGTATGTCGTATTCCATTATACAGTCAAGGAATAAATAAATTATGACTCATCTGTCTATTTATTGGTTATTTGTGAGGCATGACGTCTGTCATATATTATTTGCAAATATTTATATTCCGTGGGTATGTAGAGTTTAAAGTTATTTTGTTTTTATTTAAAAAGATGGACCAGAGAATATCAGATTTACACCAACCAGTTCTAGTATAACAGTGATAGAAAATGAAAGTAGATCTGTAACCTGTTCAGCTGACTGTAATCCACCACCGTGTAATATCAACTGGTATAAAAGATTAACTATAACATCATCAACTGAACTTCTTTCATTGAACAACATCCAGAGACAACAAGCTGGTAATTACACCTGTCAAGTTACAAATACACAGATACCTAATTCACTTCAATCTAAACAACTGACGGTCATAATACATTGTAAGTTAATGATTGCAACACATATATTTTAAGTCGACAGAATGTTATCTACTCACTGTAGATAACAGGGTATTGTAAAGATTAGATATAACCCACCCAAAGAAATGCTCTACAAGGGCGAAATTGCTTTCTACAGGCGTGGGGAACATGTACACCCCGTCTCCCCCCAAAAAAATTCCAGAAAATATTTTCCTATAGAGCAGCACGTTAAACTAGCAAAGTAAATTTTCTTGGAATGATACAGTAAATATATGTCATAGAGTATTTTCGAACAAGATGCTGATTATCAATATTCAACAGTTCAGACCCAAAGCAATGAAATGAAATGAAATGTGGTTTTATGGCACGTCAGCACCCATCGGGCTATATTGCGCCAAACATATGGTGATTCATGTGAGGCAAGTTAAATAAATATCACAGAAAAAATATTATATGCATGAATAAAAATAATATCACAGGAAATAAAATTAAAAATGAAATAAACCTTTTATGCATATTAATATTTAAAATACAAAAATGAAATGATAAATATACAATTAAAATTTATTATAAAAACATGTCTCTTTTAAAAAGTCTAGTATGTTACAGTATAAACCCGGTTGGGCAAACAGATGACGTAGAGACTGGCAGCGGTAATATTTCGATCTTATGTTCTTGAGATGATTGCACTCAATCAAGATGTGCTTCACTGTCAAAGGAACATGACAGTGCTCACATTCCGGTTGAGGCTCTCGCTTCAAGATGAAAATTTGAGTTAAAAAAGTATGACCAATGCGAGAGCGACACAAAACAACTTCATCCCTCCTGTTGGTTTTGTAGGAGCTTGGCCAGTCTCCTAAGAGAGGCTTTATATGATGAAGTTTATTTGTGCCTGCAAGATCCCAAGAAATTATTTATAACAGATTTAAAATCTTTATAAGGCGTTAAAAATTGTGATATGGGAAGATCTAAAGCAGACTTGGCAGTCGAGTCTGCTTGACCATTCCCTTTGATATCCATATGACTGGGAAGCCAGCAAAGGACAGTGTCCTTGCAGACCCAAAGCACACCCAAAATAATCTCACACCTTAATTCAACAGGCTATAAAATATATACCAATTCACCGTAACTAAACACACTGGTAATACTGATTTCGTTTTAATCACAGTTTTTCAGCTAGCACGTAGTATAGGCTTGAACTTTTATTACATAAATACAAAGACATTTCTAAATTCTGTGAAACTTTCACTAAATAATCTTTTTATACTATCACATTCCATACATAAAAATACGAACATCAAATTTTCTTTTTGTCAAACATTTATCAACATCAGCTCCTTGTTTCCTTACTGATTTGAGAGCTCGGCCGTTTACCATGTTGTATTATAGAATAAATAAAAACAGGTGAATGTACGGGCCTTTTCTATTTTCCTCGTTTTCTCTTACCAAGTGATATTCAATTTTTTCTTGAATTGTCAGATATCCTCTCACAGTCTCATATAATAACTTTTCTTTTTCCATTTTTTGCGTCACGTGAAATCTTCGTTACGCATCTCTACCGTAACAATGATCTCTGTGTTATAATTATATTTGGAATGTGTGTAACCAGTTCTATTACATATATTTTCCTTTAAGAACTAATTAAATGTACTTCATGTAACAAATCATAGGACCGCGCTCGATATTATATAATATTCTCTTTTACAGATGGACCAGAGAATATCAGATTTACACCAACCAGTTCCAGTATTACTGTGATAGAAAATGAAAGTAGATCTGTAAACTGTTCAGCTGACTGTAATCCACCACCATGTAATATCAACTGGTATAAAGGATTTGATACTAGTGGTAGTATAATATCATCTAGTAATGGTTTACTACAACTAAATAACATCCAGAGACAAGATACAGCTTATACATGTCAAGCTCAACACAGAACCTTAACAACAACCCCACTTACTAAAACACTACAGATAACAGTTTATTGTAAGTATTACCCTACTCACTACATACTACAGTATTACCCTACTCACTATAGATAACAGTTTATTGTAAGTTTGTTTGGTGTAAATCTTTTCTCCGCCATAGAAAGTTTACTCAGATATCGCAGACAAAAGGTTTCCATAGCGGGGAAAAGGTGGTCACAGCGAAGAAAAGGTTTACACCGCTGAGAAAGGGGGTTTCGAAACACTCGTTCATTGTATTGCAGAGCGAACTTTTCTCATATGAAGTAAATTACAAGAAAAGGGAATAATTTGACGAATGGCACTAATAGGCCACCGTATATTATGGATCATATTAATTAGCCAGTAATTATTTTGTAGTGAGTCACAGAGATAAAAATAAAATAAAACCAAGTACGAACAATCCAAACCATTAGACAAAATTAGAAGTCCTAAATAAACGGTATAGGCAAAATAGTGTAATAAGGCAAAATACATGACACACAGTGGTAACAGGTGTCCGGAAGAGTAAGCTTACCCTGCTTACCCACCATAGCTGCATCCAAACTATTAGACGAAATCTCGGTAAAATAGCGTGATTGGCCAATACGTGCATATTGACAGAATAAATGTGATACTGACAATAAATCTATCTAGTGTACATACATTTAACCTTAATCAATTTCTGTAATCAATCCATCATGGAATAACGATTCCTGATTTTAATATTAATGCTTAGAAAGAATGTCTGTACACGAGATAGTTTACAATCGCTTGTTTGAAATCGCACAGGAAACGACCGCGGTGGGCATTCTCAACATTTTGTTATGACCTTTTCAATTCCCATGGGAAATAAGTGAAACGGGTTTAACTTAAGTATTATATGTTTCTGTTTTTAAAAACAGACCCATCAAATATAACAAGTCTAACACCAGATGCCACCAACAATATGGTAGATAAAGATTCTACTGTAACCTTCATCTGTTCTGTAGATAGTCTTCCATCTTCAGAAATAGCCTGGTCTAGATCACAACAAGGGGAACAACTCTATTCTGGTAGCCAATATATCATACCTAAAGCTAGTTGTCAACATACAGATAACTATACCTGTACAGCTAGTAATAATATTGGTCAATCTGTATCTAAAACCATTCCAATCTTTGTTAGATGTAAGTATAAGTTCTTTATACTATAGTCGAGTGGTCCAGACAGTAGCTGATTGTTTTTCCATTGGGCGAATGTCTTAGATATCTAAAAGTAAAAAGTGTGCTTGCCTAGATGAGCACTTTGGAGTAACGCCTGCATTTTAAATCTATGTTGAAAACATCGTTCACAGTGTTGTGTAGTGTATGCTTTTTCTTTCAAGTACATCCGAAGCAACGTATGATTTAAAAAGTTCGTTACTTATGTAGTTTTATCTGAGGCTCATTTGTGGTAAAGGCCCAGGGAGGAGATGCGGAATGTATCCTGGGGTCATATATATGGGAAAACTTGTCGCTGGGCATCTATCATGAGGTGGGTTGATCGTACTGCTCTTAGAGTTTTAAATATATTTCTTGTTTTAATTACACTTCGCGCGCGTACTTGTACCGTGTTATAGCTTGATGGGAGAAATCGGGTAAACTGTTCCAACAGAAGAAAACTGATGCTGTTAATCTTTATTTCAGGTGTCCCTGTTCTTGACCCTAACCAAGAAACTAAAACCACTATATCTGTACCACATGGAGAAACGGGTGTATTATCAATCCATGTTTTAGCTTATCCACTACCTGTATATACGTGGTATTATCAACCACAGGATGGTAGTGAAAAACTGGTTACAGATTTTAGAACGACACAACTAGATGATGGTCTTTCATCAACATTAACTATACAAGATGTTACAGAAAATGATGGTAGAAAATATATAGTTTATGTTAATAATAGTTATGGTACCAGATCGACAGTATTTAACCTGGTGGTATCGTCGCAAGACACTGATGTAAATGGGTGTAATAACATGCTAGGTCTTGGTATAGCTATTGGTCTGGGAATCAGTGTTCTAATGGTTGGTATTGGGACAGCTTTAGCTTGGGTGATTTTGAAGAGAAGTGGAAAAGGATTTTGTGCAAAAGGTAATTATTAATCTTAGCATGTTTCGTTTTTAGATGTAAATCCCTGCTGCTCGTCTGTTATCAATATTCTATATTAATTTTATGCCAACTTCAGAATTGTTAGTATCAGAAGCCAATTCAGCAATGATCAGAGAGGGATTGTTTGCATAAGTTTTTTTTACCAAGGATGAACACATTGGGTGTTTTCGCTAATATTTAATTTTATGCCAACTTCAGACTTGTTAGTATAGCATTTACTTGATAATTATGACGATTTTCATTAGGCCCTAAACTTTTTGATTTGTGTTCCTGGTGTAATAACCTTTGCACAACTATATATTATAGTTTGTTTAGCTAAGAGGACCCTGTAGTGCAATTGTATTTTGTTAGCAAGCTAGAAATTTTGGCTGCAGGCCTAAATATGAATTTCGTTCCGACGTGACTGAACAACCATAGAATAACCCCAACCTGCAAAATAATAACCCCCTCGTGTATTATGTTTTTCAGCAAATGATCAAAGAGTAGTTAAAGATACAACCAGTCACGATACAGAGTTAGATAACATTATCTTGTCTGATACTCCACATGTTTATGACCAAGTTAATACTGGTGTCACAAATACCAGAGATACAGTTAATACTGGTGTTATAGAAACCAGTACGACCGTGTCTGACTATATCAATACATCAACAACATCATCACCATATGAAGAACTGGATAAACAAACTATAGATCAGCAACCCAACACTTACCAACAACTCAGTCCCTATCAAAATGTAACAGGGGATAAAAACTGAATTGGCCCTGTGTTGTAAATGATCAATACATCTAAGTGTTTATAATGATAAGAGAAATGTAATAACATAATTCAGCATCCGACAAACAATTGTAAAATTCGAATAGAATATTGTTATACAAGAAAGCTAAATTTTGTGTTGTGATAACCATGACAAAACCTTATATTATTATTATTATTAATCTGATTAAAATGAACCACTACTTTGAGATCCCAGCATAAAAAACACTGCGTGTATTCCATTATCGAGTTAGGCGATAGAAGCTTTAGTACTGCTGGATCAAAACCGTGGAACAATTTATCTCAAACTATTTACAATAGCTAAACTCTTACAAGTTTCAAAGCTCAGATATAAACCCGTTTCTTGAAAAAATCTTATGTAAACTAAATTTAAATAGACACGTATGTAGTTTATTCTTTTGAGTATGCTTATGGATGGCTCTCAGGATTTAGTCATTATCGATATCATTATTATGCGTTTTATTTTTTTTATATTGTAATGCTTAAAAATGATATTAAATGTTATATTTCTCTCTACATAGAATAACATTAACACTTTTTATCAATTTTTTAATACCTATAGCTACCGTGAAGCAGCTGAAAAATTAATGATCACATCGGAAAACTGTTCGACAATTACACCATACAGTGCTGTATAAATATTTGTTGTCATATATCTCGCAAAAAAGTTAACATACAGGTCAAGCAATTGTTGTTGCTCGATTAATAAACCAATATTTTAATAATATTTTGGTTTGGATAACTTAGTTGAGTCTCATTCCATACAAAAATCTGGTTAATGGTGGCTGGGAAGGAGGATGGGTGGGGTGGGGTGAATGTCACCTCAAGGGTTATATACATGTAGTAGACAGTTGTTATTCTCGCTAAATAATCCTACACATTTCTATGTTATAAGTCTGGTAAAGCCAATTATATAATACGTTATAATGCTAAATGTTAAAACATATTTTTAAAAGTTAATACAACACAATAACACATCATTTAGTTTGATATCTACATGAACATCATATACACATATACATGCAATACTATTTAACTACCTAAATATGTCAACCGTTCCGTTTATCTTATTTAACAACAAGCCCTTATCTTAACTTCCTGGTGGATAAAACAGTAAAATGTCGACCAGTAGATTGCTGTTTTACAATATTATTGTTATTTTATTGATTTTACAGTTTTATAGTATAGAAGGTAACGTAGACACTGTTTATTTTATGTTTTTAATATACAAGGTGAGGTATGATTGATTCAGAATGTGGTTATATGTGTACAGGGTCCTCAGTTCAATACAGCTGTACATAAGACGATAGGTGTATAAGAGAGGGGTTTAACGGCGGCACAAAAAGAAATATTTTGTTTAATATATTCATCGATCAACTTGGACAAATCATAGTATTATTATATGGAATCTCTTATACCTGTGTTTTAGTAAGAGTAGAATAGCAAGTTAAATAACCACATAGCGAAATAGCGATGCTTGATTTGGATTTTGTGGAAAATATCAAATTTCTCACGGCTTAACTCTTATATGTACCCATATTTAACATTTAATTAAGAGAACCTAATAGCAGTGTTCTACTTTGGTGCATCGACCGGGCTATTTATATGATACGTTATAAGGTGTAAGCCCAAATCCACATAAACGATATTGTAGGATATTATAGAGAAAACCTCACATAAGCTATTCATGTTAATACCATACAATAACACGTCATTTACACATACAATAATATATAACTACTTAACTGTGTCCTTAAAGTAGAATACCTACCAATAATTAGTGTTTACAAATCAAATGTAAAACTTCAGTGGATTCATAAATACAGTAGGTTGTTTATTCTTACAACATGTATAAAATAAAGCTGGTTCTCTGTTCTTACAACCTGATTAAAACACAGATCCTATTTCGTTTCCTTTTTTATAGCTTGTTTTAATTGTTTCACAAAACTAGGATCTGGGAGAGTTGTTATCTAACGGGCGTTCTAGTTGATGTGAGGAATTAGCCAAAGAAACGGTCTGTTACGGCGAGTTCTTGGCGTGCTCTGACGTCATTGGGACAAAAGCCGCTCGTATGACCCCTGGCTGACGACCCAGTACAACTTGTCAGATATTCATGTAGTGTAAGCCATCGAAAGTATAAAAAAACGAAATATAGATCTGCATTTTAATCAGATTGTCTGTTTTTAACAACAGGTATTAAATATCATAAGAACATGAATACGATAATGGGGTTTAAAGGACATTGTAGCACAAATTAGAAATTTCCTCGATTCTGATTGGTCAAAAAGTGTGGTCGAATGGACAATAAACCCCCTCTAAATTATCAAGTCGAATTACTGCGTATAAATATAACAGTGTACTTTTTTTCATTTTTGTGCTCAATGATCTTCCTCAACTCAAATCTTTATTGGCAAATATCTTTAAGGAATTCTGCACACATGACTATCACACCATTTTCGAACATCATCTTTTATGAAATCACATTTCTGAAATACATAAAACAGTAGAAAATCAGTCATAAATTAATTAAAACCGTTTTCAGGTATCCAAATTATTTCGTAACTAGGCAGTGACAGTGTAGTAGGCCTATATGTTTTCTTTTTTGGTAGGCGAGCTTCACTCACCAATTTTTATTAATCAGGTGGTGGATTCTTTTTAAAAATCATGCTTTCAAAATCTGACTAGCAAGACCTACATAATAATAAGTCATTAGTCACAAGGAATCGCTTGAGAATACAATGAGGGAGTCGAATATAGCAGCTGAAATATAGGCCTAATCATTATCATTGCCAAAATTGTCATTTGTTGACAACACGTCAGAACAGCTACATAGCAACCACTGGCATCTTAGACTAGACATCATTGTCATGGTTTATATGGTATTTTAGAGGATGAAAGTATGAACTTCAATTGTATAAAGAAGAACTAGCTACAACATTGTGATAACAGTCTGCAAAATAAAATAACAAATGCTGAAAACTTACATGAAACTCCCGAAGCGAAGTCATTTTTGTTGCCAAGAGTTACTCCTCTTTTAGTCTCGGATAGCAAGGCGGAATTATTTCAATCACGTTGACACTCGTCTCGAAATACCGCAATAATATTAATTTCTTGTTCTTTTAAAAATCTTCAAACGTTAAAAATATTTTTTTGTTGTCGATATCCGAATAACATTTTCTTTCATAATTCATTTACCAGTAACTCGAGACTCAAACATTTTAAATTTGCAGGTAAGGAAGAGACCGTCTATAATCTATTGAAAATATTTTGAAAAATGAATGCAAGCGCGTGACCAAATAACGACTTTTTAAAATGAGTGTAAAAATGTTTGCTAAATAGTTCCGAAGAAAATCTCCAAATATTTGTGCTACAATATCGATAAACACGTTCCTGTTACGTATTTATCGGGTGTTTATTGTCCATTTAACCATGCTTGAATTATCCATTAGAACAACTCGACGCTATCGCGTCTCGTGTTCTAATGATTCAAGCATGGTTAAATGGACAATAAACCCCCTCTAAATACGTAACAGGAAGTGTTTATCTCCTAAATATTGGTGTCAGTCGTTATAAAATATGTGATAGAACTGGTTAAATACATTCCAAATATTATTTTAACACAGAGATCATTGTTACGGGAGATGTGTAACAAGCACGTGAAGAAATGGGAAGTGACGCCAAACATGACAAACACGAGTTATCCTTCTATATATCTGATTAAAGTAACGAGCGATAACAGACAAACATGGAATTTCATTTCACTGATAATTCAGTTGAAGTTGAAAAGTTATTATATGGGAGGGTATCTCAAAATTCAAAAATGAAATTGGCTGTCACTAGATAAGGGAAAACGAGAAAAATATAAATAAACCCGTGCATTCTCCCGTTTTTATTCATTCTGTTCTTAATAAAAATATGGTAATGGACGGACTTTTTCTAATTTGTTCGTTATCTTTTATCTAATGACAGCCAATTTTTTTTTTTTGAATTGTCAGATATCCTCTCATAGTCTGATATAATAACTTTTCATCTTCAACTGAATTATCAGTGAAATGAAATTCGATCGCGTGTCTGTTATCGCTCGTTACTTCATTCAGTTATATAGTAGGATAACTCGTGTTTGTCATGTTTGTCGTCACTTCCCGTTTTTTCACGTGCTTGTAACACATCTCCCGTAGCATTGATCTCTGTGTTAAAATTATATTGGGAATGTATATAACCAGTTCTATCACATATTTTATAATGACTGACACCAATATTGTCCTTTAACGTCCTACGCTGATTCACCAGGCATATATCATGAGTAAGGTTATGCCCGGACAGAGCGTTTCCGCCTACACTTCGTGGAATTCCTATTGTCAATGGTTGTTTTACGTGCAAGCCAACTGGTACAAGGGACATCTGGTTTTGTCACGCCAAAACGATTATACGCGGTTTCTAATAAGGCCATTCGCCATGCACCACTCACGCATTAGCGTAAAGAGGGACATTTCTGCTATACAGGACTTACAAATATTGACAGCACTTACTTTCACACATATAGGCTATAAGCGACTATATAAGCGTGTCTTAAGCGAAACACAATTATTAGTAACTAAGTATCAATATTAATCTCCAATATGGGATGATTGTAACCCTCAGAGTCCTGACAAGAAATGTGAACGACAGACCGATGGAGTAAAGACTTTTGATACAGGAGAGATTTACGTCCGCTTGATATTCCTGAAACGAAGACGACTGTTGATTTTCGTGGATTCAAATCAATAATGTCCTTGATCTTTATGAACTGTTCCGATAACTTAGGTGGATGATGTGGTGTTCGTTTCGTTGTCTGACAATCTATCTTTCGATACAGATAAGCTCTAATAAGATCTTTAACGTATGGTTTGACAAGGGCGATACCGTGTCTTTTTATAAAAAAGCCTGTCCTTTCTTCTATTATTTTTATTAGGTCAAACATACAGTTTATCAGGATCAGCAGCATATGGTATTAGAGGAGGGGATTATAGATTTACATGTCAGTTATCTGGTGTTAATATACCTATAATATTGGATTTTAAAAAGGGCAATAAAACTGTCTGTAGAGAATTGTTTTGTCGCTCATCAGTTGATACCAAATATAGATGTGGTTGTATCAATGGTAACAACAGAACACGCTATCTAAATATAACTAATGTTCAATCAACTGATGCTGGTGACTGGATCTGTAGAGATTATTATGCGAGTGGTGGCATTAGTCAATCTGTTACGCTTCTTGTTTATTGTAAGTTAGTTTATAGTAGTTTTCAATGTAGCTGTCAAAGTACCCAGATGTTTACTCATATTTATTGTAACTTCACGGTGTTTTTTGGTTTTAAAGGTACCGGTACCACAATGACGTACGTTTTAAAGGTAAACATAATGACGCATGTTTAGTAGATTGTGTAATGTATCTTATTTCCTCACTTGCTTATTTCCTCCCTCATATCTGGTATCATATCTGGTATCTGGTATCATATCTGGTATCTGGTATTATATATGGTATCTGGTATCGTATCTGGTATCGGGTATCATATCTGATATCTGGTATGATATCTGGTAGCTGGTATCATATCTGGTATTATATCTGGTATTTCCTCTGTAGCTTCAGAACTACGACTTTACTGAAAGCGTTTGGTATATATATATATATATATATATGAAGAACTGT